CTATTTATATCACATCATACAACTATTCAAAATCAAAATTTTTACTATTCAAATCCCAACTCAAAATCCAAACCCCCAAACAAACACACCATTGACTATGGATATTTTATTGTAGAAAAAGTACCATAAATACTATCTAATATTTAAAATACAATGAAATAAAATTTTGTAATATATCATAAAGTTTAATTTCAAAAAGTAGTTAGAAAATGTACAATAAATTGTGTAACACTATAAAGTTAATTTATATTTAAAATGGAATCAAATAACTTTTTATAATATATTCTTATTTAAAGTAATATATTTCACTTGGGATCGAAGAGACGGGCAAAACAAGTTTTTCTCATAAAATTGCAAAAAAGGATAAAAGGATAGGGTCATCGAAGCCGTATTATTTCCAACTTTATTTTTAGCATTAATTTAATTTCTATACATTTTTGTCCATTTTTATTTTTATTGTTTTATTATATATATATATAATACTTTATAATTTTATTACATAATGTAGTACATTTTAAGAAATATGAATGAAATGATGAAATCATAGGATATATAAATACATATATATTGATGTAAATATACAAGATAATATATTTTAAAATTTAATATTAAATGTCCTATTAATTCATAATTTACATTCCTAAATTATAGATAAAATATTAATGTGTGTGGTATTTTTCAAGGTTTCTTGAATTTAAATTTTTTTTTAAATGAAATAAATTTGAAAATAATATTTTTCTTTATATACTCTTTTAGAAAGCCATAAATAGTACATATGATTGAATTGTTAAATGTGAAATAAACAAAATTGAGTATGTTATACATTTTTTTTTTTCAGAAAAGAATTTTATTTTATTTTTGTGTAAATAGATCTAAAAATACAAATTGTAAATAATTTATATTGGATCATATGATTTAATTAGAATATTTTATTCATAATTATTTCCAAATTTAAATGTAGAAAAATATATCAAGGAAATACAAGAAAAGCCATTTCTTGTCCCTCAATATTTCTTATTAATTATATATGTGAAATGTATTTAAAAACTATAAATATTATTAATTACATAAAAATAATAAAATAATATTATTACAATATTATTAACTAATTAAACACTATTTTTTTAAATATTATGTCACTAATAAAATAATCAATTAATTTGAGACGCATAGAGCATTTATTTATCTGTAATAAACATAAATTAATTTTATAAAAAACAAAAAAATTTAAAATATAAATAAAAATATTTATTATTAGAAAAATATAAAAATAAAATAATTTTGAATGAATCACAGTTTTGAAATTTAATTAAATATTTATATTTATATTTATATTTATTAAATATATTTAAAATTATTAAACTTATCACAATAGAAAAAATCATCGTAGGACAGATTAAAAAAAAAAAAAAAAAAAAAAGAAGGTTATCTGTAACAAATGAAATAAGTATGGATATGTTTACCATGCGAGGTTCGGTTTTAGTTTTATTATTTTAATTTTTTTTTTAAAAAATATCAAATCAAATACATATATATTTATTTATTATATTACATTATATTAAAATTTAATTTTACATTTAAAATATTACTTCAATACATATTTATATCACATTAAATAACTATTTCAATTCAAAACTTTATTATTAAAACCAAATCCCAAAATAAAAATCCACAAATAAACAAAAGTCTATGTGTTTATTTGTAAGATTTTGAGTTTGGATTTTGGTTTTGTATAGTAAAATTTTGAATTAAAATAATTATTTGATGTGATATAAATATATATTGATGTGATATTTTAAATATAAAATAAAATTTTTATTTAATATAATAAATAAATAATAAGTATTTGATTTTATTTTTTTAGAGAGAAAAAATATTGAAATAGTAAAACTAGACTAAAAATCCTACAAGTAAACGGACCCGAGGGAATATGTGGCGCATATTCATTGGTCCACATATCATCCAAGAAAAAGGAGACAAGACACACATCACAAAGAGTATTTGGATAAGCCGTTGTTCCATCGACACGTGTCCAACTTGGTGAAAAATATCTTGTCCGAAGACTATTATTGGTCCGTGGATGCACGCGTTCTTGGCGACCACACTATTATTGTTATTATTATTAGCACGGCTAAGAAGTACTCCCCCCGTTTTAAACATCGTGCAATATTTATATTTGACACGAGAATTTAGGTGAAAAATATTAAGTATGATAATTTGAGATAATTTGAATATTAAGTGATATTATTGGAGAGAAAAATAATTATTTGTTTTTTTTATTTGAGTGATGTGATATGATAAAATGAAGTGTATATTAATATATGTATATAAATATTATTAATTATTTTTAAATTTGAAAATATTACAGTAAGTTTGGGACAAACAAAAAAAGAAATATTGCAGGGTGTTTGGGACGGAGGGAGTAATTTTGCGTCATTGTATTTAATATTAAAAATATTTTTATATTTATATATATATTTACAAATATCATTATTATAAGACACTGATAGATGTATTTTTGCAATTTTTTCTTAATTTGTACTATGTTTTGATATAATAATTAATATTTAAAGATCAATATGTAAAAAATAAATGAGACCCTTAGAACCGGACGGAGATAGTAATATTTTAATTGTCGTTGATACTTAAAACTAATGCAAAAATAATTTTTTCTTTACCTTTTGGTGTAAAAAAGTAACTATGTGATGATAAAGTAGGGATATTTGTGAAACAAAATAAAATTAAATATTTAATAAAATAATTACTTTGTAATTGGACAGTCCAAAATATAAATATGTATACTTTCTGGGTGGACGAATGAATTATTATTTTGTACTAATATTTCATTGTGATTGAAAATACAAATGTGAGAAGAGTTACGGTTTAAAATCAACACTATACCGATTTTTCAAAGTAGCACACGTAAAATATCGAAACAATATATATTTTTTGTTACATAACAACATATATTTGTAATAAAGACATATAATGTTTGTTTATAATTATAATGTGTGTTGTATAATAATATGTTGTTAAAAGTAAGATTGTATGTTGTTTGTTAATATATTGAGTGTTGTTTAGCACAATACTCACCGCTATAACGCCTTAGTTGTCTATTTTCTTTTAACATATATTTTTTTAAATACAATTTTTAATATATATTTTATTTTTTTACATTTGATATAAAGTATGAAGTGTCGAGGGTCTGAACTCATGAGCTCACGGTACATGTTCAACCTCTACACTACCAGACCATCCTTTACGGGACTTAGATTTAGTTGTTATTTTTGTGTGATAGTATTTGATTTGATTTGATTTATTTATTTATTAGTGGAGTTTTTATGGCCCTGTCCATGGACATAGAGATTTATTTTGAAGCACGTGTCTTTTAATACTCCCTCCGTCCAATGTAATTTGCTTCTATTTTTTATTTTTATCTATCCCACATAATTTGTCAATTCCTTTTTTGGAAATATAATTATACACTTTAATTTCATTTTAAATTTTAAATTTTATAATTTTTTTAATTTTAATTAAACTATTTAGTTATTTTAATCTTAATCCACAATTATTTTTATTATACGATAATTTATTTTTACTGATACACTTCTTAATTACTTACTAATCACAGTTTACCTAAATTCCTGTATCTATAGTAATAGACCCATAGTACATGAGACGGAGGGAGTATTTCATATTGTGTATTTCACAGCAAATTAGGATATGTATTTTGTAAGATATGATTTATTTCTTTTGTTGGTATATTCGATTATTTTTCACAGATAGTTATCGATTCTTTTTATTTTATTTTAATTTTCAACTAAATATGAATTGTGAATAAATATTTTTAATATAATTTTAAATTTGAATTTCAATTGATATATAAATTTTGTCCTAATTCTTTAATATATTATCTATTTTTTTTTATTTGAGTTCGTTTTATGACAAAATATTTATATTTTTTAATAATTGTATTATATATCATCTAAAATTTAAAATATTTTTACAATTTATAATACATTACAAATATTATTAATATTATATCATATAGTAATACCAAAGGTATTTATTTACATATTAATATTACAAAATGTAAGTATAAAAAGTAATCAAATACATATTTAAGGGACAAAGAGTCTATTAATTTAGGTTCCAAATTCAATCGGGATAAAAATTTTGTGATTTATAATTTGTATTACAGCACATAATATTCATTCTATCATAATTCAAAAGAATTATTCTATAATTTTCATCTGTCTCATTTCAAAATATTTATTTTCTATTTAAAAATAATAATACTAATTTATATATCTACAAAATTACTCGATCCGTTGTTGGCCTGACGGTGTAGGGGTTGGACGTGTAACCGTGAGGGGAGTGTAAAGAAACACACCCTAAGATGCAATGAGTTGTGCAAAAATTGGGGGAGGGGCTCCAACCCCCTCCCCATTTTTGCAGCGCTGTACAGTGTTACAAAATAGAGTAACACCGTACACTCCATTCTATTTTTTGAGCGGAGTTTGTGTGATATTTTGTGGTGTCTGTGTATTTTTGTTATTTTTGGGTATATTGTGTAATTTTATTTTTTTAAAAAAATAAGATGTAATTTTATTTTTTTAAAAAAATAAAGTATAGTTTTATCTTTTTGGAAAGCAATATAATTTTATTTTTTAAAAAAATAATGTATAATTTTATTTAAAAAATGACATATAATTTTACCTTTCGAAAATGCGTAGTTATATATATTTGGATTATATTGTAAAAATAAATTAAAATTGAAATGTAATTTATAAATATAAAAAATTATAGGATAAAATAATATAAAGAAAGAATATAAAGGGAATATGTAAAAATTGAAATTTATGGTTTATATGAAATTACTGTAAATCAAAGTACCGGAGATAGTCTAAAGTTCTTAATTTCATTTATTAGTTTTTGGAAATGACCATATTTACATGAGTCATGGGTCACGCTTCCTCGTGGCTTTTTCTGCGTGCTATCATATAGAGGTATAAAACGCGCTCCATTTCTTATCCCCAATCCCTTCATTCGCCTGCCTGCCTGCCTGCCATTGTGTTGGCTCAGAGAAGTAGGAAGCCGATGTCTCTCTGCAGCGAGTCGCCGTCCGCCGTCACGAGCAGCGACGGAAGTGGTTATGCTGGTAGCGGAGAGTTTATGTTGTTCGGAGTCAGAGTGAAGGTTGATCCGATGAGGAAGTGCGTTAGTATGAATAATTTATCTGAATATGAGCCGGCTAGCAATCCTATCGATGACGAGATGCCCAAGGCAGATGTGGATGGTGCTGGTGGCGCTGGTTACGTCTCCGCCGACGCTGTACCTCCGCCGTCCAAACGGTGTCGTGAGCGTAAGCGAGGTCAGATCTCCAGTCATTTTTACTGTATTTATAAGGTTTTCCGATTCAATTTTTTTTGGAACTGCCTTTTTTTTTTCCTTCATTTCTAGTAGAATTTTCAATAATTGATGGCTTGTATTTTATTTATTTATTTATTTTCAAGTTCAATTGACGAAATTAGTTTTTGTGTTGTTTTTCAATAATTGATGTTGTGTTAAACTGTTAATCCCTCGAAGAACTCATCTGAAATGTGCAGAATAATGATTTGCCATAATTATATTAAATATGATAATGATCTTGCTTCTGTAACTGTAAGACTGTAACTGCACGAAAAATTACTTGTTTTTCGAAGTCAACTAGTAGCAAGATTGTTGAAACAAAGTAAATATCATTTGTGTTATTCCAATCATTTGAGGATAATTTGCAGGAGTTCCATGGACAGAGGAAGAGCACAAGCAATTCTTAATTGGATTGCAGAAAGTTGGAAAAGGGGATTGGAGAGGAATCTCTAAGAACTACGTCAAAACTCGCACACCAACACAGGTTGCAAGCCATGCTCAGAAATACTTCCTCCGCCGGAGTAACCTCAGTCGCAGGCGACGCCGCTCCAGCCTCTTCGACATCACAACCGATCTGGTAAATAGCTTTGCTAACACCTCTTTTACACTTTTAACAGTCTCAAAATTGATAGATTCATGATCAGCAGCAGTGCTATAGTGAACTTGTTCATCAAGATTTACTGCCATGTAAACTAACAAATTCACATATATATATATGTATATTTGTTATTAGGTTGCTCAGGTGCCAACAGAACATTCTAGAACCCAACAAGATGCCACTGCTAATCCAGTTTCAGCCACCACCGCGCCGCCTGTAACTTCCAACACATGTGGATTCTCAGTTGCACCTTTCCCTGTAACCGCCGGACCTGTTTTATTATCAATGCAAGGTGTGAATTGTCCGGCGAAACCAGGAGTTCTCGTTCGACCAGTTCTAGCTTATCCTTCACCAAATCAACGAGCAGCTGCCGAGTCATCGTCGCCGTCTCTGAGGCTATCATTGTCATCAGGGCAGGATCAGCCATCAACAAGGGACTCATCTTTCCAGGTTCTTTCAACCCTTAAAACTGATGATATCCGAATAAGTGTTGCATGATGAAGAAGAACATGAACACGAATAAGAGTTTTTAAAGAAAAAGTAAAGATGGTTCATCATAAATTTCATTGTAAATATAGAGTGTTGATTTTAAAAAAAAAAAAACATAAAATTGAGAAAAAAAGGCATCTTGATGTGTTGCTGCCCATGCTTTTCATCTTCTTCTATAATATATTAAAGAATCTTTAGCCTGTTTTTGGTTGAGGAGTGAAAAATAGACAGCAATTATTTGTTAATGGGCTCTTTTTGTGTGTGTTCTAACTTGTATGGTGGTGGATTTCTATCTTTATTTATGTATGTGGTCATGTTTTGGTTCCACTAGGAATTTATTATTATTATTATTATTATTATTTAAATATTGGATGAATGTGATGGATGGAATTAAATTCCATTTGATCAAGGGAAATTGGAAAAAGTCCGTAGTGGATGCGTAGACAATGACTTGGATTGATTTATTGCCAATATAATAATAATAATAATAAATAATAATGATATATGGTCCCATATATATATATATAATTCATAAAGAATAATGGCATTGGGGCTAATAAATTTTTAAGAATGTTCACAAGGGTGTGTTTGTTCTTTCTGCTTGGCACTATTGGGGTTGTCCATTTCATACAAATATATATATATATATATATATTTGATTTATTATTTATTCTCTAAAACTGTTTTTATCCTCTGTTTCCTTTTTATTCGGGTGTGTATGTTTGGAGTATTGGATTTTAAATTTACTGTTCATCCCATTTTTTTCTTAAAAAAATATCAAATTAAACACTTATTTTTTATTTTTTATATTATACTAAAAATTAATTTTACGTTCAAAATATTACATCAACACCTATTTATATCATATCATACAACTATTCAAATTCAAAATTTTTACTATTCAAATCCCAACTCAAAATCCAAAATCCTAAACAAATTACTCTGTCAAATAATTATTTACTTTTGAAGAAGTTGATACTATAGTTTCTTTATTAGATTTTTTAGGTATACCCATTTTTTAAAATATTATTATAAAAATACAATATATAATATTTATATATTTATTTATACAAATTAATCATTAAATATAAAATATTATTTTTATATATTATTAATATAATTTTTCATACTTCTTAAATATTAAAAAAACAAGGTTAAAATGAAATTTATTTGTAATTTTTTTTTTTTTGTTTGGCGGTGATTAATGCATTGAAATATAAAATTCGATACAATGTTAAGAGGGCACACATTCCATCATAGAAAAACAAACAAAGACAAATGAAATATGAATTATATAAAGACGCATATTACACTGTATAAACACAAATGAAATATGAATTATATTAACATAATACTCTTCCCGCCCCGACTACTGTGTCGGGTTACTGTAAATATAATAATTTAAAAGAAGTTTAATTAATACTTCATTCGTCTCATATTTATATATTCATTTGCTTTTTGTACGAAGTTTTAGAAATATTAGTATTATATTGAGATAAAATAAAAATAAAGGTAAAAAGATTAAATTAAGAGCACGTTTGAATTGACTTAAAAAATAAGCAGAAGCCAAAAGCAGAAGTAGAAGCTAAAAGTAGAAGCAGTTTGATTTTGTATTTGGATAAATCATTATAAAAACAGCTTTTCGTAAAAAATCTGTTTGGACGTTATATAGTTGAAAGTGCTTTTAAACTGTTAAAATTATTTAAAAGGACATACAGTTAATATAATACTAATATTTTTCTATAACACTTTTATAATTTAATTTAAATTTTATAAATTATATTTAAAGATTTTAAATTAAAGTATAAAAAATGTACTTTTAAATTTTGATTATTTATATTTTAAAATTTTAATTTAAGGATAATATATCAATTAAACATAAAATTACAGTATAATATTATATAATTTGTATTTTATAATTTATTTTAAAATTTTATAAATTATATTTAGTAATTTAAGTATAATTAAAAAATTTATATACTCCTATTTACATTCGGTATTTAAATTTTAAATTTTAAACGAAATATAGTACATAAATTAATAATAATAATAATAATAATAATAATGAAAAAGTAGGATAGTTTTACGGTGATATGATTATTTAGGGAAGTAAGACTATTATTTTGGAACGGGCAAAAATGGTAAACAAAACTATTGTATTGAGACGGAGGAAGTATATACTAGCATAAATACTCGTGCTAAGGACGGTGCAAATAATAAAAATTATAATATAATAATATATAATTTAAAATTAAAAAGAAAAATTAACCAACAATTAACAAAAAAAAATTGCAAAATTTTATCTATGAAATAGATAACAATTAAAATATTAGCAAAATTTAATAAAAAAAATAAAATAAATTAATCACTTTTAAATTAATTTGTAAAATATGTGACAATTGAAATATTTATAAAATATACTAAAATAAAATCATATAAAATTATTTATACACAATAATAAAAAAAAAATAAAAGTAAAAAAATAGAAACAAATGCTCACAAAAGATATCTTCTAAAAAATATAAAATTAAACATAAAAAATCAAACGAAATATAATAATAATAAAAAATTCATAAATTTAAAACTAAAATAAAAAATAAATACATTGTTCAACTTTATCTTTATATCATCTTTGAATTGTCATCTTATCTTTTTCTTTTTGAAATATTATAACAATGACATCCCAAAAATCACACATATTTCATATTTGTATCTTCATTTTTGCAAAAAATAATATTTTCATTTTCATCTCTACCAAAAAAATCAGTATTTTGAGAAAAAAAATATTAGAACATTAATACTAAAAAAATACATACACATAATATTCTTGTTATTTGACATTTTTTTGCATTTGGCATTATCTTCTTTTGCATCTTATCTGTACAATATAACAAAAAACAAAAAGTATATCAATATTGTAAAAAAAATATTAGAAAATTAACACACAAAAAAATACACATTTAAAACTAAAATTAAAAAAATACACATTTAAAACAAAACTAAAAAAAAATACGTATACATAATATTCTTATTATTTGATATTTTCTATATCATTTGGTTCATTTTTATCTTGTCTATTTTTTTTTTCTTTGTATGCCTAAAACTTTTGAGAAAAAAATATTATAAAATTACCAAATATAGTATCATTATTTTAACAAAAATATTAGAACATTAACACTAACAAAACAATAGATATAAATAATAAAATAAATACGTAAATGTATATATGCATACAAATAAAAGATAATTCAAAAACAATTAATTAATATATATAATATTTTTAACTAGTACAAAATATCTGAATATGATAGAAAATTATCCAAATAGTTAAGCATTTAAAATCAAAAATAAAATTTAATATAATAATTTCTCCATATTTATATATATAGTTAACAATAAAAAATCAAAATAGATATAAACATATACAAAAAAATATAAATTGAAATTATAATAATGGATAGAAATACAATTTAGAAATAAATATAATTAAAATAAATATAATACTAAACAAACAAATTAAAACAGAAAAAATTAAATTTGTCCATCCCAAAATAGTCTCCTCCAACCGAGTGTTCCGATAAACAACTTTCAATGTCCACAGTCTTTCTCTGAAAAATCCAAAATAACTTCATGAATACAAACTTTTAAATAGCAAACGATAAACAAAAAGAATAAATTGAAATTATAATAAACGATAAAAAATAATTTAGAAATAATTATAATTAAAATAAAAAGAATACTGATATATATATATATATAATTAGCAACTACATATATAAGAAAAAATTCAAACATCCACTAACCCACGATTAAGAGAACGGAATAAAACTGTATATCCACTAACATACTTAAAAATAACTATAAAAATTTTAAAATTAAAAAATATCTAAAAACCTCAAAATTTTGAAATTGCAAATCTCAAAAACACCCTTGTCTAGGATTAGAGGTAGGCAAAAAAATTAAACCCAACCATCGAACGGTTGACTTGAACCGAATTTTTGGTTAACTGAGAAAATTCGATTTGAATACAAATACTGAATATTTGATTTTATTCGGTTCGGTTCAATTTCGATTTTTTGATATTTTTTTCGATTCGATTAACCGAACCATATATATATTTATATTATTATCTGTTACGGAAATTACAGGAAATCAAGAAGAGACAAACAAAGACACAAGAACACAAGAATTTGGTAATCCATTTCGATCACGATGATCTATGTCTGGGGGCGCTCCAAGTCAGGAATTCTACTATAAAATACGCAGACACATGTTAAAGTGAGAATACATGAATATTGATAGGCTAAATCTATGTCAATAATATCTAAATCATATCTCTAAAATTTAGAATATAATATCTAAATCATATTCGTAGATTTTACGATGTAATTAGGCTTCATATCCCAACAATCTTCCACTTGAAGACTGATTTCATCTTTCACTTCAACATTTTACTTCATCCGCGATAACAACGTCAAGCCTCCTTCTTCACTTATCGAGGCCCATTGAGGTTGAACACAACCTCAATTCATGTAAGGTTACCACCTTAGATTGTCTTTCAGGATTGCTCATAAATCGGTTCACTACTCCCACTGCACGTGCTTTCCACCTCATAAAGGTATCAAAAGCATCATAATTCCACTTACGGAAATATACTCATACCTCCCTTGTAACGTCGTCAATAACCACGGAGTAGTACTGTGAGCCTCCAAGGGTTGATACAAAAGTTGGTTTCCGCAGGTTCGTATGAACCAACTCTAACTTTTCCTTTTCCAGGTCTCTCATACCCTTTGAGAATGCCACCTTTCGTTGCTTCCCAAAGATATAGTCCTCGCATACTCCAATATCAACGGACTTGAAACCTGACAATCTTCCATTTGACATGAGCTTCCCTATCCCCTTCTCGCTCATGTGTCCGAGACGAGAATGCCATAAATTTGTGTAATTATTTATGGCCACAGAACTAATTCCATCTTGCATGATTTTCGTCATGTAGAGAGTTCCATCTCTTCTCCCTTGGGCCACCATAATGGATCCTTGAGTTATCTTCCACGACTTAGTTTCAAAAATTATCGAGTAACCTACCTCATCCAATTGTCCTACGAAAATCAGATTCCGTTTTAGACCTAAGACATGGCTCACGTCATTCAGTCTCATCTGATTCGAATCATTCTTTTACCTACAATTTCAAGTGTCTCATCATCTGCAGGATAAACAACAGCAAAATTACTTGCGGTATAGGATTCCATAATTCCTGAATCACCGCCTGAGTGGAATGATGCTCCTGAGACCAAAATCCATGACTCCATTGGACTATTGACGCTCAGAATCAGCGCATCGGATATCTCCTCCGTTGCGTTTGCTGAACCCTGATCCTTCTCCGACGCCCTGCACTGTCGTTTCAAGTGCCCCTTGCAGTTCCAACGTACCACCTGACTTGCATTTTCCTTGTCCTTGTTCTCCGGCTTCAACTTTGACCATTCTTGATCTTCACCTTTTCTCTTTGCCTCAAATCTAAATTCAGTTGAAACATTTTTCCAAAGGGTTAGTCGAACCACACTCATTGTCTTCCGGTCGATCTTCTTTTACTCGACTTCATCCATCTTGACTCCCACAAATAAACCAAAGGCTCACTTGAAATGAGAGCACATCGGATATTCCGCTGCGTTTGCCGAACCCCTTATTCTTCCTTGCCCACCTTGCACCATTTATCACAAAGGAACCCGCTGCCTGACCTACCAGAACTGTCGTGATCGACCCAACACCGCCAGGAGACTTTCAACTCAAGGCACCTCCGCACAGGTCACAAGGATTCCTATAGCCACAATCAATATCTGATGCCTTCCACATATCAACGAACCAGACTCTGATACCATTTGTTACGGAAATTCCAAGAAATCAAGATGAGACGATCAAGAACACAAGAATTTGGTAACCCAGTTCGATCACAATGATTTACGTTTGGGGGCGCTGCCAAGCCAAGAATTTTACTATAAAGTACGCAGACACATGTTAAATTGAGAATACATGGATATTTATAGACTAAGCCTACGTCAATAATATCTAAATCATATCTCTAAAATCTAGAATATATATTAAATCATATCCCTAGATTTTAGGATATAATCAGGCTTTATATTCCAATAATCTCCCACTTAAAGACTGATTTCATCTTTTACTTCAATATTTTACTATAAAGTACACAGGTACATGTTAAATTGAGAATGCATGAATATTTATAGGCTAAGTCTATGCCAATAATATCTAAATCATATCTCTAAAATCTATAATATAATATCTAAATCATATCCTTAGATTTTAGGATATAATCAGACTTCATATCCCAACATTATCTTTTCAAATTTATATTAATAATTATATTCTGTTCGGTTTCGGTTCGGATATTTGAAATATTTACAAATATTTTCGGTTAACCGAAATTTTCGATTTGGATATGGTTCGCAGTTTCGGGTATTTGTTCGGTTCAGTTCGGATATCAAATACCTATTTATTTGCAAATATCTAAACCGTGCCCACCCCTACTATATACTCCCTCCATCCGTCTCTGAGAGTCACATTTACCTTTTGTGTGTCATTGTATTTAACATTAAAAATATTTTTATATTTGTGTAATTTTTTCTACAAAAGTCATTATATTAGTACTATAAGACACTAATGAAAGTATTTTTGTAATTTTTCTTAATTTCTACTATGTTTCGATATAATACTAATATTCAAATATCAACATATAAAAAAGAGGCAGTATAATAAATACTCCACTAATTTTCTTTTTGTAATACTATAGAAGCCTACTGAGATTCATATAAATTCATTAGGGTGTGTTTGTTTGGATTTTGAATTGAGATTTGAATAGTAAAAATATTTGAATTAAAACAATTGTACGATGCTATATAAATATATATATATTGATGCAATATTTTGAATGTAAAATTGATTTTTAATATAATTTAAAAAATAAAAAATAGATATTTTGATTTGATATTTTTAAAAAGAAAAATTAAATGAATAATTAAAATCCTTACAAATCCTCCAAACAAACACACCACTAAACATTACATAAATTCATATATAAACTCTACTTTTCCAACTTATTTTCGGTTCTTATTCTCATTAAAAAAAATTACATTTAAAACTTATTTAAAAAAAAAAAAAATTATTAAAAAAGAGCATTACATAAAATAATATTAAAAGAAAAAAAAAAAAAAAAAAAACACAACCATTCTATATACAACTCATCAAAACACCTATTTTCACTCAAATTATTAGTGAATCAACAGTGGAGATTATAGATGAAACAGATTTCATTAGCCACAACCCACAAAGCAACACTTACAAAATTGGCTCAATTTTGTTGTTTTTTACACTGTAAACATTAACACCAAAAACAAAAGTCACCAACAACATCCCTCAATAAAAACCATATCACATATATATATATATATATCTCCCCTCAAGAAATCACCAATTCCATCCACAATCTAATCTAACAATAAACCAATCCTTTCAAAAAAATAAAATAACAAAAAAGATGATACATAGAGTTCTTGAAAAAACAAAACAAGAATAAACACAACCCTTTTCTCTGAGAGGCAAGAACCTATGTATGAATTGCCATGCCAAATGATAGGAGGATCACTCTCAGTCACACCATATACAGAGTCGAAGTCGGAGTTGGAATCGGAATCGAAGACAAGGGCAGACGGAAAAATTGGTAGCCCTTCTCGGATCGATCACTCCAAACTTTATGAAACAGGAGGGATAACCTGGTGGACTTCGAGTGGCCTTAAAGCTCCTTGAACGATCTCTTGAACGGATCTATTGCGCCGGCAGACGCCTGACAATTCCTCGATTGGAATTATCAGGCCATTTATTGCTGTGCCGGAGATTGCATTAGATAAGGCTTGCAAGAATCTTGATTTTTCGGCCTCTGTTGCAGCATTTGACGGGATTAAGGACACACTTTCCTTTGCCCAGTCGAGAGCTTGTGCGCCGTAGGCTCGGACAAGAGCTACCAATGCATATGCCACCTGGAGTGATTTGGATGATGAGGTTTTAGAACAGTAGTGACTATGGTGTTGGATTTTTTATTTTTTAGGGAAAGAGGTATAAGATTACCGTCTCGATTCGCGAACTTGGAAGAGCTCCGGTGAGGGCAGCTACAAGAATTCTGGTGATCACTGCGCCTCTGGGAATGATCACGTTGTCCCGGATGGAGATGTAAGGCTTTCCTTGGGTAGTGTTTGCAATGTCGAAAACATCTGATAAGAAATTCAAGATGGATTTCGAGGCTTCCCTGCAGTGAAATGATCGAATCTCCATCAAGCACACAAGCAGAGCATATACATACGTACATATATATATGTAGAGAGAGAGAGGTTGAGGGAGCAACCTATGCTGGACAGTGATACCAATCATTGAGCAGTCCACCAAACAAGGAAACACAGGAGACGGGAAAAATAACTGAGGACAGTAGCGTATACATCTCGATGCCAACAAGAAACAATCATCGACCAGGTCAGGTCGGGATGTAAAGTCCTGAAAAAGAAGTATTCTATAAGAACGACAAAGAATTCAAACAGTTTCAATAGATGAAGTTACTTATTAATGTATATAAAACTGAACCTGAATCTTGGTGAGTGTAAGTGTTGTGTGGTTGAAGAGAGATTCAATTAGGACCTTTAAATAATCTGTACAAGATGGATCCGACCCAAATATCTACGAAAGAGGATAGAAAATTATATTGATAACATATTGATCGAAAAAATATACAAGTAACAAAGAACTAGAATAACTAACTGGATAAGCACCTTTATAACTTCACTTGAGAGATAGAGAAAACATGGCTGCTGATGCTGTCTGTACAACCCTTGAATCTCCTCGAGCATTGCACCGACTGTAACGCCCATAAGAGTTCTAGACGTCCTCACCTACACAGTAATTTTAATGTCGGAGGCATCAAATTACTAGCACATGCCCTGATAAAAATATGCCTATTGTAGCAACTTCATATACCCCCTCGGCCTACCCTCCCTCAATGTCATCTTACAAGTAATCTTTATGCTGTTAAAGCAGGTGCATTATGTGTGTGTGTGTGTGTACATATATATATATATACTGAGGTAAGTGTACTACTTTGTAACTTTGGGAAGAGCACACATAGTACTCGAAGCATATCGTGCCAGAGATCCCTCGTATGCTTAACCAATAAAACAATAGTTGAAAAACAAAGAAAATATCATCATTCAGCAAACTCACTGCATTTTTGCATGCTCGACAAAGAGATTCCATGGTCCGCATGTCCCAAGAGCGTCTGCAGAAGTATTTGAGCTTAATCTATTTAATGCATCAAGCATCCAAAAAACAACTAAATAACTATTAAAGAAGTGGCAGTAGCGCTTACACGTCAAAGATTGCTTTGAAAATTGGCCAAAGTCTTTGGACAGCATCTGCAACAGCTTCTGGATGATTTACGTGCCTGAAATTATTACAGTAGAAGATCACTGATATTTAACTAATGAAGAGTTACAGAGAGCAAAACAACAGATAAAGCCCATACCTGAATATATTCGCTAGCCGGTCTATAGGTACAGTTAGCTCACGTGCGGGTTTCTGCCCCAGCACTAAAGGACCTTGATTTAGGATATCCTGTTGGTTGACCACATGAATATTTGATCGATCTTAAAAAATAACTCAAAAGAGCACACAGAAACACTGACCTGTAAAGGAGCCACAGCAGGCAAGCACAATGCCTCAAGGGCCTTTTTCGCATGTTCCGAGGGAAGTTCTGTGATAACCATACTGTGCAAACCGATTTCTCTATGAGTCAGCATAACATCAACTTTTATATCTATCTGGAAAATAAAGCTTTATATACCTTAGAGCTTCAACTATATGCAACGAGTCTTCAGCAGAAAATTTGAAGGGACTTTCTCCATTCACTGCCGTCTGGTATATTTGAAATAGACCATCTAAGGATCCACACAGCTTTTTCTTACAGTCTACAATCCACAAAGTTATACAAGCCATACATTAGGCTTTGAGGTGTTTTTAGTGCTCAAACAAAAAGATACAACACTTATATGGATGGGATGGACTTGAGGGTGGAACAAATTCTGACGAATAAGTAAACATAAATACAAAAAGAAAAAGAAAAAGAAAAACGTGAGCATTATAAGCAAAGATAAGCAATAGGATGGCCAATCAAATGAGAATAAACATCTAGGGGAGGGGATAGGATCGGACAGTCTGGATTTCGGGTAATTCGAATTTGCATTTGAGTTATAGAACATGCTTCTAGAAACATTAACCAACTTATGCATGCTAGCTTCTATTCTACAAAAGCTTGGCATCCATCGAACTTGTTTGTTGTGCTTCTGGTGTTGCAGATTAGTGATATTGGATTGATTACTCTTCTTGTTGAGCTTTCTATAAAAAGATTATTTATGTTTTTCCCCCCTAACGAGTGACGTTAGTAAAGTTAACGGTTTCATGTTCAACTTGAAAGTGTATAAATCTACCTAGTGTAGGTTTCTATGTTGATTATGAGTGAAGTATTTTGAGTATAAATTACCTGCACCTAATTATATAGATTAGTCTCAGTTAGGTTTTTATTTTTCTTTGTGATCAAGAAATGAAGTGTCAGCTTATTGAACCAACGGGAGAAACTATCCATATTTTCTGACAAGTGATATTATGCAAACGAATGATTCCGGTGATGCACAACCGAAAATGATTTATGAAGGTAAAAAGAACAAGCGCTATAAGCATGAGACAGAATTCAGATGCTTATTCTGACAGCATAAATTGTGCAGGAAAAGCATTCAGGTCCAAGAATAACAAACTAGAGATCCCAACAAGGAAAGCTTACCATCACAGATATGGCGAAAAGCCAGAGCAGCAGCAGCTGCAGTGTCCTCAGAAATACTCATGCCACCAACAAGAATATCTATCAGTGGTGGCAAAAATGAAAGACCACTGGGTGCAGTATCAAGCCATTTTGAGTAAGCACCAATCGTCAAGCAAACTACGGAAGGAGATTTAAGGTATAAATTGAAGTCAATCACAGCTCACAGTTAAGAGAAAATCACTGAAAGGGTACAGCAGCAAGAAAACACATCACCTGTCTGTAGCAGCTGTGGTTGATGAGGAAGTTTAGGGAGTAAAGACATGATCTGACCAATCAAACATGTGTAAGTGTCATAAACTGGGCAGTCATGATTCAAGAAAATCTTATATGTCTTCAGTTTTTGGAAAGGAAAATGAGAAATAAGAATTTAATGCCATGCAGACACTCCCATTTTGAGTAAGCACCAATCGTCAAACAAATTACGGAAGGAAATTTAAGGTATAAATTGAAGTCAATCACAGTTCAAAGCAACACCCCCCCCCCCCCCCTCCCCTTCAAAATATATATAAAAATAAATAAAATTCTGGGGACGGTGAAAGTTCATACCTGAGGCATTACATCTCCTTCAGAAAGAGAAACAAAATCTGAGATTGCACGGATGTTAAACAAAGCAGCCTCTGCAGGACGCCAATCATTGTGCTGGTTTTGTTCAGAACTACGAAAAGCCTGGGATATTACGCAAACAGAAACCAAAAAAAAAAATCAACTCTCCACTTGAAAATATGAAAAAAGGACTCTTGGAATCTTCACAATGTTTATCCTGTTAACAGCTTCATATCACAAAGGATAATCATTTCACGTAACTAAGACTTCACCCAGAATTAATGTTTACTGGGATATTATGTAAGATCTTTATAGTAACTAGTAATGAAAATTGGCAAGAGTTTTATGTGGTCAATTACACAGATGGAGTAGATGCATGTACCAAATAGAGGTAGACAATCCAAAGTGCTGACGAAAATCAAGACCAAAAAAAAAAAATTGTATAAAACACTAAAGTACCAACAAAAAGCAATAAGACAAATCAAAGGTGCGTTCCTTCGTGATTTTATACTTGTTTTTGCAAGTTGTGTTTACCCCTATAAAACATCAAACACAAAGGAACACACTTAATTATTGTTGGCAACGATAGCCAATAAATGCAGTGAATACTTAGCAGGAAAGCAAATATGTTAATAATAGGCTAATAGCAATGGTGTAATCTATTGAGTTCCACAAAGACAATTCCCTTCTTTATCTGCCTTACAAGCAGAATTTCTACAAAATTAAAGAGATAAGCTCACCTCAATAAGCTTCATGTAGAGAATTCTTAGTGTTGCATCACCTCCCAGAACTAAAGCTGCGTCGATAAGAACATCAGCTACAGCTGCAACCATAAAATAGTTTCATTAGTATGCAGAGAATTTAATCACAGTCATGGATAGACCAAGACAAGGAACAGTGTGTGGAGCAACTTGAAGAAAGTTTTAGATGTTGCCATATGACAGACACAGAACAAAGATAGAATCAGCAGGTGAATAAATCTAGGTGTTTAAAAAAACATAAAAATAGAATATGCACACATTTCCAAGAGTGAATTAATAGTAATGCAGCAGAGTGTCCAGGGTGAGAGAGAGAGGGAACAAAATTGGGATATAAGATGTCCAACCAAGATAAAAAGATAGCATGGCTGTAAACCTTAAGTAGGAAAGTAGTAACTACTTCCAGCAATAAACTGGGATGTAGTTAGTTTCCTCTAGAAATCATATTTCTTTCCTTTTAAAGTCTATCTAATGTGATAAAGGAACACATATAAGATAACCAATCAAACAATTAAAAGAACAGAACATAAAACTGTTAACTACAGTATGCGACAGGTTATGTTCTGTAGTTCTAACAAAATATAGCCGAAGGATGTCATTGAAATTAACATGAGGCACTACTAATTCAGGAGCAGTTTTTGGGTCAAAGGCACACAAATACATCACAGAATATTTGTAAAAAAACTTATGTATAGTATCACAACAAAATTAGCAGATGCTGTACAGGCACTGAAAACAACAAGCTCGCTATGCCTGATCTAGAATCCCCATATCGAACAAAGATGGACTCAAATGTGGAAAACTGGATCGTATAAGTATTGACATGTTGTGCTATATAATGAGCACTTTAGAAGAGCTATCGAAGGCTGAAAAAGGGTAGGAAGATTTTCAGACACATAATGAATTGATTCTTGGTGACATGAAAGAAAGAAAACCTTTGTCCACAAAGAGGTCTAATAGAATGCCAATCGAAAAGTTCCCTACCTAAAAATACTTTTATTTAAATAGCATTGGAGAAGTAGCTCTACAGGTTAGCTCATCATATATATCATTCACCAAAAAATTCTCACAAGTTTTATTTATTTATTTGTTATTATAAAATCTTTCAACAAAAATTGAAATAAATGCAGAGTTATAAAACTATAACATAAGCAACACCATCCAATAAATTATTGGAAAATGTAGTAGCTCAACAATGATCAGAGGCATTTGCAGAAAATACCATATCTGTTCTGCTTAAAATCTTTCTGGTCCTCTCTTGAAAGTCCAGCATAGTCCTGGGGATATTCAACTTTGACACTAACCTGAGAAGAATATTGATGGTGCTCATTTATATAAGCCATGCAGCCATTTTAAAAGAAATTCTGATCTAAGGCAGATGTTAACACATTAAACTAAAGAAAGGTAAAAGTCTCACCAAAGAAACCAAGGATTCATATGACGGTCGGAAAATCTGCAATCTACGGGCTCTCTCAGATTCAGCAGATGCTTCACCTCCATATTGTACGTGATAATTACTGATCCAATGGAAACTTTAAAATTAAAAGCTGAATGAAACCACCTACACTAAGCAGATCTAAAGCAATTTTACCTTTCAACTAATATTAATTGGAGGCTATGCCAGAAGTTAAAGGTCATTGAAGCAATATCAAATTGGGGATGGGAAGCAACTTCTAGTAATGCTTGAGCAATCACCATCGATTCGTTGGAACCTGAATCAAAAGCCCTTACGAACTTAAGCAAGGAATGTAGCAAGCCTTATCTTTGTGTCAGCATCTATGTATACATGAATGTGATTTATATATAACACTGATAAAAAATATTGTATATACTAGACAAGCACTTTCCTTGAGGTTACAATATAATGTAAATGCAACAAAAAATGAAGAGAAAGTTACAACATAAGAGAAGATATATACCCGTTGCAATCAACTCAACATAGGCATCCCCCATGTCAGCAAATAAGCGGGCAATGGCCTTTAAATCTTCCTCATCCTGAAAGCAGAGGCAACTAAAGTAATTAGACAAAACAAGTACAACAGTACGGAGACAGAGAAATTTAAAATAAGATCAAAGATCATTTCACAGGAATTCTGTAATGGAAATGCCTCAAAAAATAGCAATAAGTAACGTAATTATGACATGTCAGCAGAATAAAAGTTATATAGCTTCTACATACCTTGGAAGGATCTCTTAAATGTTCTTTAAGATTCATAACTTGCGGGACAATAAATTGAATTAAGGGCATTTGAGATTCAACTTCATCAATACTTCCGACTGTTGTATAGTGTATTAACTCAGAAATAACTGCATCCAAACATTGTACAGTGATAAAAGGATTCACAGAAAACACAAAATAAATGAAGGTTAACGTTCAAACTACAAACTATCAGGACAGAAACTGAACTTTAGGCATACAATAAGTTCATACTAAACTCCAAGTGAAGGAACAATATGGAAGAAATGTGATGCACTAAATTTGCTATCCACATTTAATGATATATTTGAAGGAAAAGTGAAGAAAAGTCACCATGTGGGAGCATCACACCCAAGGATTATAATTTATAGCAATATTTACTTGGTTATATTTGAAGAAATACTGCTAACCATTTTCTGCCAAAGTAATATAGATATGCTTTGAATGAAACATTATGAAACTTATAGCATACCAACGATTAATAAGAAAACTGTATTCACAGTTATATAGACCTATCTTTTCTAATTACAAGTCACTTCAATCATCTCTCACTGAGTCTCTCTTATGCTATTTTTATTTGGAAAATCACTTTCATAATTCATACATATTACTCCCTCCGTCCCACGTATTTTGTCTTGTTTATTGTAGATACAATATTTTAGGAGTATCATAATTAGTAAATTAATTAAGAACTATATTAGTAAAAATAATTACAGCACATTACAGGTAATTATAGATTAAGATCATAATAACTAATTAGTCTAATTAAAATTAAAAAAATTATAGATTAAAAAATCTAAAATGTAATTAAGGTGTGTATTCCTTTTCTAAAGAGAAATACGACAGAAGATGTGAGACATAATGAAACAGCAACATAGTCAGGAAATGTGGGACGGAGGAAGTATAACTTAGAAAAAGGCCACAGGAGAAAGAATGAAAAGAAAAAGGATATTCCACCTAGACGAACTTTAAATACAAGAAGAAGAAATAAAAAATAAGTCTATTCATTCCGACCAACCATTAACTGATGCTTCAGAGAGTACATCACTATCCATGCTTGAGATAGCAGTGTGCACTAATGGATGTGAAGCGAGATCTTTAGGTGGTATCCTGAAAATAATAGTTGAATAAAAATAAGATTATTTTCAAACACAGAGAGGGGATATAGAGCTAAAAGAGACACGGTGCAATTTTAGAAAAAATAGGCCAAATGGTTAATAGAATAGAAATCACAGGCATGATGTCTTGAACTTCATGTTTTTCTAGCCTTATCACAAGTGTAAGCATACTACGAAAAATAGGCAAAATACTTGACAACCATAAATTATTTCTCTGATCATAGGCCAAAAAACTTGAGTTTAATTTTTACTGAATTTTTTATTTAATTTTCCTACCCTCATTTGAATTGTAAACACAGCTATTTTTATGGATGAATTGTCTTCTTATGTTTGTAAATATGTATATACATGTAATTTGATTAATAATCTAATGTTGTGACAACTTATAAATGCAAGTTGGGCATGCACGTATGAATTGTAAAATATAAAAATAAAATTTTTAATATTTGTAGTGCATGTTAAAATTTTTACTTAAATTTATATAAAGGTTGAGTTGTCTTCAATGTGAGTATGCTTATTCTAGGAAACATGAAACAAAATTGTAGTCAAATATAGTCAAAGGGTTCCATGCTCATTTTAAAAACCAAGCCAGCAGACTTAATCTTCACCCGAAATGTGGGATGTTCTCATGAGTCATGAAGACTACAGAATCCAGATGATAAATAGGTTTTAAAAGGTCTTTGTTGAATATTGATCTAACTGGAAAACAAGAAGGTTCAAGAATAACAAGGACTAGCATGCCATGCTGTACATATACAATCACAAACATGTCATGCTTGTCTAGTAAAGAAAAACATGTCCCAACTTTCAAATGAGAAGTTCATTTAAAATAAGACAGTATGGAAAGTGGACAATACCTATGCCTTAGCCGCAGCCAAGAAGCAAAAGCTTCAAGAACCTGTTGAATTATAAGAAATTATTATGGCAAACTAAAACAAACACAACTTCCAGCAAATTGATTAAAATAAACACCATAACATAAACAAAGAAGCAATACACCGAATTCTTTGAAAATGTTAAATAATGATATATATATAGTATATAACAGCTACACATTGCTTTTAAAATCAAATGATCCAAAAATCAAGGCAGCTTCAAACAAAGAGGAAGGGAAGCATTATGTGTAAATATAACACAACATGATGCAGAAAGAAGGAACAAGAGACCAAATACCAGAATAAAGGGCAAAAGCATAAATACAATTCTCTACATATGCCAGTAAGACACATGTGTTTACTTGTGAGGTTTTGATTTTGATTTTGAATAGTAAAATTTTGAATTGAAATAGTTGTTTGATGTGATAGTAAAATTTTGAATTGAAATAGTTGTTTGATGTGATACAAATATGTATCGATGTGATGTTTTGAATGTAAAATTAGATTTTAGTATAATAAACTAAATAAAAATTGGGTGTTTGATTCGATGTTTTTGGAGGGAAAAGAAAGTTGGAATAGTAAAGTCAAGATAAAATCTTACAAGTAAACATGCAAACTAAAATATCTTATTATGTTTTCAAGACATCATGCACAGAGCCTACATATATACATTTGCAGATATTATACAGCAACAAACTGACAACTGGGGAAAAAGATCAAAACTTATTCTCTTTGAGCATCTTTAGGCACTGTCTGACAGGGACACAATCTTTTAATCATACTCATTTCCAGGAATTTACACTAATCTACAAGAAAGGGTGAAGGAAATTTAAGGCAAACAAAATGAAGTAGAGAAACTAGTGAATAGATAAACTAGCAGAAATACCTGCTCTGCAAGCTCATTAATACTCAAGCATGCAGTTAAGAGATCAAGAGCAATTTTCATCTGTGAAACAAGTTCATTTTCAAAATTTCGACGTCTATCAGGGCGAGCAGCTATCTTGTAGTTGAACACTTCCTGGTCAAAGAAAAATTGTTATTATCCTTTCTTTCGGAAATTAGAAGGGATATTGTGCATCACAAGTATTACAAGCATCAATTAAGAAATAATAAAACTCTGACTACAATCTGAATTGTTTGTCTAGGACTACAGTAATACACAAGAACAACTAGGTATTAGTACCAGTAAGAGACTTCACAAAAGTTAAAAGAATCTGCAAAAAGAATTCATAGGTCTTTTCCTATTGCACCAATAGCATACATTTGTATGTTTTTAATGCAAGCATTCATTCCTATGTAAGTTTGTGTGTGTCTATGTTTATGAGAGAGAGATGAATGGAAAAAGGGATGAATCCCAAAAAAGTAGGATTTTCATATACCTCAGGCAAGACTCTAAGAAGTTCCAGAAAACTTGGTAAGCATTCAGGGTGTGAATTCATCTCATCACTTATCCACTTTACAATCCCACCATCTCCCCAGTCTTCTGCAGGCACATGGGCAGCTAATGCAGCCACTGCAAGACTAATCTATATACCACAACATTTAGCTTTATTTGGATTCAAACATAAAGACAACAATTCAAGACTCTTAACAGTACCTGAGTTCTAACTTTAGGAGGTCCCTTGTGAAATGATTTCAGTAAGGTCTGCATAAAAAATAATAAACATAAAATTTCATGCAAGGATAAAAAGAAAGGGCATTCATTACTCAAACAAGAAAACTGTTCAAAGTAAAAACTATTGTGGTGAACTATACAGAGTGGTTTTTCTTGGTAATGGCCAGCAAGGAACAAACCGCATGAAATCCTTTCATTGAGATAATAGATATAGAATATGAAAAGACAAGCTAGTTTGAAAATAAAAAATAAGCTTCGACATCTTGGGAGCAACATGCATCAGTTGTGCAGACACAAGCCCGAAATTCACAAATGAAAAAACTTACAGTTTGTATGTGGTTTGGTAGTGGTTTGTTTGGGAATAGTAACAAATTGAATTGAAATAGGTTTTCAATATGATATTTTGAATGGAAAATGAATTGTTGATAACAAATGTACAAAACAAAAAATAGGTATTTGATGTAACGGTTTTGAGAGGGGAAAATATGACGAATAGTGAGATCTAATTGAGGCCCTAAATAAGTAGACCCTTAGTTCCTTTTCAGGAATCCTTGCTTGTTCCAATCCATAGCATCCATTTTTCTAAAAGATCTCCTGTACCCAACCATCATATTCCAAAGACTAAATAAAGAACTAAAGGCTAGAGCAATGCACAGTTGCATTAAGGTATGAAAAAGTAGTTCACATGCAAAAAGACAACTTATTCAACTTAACCATCTGAAAGGTATATTTCTTTCCCAAATTGAGATATCACACAGAGTCAAACTGTCAAGCAACATCGACAATAAACAAAACAATCAGTATTTAATCTGATGATTTTTTACGAGGGGCAGTTCACTGAAAAAAAGGTGAAATCACCAACCAGGTATTAGAAAAACTACTTGATGGACAATAACATGACAGACAATCAATGCAACAGGAAGCAATGAACTAAAATCTTTTAAAGACACTACTCCCAAGTCATTACAGCCTCCTTACATTTAAAGAAAGTCGTAATGAATAAAAAGCTTCCGAAGGAAGTTCTTCAAAATCACGCTGCACCTGTTGAAAGCATAGAAAACGTTAGGCTTAATGTTGGATTATAACTTCTATCACAGATAGTGAAAAGATAAATAGAGAAAACATCTTATCCACCAGAAAAACTAATTTAATCATTAAAAACTGTGACAGTCACCTTGCTTCTGAGGGTTTGGGAACAGAATATCAAGGTTTCTATATTGCTGGATGTGTCATGAAGCAAACTGTCTGCAACCTAACCATAAGAAAGATATGCATAGCATGAATATTAAAATATATCAAGGAATGGTTAACCAACAAACACGACACTATTAAAGTTTAAGGCAAGGATCATAAAGGAAAAGAAAAGAATTGGAACGACATGTTCCTCAACAGTTTAAGTTATGGGTGTGTTCACTTGTGTTATCTATTCTTCTCCATCTTTTCACTATTCAATCTATCTTCTCCTTCCAAAAATATCACATCATCTATCTATTTTACATTCAAAACATCACATCAAACTACTACTTTACCTCAAAAACCATAGAAAACCAAAGACAGACACACGTGAAAACACCCTATATTTGAGAAATGTGAAGGACAGTCAACAAGAAGAAACAAAAGCAATGTCTTTTCAAACTTCTCCAGAATGCCACTGTAGCAAACATGAATACATATTTATTAATGAAACATAAGTCATGCATTACCCATAACAAACATACGTCAAGCAGTGCAATCAGTAGAGAAAAGACACACTATAACAATGCTGTAACATATTAAGTCATCCTTCATAATACCATCAACAAAACAATGCTGTTTGAAAAATTAACCTCCCAAATTTTCTTCCTACAAATAACGAAATCTCAGTGAAAGAGAAAATTTGAAAGATAAGCCACAAACATAGAGAGTTTTCTGCGTCTAGCAGCTTTTAGTCAGATGTGCTTCGTTAACGGTACAATTCCACAATTTTCACTGTACTTCCCAAATCTCAAGGCACAATATCTAATAACATACCCTTGGCACCCATTAAAATCCATTATACAATCATACATGCTACTTGAAAATAAAAAGTGCTACACTATATATTGTCCACAGAATTGATTAACTTCAAGTATTACGAAACCAGACAGAAATCGAACAAGTCTCCCAAACATGTTTCTTAACTGACTCAGGAAACATCAAAAGCATCACAAAAAGCCAACAAGGAGAAGAATAAATAGTTTGCATAGCAAGAAGTAAATGCCATTCCCCCCCCCCCCCCCCCCCCAACAAAACAGACAGGTCTGCACCCTATTGGTGAGATAAAAGCATTGTGACTTCACTCTACAAGACAAATCCTTTCCAATAAGAGCACCAATACAATTCCCAGCCCAGGTCTCCTAAATACAGTAGTTCACAGAACCAATCGTATATAGATCACCAATTGTCCCCAAAAGCATTCACTAAAACAAATGCAAAAGGTTCATCAAATTCAAACTCCTCAAATCCTGCCTCCGTAAATTCAAGTGAAATTGCAGATGAAATTCAAATTCACACCTTCCTAATTTAACAGCTCAAGCTAAAAAAGTAGCCGCCTTCCCCATCCACACCCAACTCGAAATACAACTCCATATCATATCCCCTCAACCACCACCCGAAACCCTCATTACAAGCAACAAAACAAGCAACTCACTAAAATCCATAAAGAAATTGCGGAATAAGTAGGAGTTGGATTGGAAGTTGGGGAAACACCTGCCAAGCGTCGATTGTGCGCTGGAAATTTTGAAGCCAGCGATCGGCGTCCATCCGAACGGAGTCGTCAGGGTGATGATAGAGCGCGTTTAGGGCTTCCTTCACAGTGGACTGCAGATGCAGATGATGCAGCTCCATCTTCCTTCCTTCCTTCCGTCGCTGCCGTTTCCCAAATCAAACGACGACGCAATGGGCAAGATTGAAAGGAGAAAAAAACACTATCTAATGGTAAGTAGTATATATATATCTACGCGTTTTTCTACTGCGAAGGAAAATTCAAATCGATGGAAATTGAAATGTGTATGTATACGTATACAGAAAGGTTGCTTTAAGTTTGTGTTTGTACGGGTCACAAAAACATATTTGAACGAAAAAATTTGATCTGAAGTACTACCTCTTCCCAAATTGTCATTTTTTATTTTTTTTCCAAAAAAAAAAAAAATTAGCATTTTCTAATTTATAATTTAGTAATGATATTATCTATATAACATAATAAATATTTTTCTAACTTACATTATATTATACAAATATTATTATTTGACTTTTTATATTACAAAATACTAATAAGAGTAATTTTTTACTATAACTTATTATAATACTAATATTAAAAAAATTATGTACAAAAAGTAAACGACAATTTTACACCATATCAGATTGAATATATAAAATTATAAATGTAATCATATATATATTTCGTATCATGTTATATCATATACTTTCTCCATTCAATTTTTATCGTTCTAAAATATATTTGGACTATTTTATTTTAGATAATTGTCTTTTATTTTAAATCGACAAATTTGTCTTTAATGTTATGATAAATAAATGAATAAAAAATAAAAAATCATTTTTTTTTTTAAAAAAAAATAGAACATTAGCTGTTAAACATTCCAAATAAAAAAATAAAATATGAGTTTGTGGACGGAGAAGTATCATATATCATATTATATCATATATCATATATCTTATTATATATTCAAATATATTTGATAAATATTAAATTTCAATAATTAATTAAAATCTGTTAGAATATAAATTTTAATTTTATTTAATTTTTTTAAATATTGAATTTGGTTAATTAATTAAAATGTATTAGTATAACCAATAATTTAATAAAATAATAATTTACTAAGATAATAAATAACAAATTTATAGAAAAAAAAATTAAGGTTTCAAAAAATTTATTAGAATAACCAATAATTTAATAAAATAAAAATTTATTAAGAATAATAAATAACAAAAAGTAACTGTTTACTGTATATGTAGACGGAAGGAGTATTATTTTATTGAGTATTATTTTTATATGAGTAATATTATTAATATTTTAAAACTATAAATTAATATTTGATTAAAAATTTAGAATATATTTATATATATTTTAGCATTATATTCTAATAAAATATATAAAATATATAACATTTTATAAATAATAAAATTTTATATAATAGGAATAAATATATTTATTTATTCATTTATAATTGACTTAAATTAGTTTTATATAAAAAATAAAGAATTTTAAATATAAATAAAAATATTTGTGATGTTTGTTTTGTTTTTTGGTTTTAATTTTTTTTTATGTAAAGTATATAAAATTGTAGATATAATATAAAAATAATAAATGTGTAATATATTAATATTTTTGAAAAAATATGTTAAGAAATTTTTTTGAAAAGAAATAAACCCTATTTATTAAAAAAAAAGTTTGAGTGAATTTTAAAATTAAAAATTTAATTAAATTAATAATTTTATTAAAAAATATCATAATAATATTTAAAGTAAAATTTAAATTAAAACCTCATATTCAAGTAAAAACAAACAAACCCTAGTTAGAATAGATTAGTTTCTTCTCTATCCAATGGGACATGAGCATATTAAAATAATATATGTAGGTATATATATATTTTATATTTTTAGTAATTCATAAAAAATGTTATTAACAAGAAATTATTGGTAAATAAACTTTATATATTATTATAATGTAAAATTAATTAAATTGGTATAAGAATTGATATAATAAATATATTAAAAATGTCTTCTTTTAAATTTTAAACTAAAATTAATTATTATTCATGTCAAATGATTTTTAATAAAAATATATATAATTTTTTTTAACAAAAATATAACATTAAAATATAATTAAAAAAAACTTAAATTAATATTCTATTTCAAATTAATTTTGAATAATAATCAAATAAACACTTTATAATTAAATTAAATTAAAAAATATTGATATAGGCGATAATAATAATAAATTAAATTTAAAATAATTAACTAAAAAATTACTCTATCCGTTTTGTACCTATTTTCTATTTTTTTTCCATACGTAAATTATTCTTTTTTATTTTTAGAAATATAATTATACACTTTAATCACATTTTAAATTTTTATAATTTTCTTAATTTTAATTAAACTATTTATTTATTTTAATAATTAAAAAATATACTAATATTTTAATCATAAAGATATTACTCATTATATAAATTATCCTATAAAAGTTGCCCTAATAAAACGACCCACAACCGCCGCCCACACCATATTCTTTCTCTTTCTTCTTCTTCTTCTTTTATTGCTCTGCTCCGCTGGTTCGAACCGTCTATTTTGCTCTATACGGTTCGAACCGTATAAAACCGGTTCCGGTTCCATTGCCGTCGGCGGTTCAAAACCGATTGGGCTAGTGGAGAATACAAATTGCGCCGGAGACAACACATCGCACACCGCCGGCGTGCTCAGCTTCTACTGCCACCGCCGCCGCCTATGGTTTCTCCCGTCCCGTAAATTTAGTTGTTTATATACGGGATAGAGTTGTTAATTCGGTGATATGGCGGCAGAGTCAGAGAGCCCTTCGCCGAATATAGTTATACCCTACGAATGGGCTAATGCCGCTGAGACCGTAACGTATGGTTCTGTTGCTTCTCCGATAGCCTTCATCTGCGGCCCTAAGAATAGCGGCAAAACTACTTTCTCTCGCCACTTGGTCAATGTTCTTCTGCGGAGGTATTTATGCAGTAGTATTCTACTTCATCCTTGCTATTTCCATTCAGTGTTTTCTTGTTGAGGTTTTCTGAGTGATTTAATGTGAGAATTAATGTGTAATGAGGATTGGTTATGAAGGTAGAGATTTGCTTCCCCGTAGGTTGTATGCTTGTGAATGTATGATTTTTTATTTCCCAATATTGGAATTTCAACCCAATGTTGAATTTGTTGTGCATGTAGTGTATCGTAAGAATGTTTCATGGTGTTTGGAAGTGTAATTTCACTCAAATTCGTATGGTTGAAATCTTTCCTATTCATTAATTTTCGGCATGCCCGTACATGAATTTAGAAACATAAATTCTTACATACACATACATTCATGCTTTACATGTAGATGAATTGATTGTTATGCAACATATTTTTCACTGTTTGTGAGAGTTCCTAGTTATCCGGTATGTATATATATATATATATGTATATATATGTATATAATCAGTAAGGGTGCAACCTTCATGATTTTCAATTGAAATAGGAATTTATTGTTCATAAAATGATAGGAGTATGTAGTTGAGCAAATACAGCTTGTGCCTTTGCACAACAACAATATCTATTGGTGGTGATATTTAACTTACCAAGGATCACATGTTCAAATTACGAGCTTTTTATTACAGGTACAAAAAAGTGGCATACCTCGATACCGATGTTGGGCAGACAGAGTTTACCCCTCCTGGCCTTGTGTCACTGGTTATGATTGACAAAACAACTCCAGGTATATTATTTGTTGTTTTGGCCAATAAATATATGAGCATTTGACATTTTCATCTACAATCTTACTACTATTAAATATTGCTAATTTTCCCCATTTGTGTGTTTGATATGCAGATGTGACGATCCCGTGCTTGAAAACTCCTGCACGGTATAAAATTGATTCATGCCTTGACTTGTTCTTTAATATATTTTCTTTCTTTTTAATATGAAGAATTAATGTACAAAACTTAGAGTCCATTATACTTTTGTTTTATCCATCAATTGTCACATACTCATATTTTGTGAATTTTCTTGGCACACCTCAAATTTGAAATGCTTATACCTTTTTATTTGTCTCATGCTGTTATCAATATGCTTTGAGTGAACAATGGATTAATAATAAAGACTATTCCATATGAGCGTACCAATTTTAGGTCTCATCTCAATGATTTCGTCGTGTAAATTTGCCTTTCACAAAAACTATCATGGCCTACTTTCAATTCTCTTGCCCAGCAATGTGGACTGTGGTAGTTGACAGTGTATTTGGTCATTTCCTAGTTCAATTTGTCTTTTGAGTGCAATCTAATGTCTCATAATAAAGTTTCTTCTGGAACCCTGTAATTTATGTGACATTTTGAAGATAATAAAATCATATGATATAGTTCTATTGTATGGTTTGATGTATTCGATACAAATGACCCTTAATTGATCTTATAAATTTTATGCATTCTCCGTATCTATGGAATGAAATTTGATTGACTGTTTACTTCTGAATATCATTTCAGATGTTTTTTCTTTGGTGATATCTCATCAAAAAGGGATCCTGCTACTTATGTATCTTACATCAAAAAGCTGTATGAGCACTATCTGAAAGAATACAACACAAACAGTCGAGAGGAAATTCCAGGAAAGGATGAGGTTCCACTTGTCATTAACACCCCTGGCTGGGTTAAAGGTTTTTCTCTACTGCCAGAGACATGCCTATACTTATGGATCAAATACTATTTGTGTATCTTCTCTAAATAATTATATTCTTTTCACATTCTATACTATCTTTTCTTTTTACAGGAATTGGTTATGAGATACTGGTCGACTTGCTAAGAATTATGTCCCCCACCCATGTTGTTAAGATTCAAATATCAGCTTGGAGCAAGAACCTGCCATCAGGAACATTTTGGTTGGACGAGGAGAATTCTGATTTAGTTTCTGTCATTGAGATCAATGCTGCCCTTCAAGACCACATGAAGAGATCGTATGTTCTTCTTCTTATTATTATCATTAGTGCAAACGTACATATCTTTTTAAAATTTTCTCACTAATGGGTTGCACATTCGGGGTAACTCCCTTTTTTAACTTCAAAATTATTATTTTCCTTTCTGTGCTTGCATCCTTTATAGAATGTATATATTACTAGTCTCCTGTCTGTCGACTTTCCGTGTTTTCTTTCTGTCTGAGGTATTCAGCTGCTTCTGTTTTCTTAACAATCTCTTTTAGGGTGCTGGTGCGAAAGGATGCAAACCTTCTACGAGATCTGCGGTTGATGGCATACTTTCGACAGTGCTTTCCCCGAGATATGACTATCTCCACAATCAAAGAACTCGCCCGAGCAATTGCAGCGCACCCTCCTTATGAAGTTCCCATATCGAGTATCAAAATTGAACACCGTCACTGCAAGGTAAAGACTCCCCAAACCACTAGATATATAATATCCACAGGAAGAGAATATCATTCTAGCTTGAAGTTGTGATATACGGTCTTTATTTTATTTCTTTCTATCCAACGTAATTTTTTATGTTGTCGCTGCTTAATCTTTATATCATATTGAATTGCTTATTCTACATATTCATATCCACAAATTAGAAATATTATTCATACTCTCTGATGGTGCAACTTCTGCTTGCCAGGTTCCAGCTACCGAAAAATTTTATAGCTTGAATGCAACTATAGTTGGTCTTGCAACCAGTTCAGATCCTCCCCAATGTGTTGGCTTGGGTTAGTAAAACTTCTCTTTTCATAAAAGCCTCTCTATCCCTCAAGATTCAAAACTTTTACAGCATGCTATAGATTTGCCATATAAATGCATGATATCAATATAGCAACACTGAAAGTCATAAGATCCGGGTTCTAAATGGTTCATAGAAAATTGCTAAATGGTTATAAAAGCTCGTTATGTATGCAGCATGCAACTTCTGTTGTTTCTTCTTCGAATATAACCAAATAAGATGGTATTGTTCAATTTAAATTCTCACAACTGTGCTTTTTACCGCTTCTCTTGATGAATCAGGTATTGTGCGAGGCATCGACACTTTCAAAGGGGTTCTCTATATTATAACTCCTGTTCCACCACCGACACTGGAAAATGTTGACATGCTAATTCAGGGATTTATTCAAATTCCCACTTCTCTACTGCAAGTAAGTTTCTTGCCAAACACCACAGTTTATTACTACTCATACGGCTCATATTTCATAATTTACTTTCATTTTGCTGCAAAAGCACTTCCAAATCTTAGTTTTGAGTCATTTCTCTTCTCCAGATGCAAGGCTGTGTGTCCCCTTACATGTCTTCAAATGTACTATCAACAAAATAGGACCGCCACATCGGCTAACAATTTCACAAGCCCGAGTAAAGGTATCCACACATAACATAGCTTCATTATCATCATTGTTTACGTTAGTTATAGCATTTGAAACTCACGTTATTAATTTTATAAAAGTATACACACATTAACAAACAAAAGGGCTAGATTTCCTTCATTTACCTCCTTACTTTCCTATATGTGTCTGTTTTTTGTATTTGTGTTTTATATTTAAATAGTGGCTTAATGTGATGTTTTGCGAATATATATATATATATATATATAAATTCAAACATTTGTTTTAGGTCATTTTATACACACGAAGGTATGTGTTTTGTCACGTCTGAATTGATCATGATCATATATATATATATTTGTGTATATATGTGTAAGCACATAACACAAATGATATACAATGCAGGTCTTTAATTTTGGGTTATCTTTGCATTAAAATTTCTCTGCATATCTTTCATTTGACTTGGCCTTTCTTTTTAATATATATTTTTTTATTTTGTTAAGCAAAATTTTGCTTGTATGCATGTTTATGTACTCCTCTTGGCAGGTTTTTATTTTTTTATCCTATACAACACACGCACCCACTCGCGATCAAACTTACGGGAAGTTGAATATTTTATGTTGGTTTGTATGTGTCGTTTTTAAGAAACAAGCATGAAATGTTGTTCCAACTTGATTTGTTACATTATTATTATTATTATTGTTAGATTAAACTTTTGTTTATGGTTATGTGAAATATTAATTTACTTTTTTACTAGCATTTTGTTTGGGTGTTTTGAATAAAAAATATTAATGAAATAGTGTTTTTATATTTTACTAAATTTTTCTCATTTTTTTATATAGACATTGTACTTCGAGCTTCTCTTGACTAGACATCTTGTACAGACATCTTGTACAGACCAGTTATAGTAACCATTTTGATGTTTACATATGGTATGATAGGCTGTAGATCTTAATCCTGCCAACTTAGCATCGTGTTATTATATAATATAATATAGGGTAAATTATTTTTTAGTCCTCTAACTGAACCCCTTTATCATTTAGTCTCGTAAGTGAATCTGTCGCAAACTAGTTCTATAAGTGAAAGCTTTTTGCTGTTTTAGTCCTCCGGCACCGGAGACGCCCGCGTGGCTCGCCGGAGGTGACGTGTCCGCCAGGTCAGCGACACCTGGCGGATACAAGAATTTACTTTTTTTTTTTTTTTAATTTTTTAAATTTTTTTAATTGGACCAAATAAAAAAATACAAATAAAATTAAAAATAATTTTTTAAAAAATGAAAAAAATGAAAAAAATAAAAAAAATCCACGTGTCCGCCAGGTCAGCGACACCTGGTGGACACGTTACCTCTGGTGAGCCACGCGGGCGTCCCCTGCGCCGGGCTCTACTTACGCGACTAAAATGATAAGGGGTCCAGTTACGGGACTAAAAAAAAATGTTTACCTATAATATATGTATTTATAAATATATGCTGGTAATTTTTATAGCCTACTTGACTAGGGTTGTCAAATAGATCAGGTCGGGTTCAGGTTCGGGTCAGCTTTAAAGGGGTTACAAAATCTTGACTTGAATCTGACCCATTTAATTAAATGGATTGATATTTTGCAACTTTAACTTTGACATTTTATTGATCAAGTCAACTAACAATTTTTAAATATATAATATATATACATATTAAAGTGAAAAATTATTTATTCATATCATAAAATCGGTATTTAAGAATTGAAATAACAATTATTATACAACACAATCCTTTAATTTTTTATAGTTTATTTTTATAAAATTGGAATTGTATTGATACAATTTAGAAAAATATATTTAAATTTAAAATAATATTAATTAAATATGTTAGACGGGTTATTTTGTGGTAAAAATGTAGATTTTTATCTGATCCATGTAATTAAATGAGTTTGATCCAATTATTAGTTTTGGGTCAAAAACTTCAACTCAAATCTAATTATTTTAGTTAAGGTTCAGATGGGACTATTAGGTCGGATTAATTTTTGGTAGCCCTATATTTGAGAGTGATCACAGATCAGCCGATTCATGCCTTCGTATTATCTCAATATTTATTTTTTTTTTATATTTTTATATTTTTTTATTTTTTCTAAAAAAGAATAAATTTAGTATTTTTTGATATCACAAGTTTTCGGAGTTTTATTCATTGATAGTTTGATACACATACCCTAAATTTTATACCCTAAATTTTAGAGCTTGTACTTTTAGTGGATATTGAGTAATGAAAAAATAGTTTGAAATGGAGTATAAATTAAATAAACTCTTAATTTTTTTAATAAAGTAATTATTAAATAGAATTTTACTTCTTTTTGTAATATTCCTTTTTTTTCAGTAAAAAAAATAAAAATTCTTCTGTTTCTTCGCCGTTGTTTAGTATATTCCAGTGTTCCATGAACGATTTAATAATTTTAGAATATTAAAATTTTAACCTAAAATAAAATTTAATTCCAATATAAATATTTAATATAAAACCACCTTTGTTCTATCTACTTTTGCCTATGATATAAATAGTAGTCTTAATATCTGTTTTTTTATTAATATTTTATCCTAAACTCGTATGTTAGTTATATATATATATATATATTTTGAAACATTCCAATTTTATTTTTATTGTTTAAAAAAGTTAGAAATAGTGGCATCCCAATTTTATTTTTATTTTTTAAAAAAGTTAGAAATAGTGGCAGAAAGAGTATACTGAAAAAAAAAAGAAAAAAAAAAAGCTTTTCTATACAAGAGTGCTAAAATTTTGGAATTTTGAAAATGTATTGAAATAGTAAAAATGTCAATATTTGATACTTCTGAGTTAGTCACTGAAAAATATTTTAGATTTTTTTTAAGTAAAAAATTATTACACTTTTGTACTTTTTTTTATAATATAAAAGAAAAAAATAGTCATTATTATTCACTTTTAACTCGTGCTCGGTCAAATGAACATATATTTGCATTACGAAGGGAGTAATATTTTGTAAGAAAAAAAAATATAATTTTTTATTTTTTTTTAAAAAAAAATTAAAATTAATGAATAGTAAAAAAATTTAAAAAATGTAAATATAAACAAAGCCCAAGTGTTTAAGATATTCATAAAAAACGTAAAATTTTGATAAATAAAACACCAACATGATTGAAGGAAGCCTCCAAACCCATAAGTCTAAAATCTAGACAGACCAAACACATGTGTGTTCAAAGCCAAAGCTTTTAGATCTGCAAAAATGGAGGCTCCCCATAACTACAATATATCCTTACTGGATGTAATAGAATTCCAATACAATTTACTTAACTACATTTACACCAACCAATCATCAATGAACATACACACCAGGCAAATATGTCGATTCTTAATCGTCGGATCTTGGTGGAATGTACGGCACCCCTTCTTCTTCACAGATGTCCTGCACCATTTCACAGTTAGAAATCTTATAAACAAAATGCAGCAACAAGTCTAAACAAATCGGCAATGTTCGGCGCAATGTCGTACGAAATCTTATGAAGTAATGTTTTGATGTAAAAGACACATTCTTAAGGATTTCAGTGACAGAGAAGGTTCAATAGATGACTAAAACTGTTAATGGTAAGTAGTTGTGAGAATGTATGGAAGGAAACCGCGAATAATCCGGTGTGAACACAACTTATAATGTCGAGTATTTGCTCATTGATAAATAGAAGGAAACTGTGGCTAATCAGTCGATTTACTTATCTACCTGCAAGTGGCGAGGAAGCACCTCCGAGACTGAAAGAGTGTAGCATCCCGGAACAAACTTACCTGAGTGAAAAAAACAAAAGTATCACAGTTGAAAACCGGAGTCCAAGATTTGACGATGTTAAAGAACAAAATAAGACGGTGCTTAGAACATCGAGTTATGAATGGAGGGGGTAACAAATTCAGAATTTGGTCTCCTGCACTTCACAATCTATGATTCGTGTATTTTGGATGAAAGAAGAAATTAACTTCTACACAACTCATCGATAATGTGAAATATATATATATATAGTAGTAATAAAAGGTAGAAAGCCTACCAAATTTTCAAAAAGCTAACAAATAGAAAATGCTCTTCCAATTACACCATGACATCATACATTGTCATTCTAGTCGTTTTACGCGGCCATGTTTGTATCTCACTCTCATTCGTTGTGGCTTTAATGATCCTAATTTTGTGTGTTACACATGAAGGGTTCACAACCATAAGTGACAACAAGATTTTCTAGAGACCGTCACCGAAATGATAAGAAATGACACTTCATGCATGATCAAAATTATAAATTTCCTATTCTTATAAAAATAAATAATACATTTACACCCTCCACAGGCTGATATTTCTGTAAACTTTTCAATTCTGAAGAAAAGTCATTTTCGGGACTTTTCTATATAACTTCTAAAGCTAAAGTATAGTTCTACAAGACAAAATGGCCCTTAACTTTAGATTCCAGTATGGTCTATGGGCATGCTGTTGTTGGATCATTAAATACGATTAAATACGAGACTAAAAAGCGTGGTATCCAAGAAGCTAGAAAAATATGAAACACTAGGCCGATCGAATTAGTGATCTAAATGGAAATAACTAAACTCAGTTCAAATCATGAAATGGTACTAAATAAAAGGAGCACTCTTCTTCCAATCCCTACAACCAAATTTCTGCAGATAATTGATTTGATCATCACTTTACTCCATCTCATAACAAATAACAACTAAGGGTGTGTTTGTTTGGGGAATTTTCCCCAAAATACACTATTCATCAAATTTTTTCCCTTCAACAATATCAAATCAAATATCTATTTTTCATTTTTTATATTATACTAAAAATATCAATTTTACATTCAAAACGTCATATCAACACCTATTTATTTCTCATTATTCAAAAATTTTACTATTCAAATATCAACTCAAAATCCAAATCCCAAAACAAACACGCCCTTGAGGATATACAAAAGAAAGTATGGATGTTGACAGAAAAAGCAACTGCAGGAATTATTAAAGTATCCGAATTCATAACAAGCTAGTTACCGATTCGGAGCCAACGAGCAGCCCAAGTCCTCGATGGATCCATCACCGTGATAACCCTGGTAGCAAACAAAAGAGAAGAACTCCAAATTATAAAACACACAGTCTCTGATACAAGATCCTTAATGTTTAGAAATTAGGGCTAGTGGCACTTTTCATTAATCCCAAGTAAGCAGATTTAGTCACACAATTCATGGTTTTGTTGAAAAACTCCATCAATTGACAGATCTTAAACATGGTCTTGTGGCATAAACCACTGGTGAATTATATAAACCCTAAACCCTTAATTTAAAATTTGTACAAAACATCATCTTCATCCAAAAGCATGGTAAATATATTAAATAGTATTATTTAAATAAAATAAATAATTAAATAATCTTTTATTTTACAGTTTTTTTTGAGACAAAAGATTATCTCATTCTTTCAATAACTATAAAAATGAAAGATTAAAAAATTATTTATTTATTTTATTAAAAAAAAAAGACTATTTCAAATATTTTATTATTTTATTTATATAAATCGTGCATAATTTAATTCTATATTTACAACCAAATATCAATGAACACAAGTCTTGTGCAAATTTTAAATTAATACAAAAGAATTTCACACCATCAATAAATGGGGTGCATCTTTACTAATAAAAACCAAGGGTTGAAGCACATTTTATAACTGGTAAACGGCCATGTTAGGAAAACAACACGGCCATGTCCAAAAGAAGTGTTTCGACCAACTCCATCCAACCCACTGCGTATGGGCAAAAAATGGGGGGAGGGGCTCCAACCTACCCCCAAATCCCCCCTATTTGTTAAGTAATGTAGGGTGTTACTCCAATCCCTGCAAAAAGGGTTGGAGAGTGAATCGGCCTGGGAATCGATTTTAAGCTTGAAACGAATTACACCATCATCAAAAGTGCAGCTACCCTAGCTGGATGGGATCAGGTTTGAGTTCTAACTTTAAGCTTGACATTGACTAGGATATCGCAGAAGATAAACAAAAAATTGAAAGTTACCCTGCGAAATTGATGGTCGTAGCCTCGGCAACACGTTCATCGTCATCCTTCATATTCAAGACAGAGCAATTCTCGCACCCCGAAATCCGAAACTACCAAAGTGTTGCACGAAATCAGCTCACTGCCTTATTCTTCTTCAGAACGAGCAAATCAGGAGAAGAGAGAAACCGAACCTGGTCGAGAGTCTTCACGAGGCGACATCGAAGGCAAGCCCTAAGTTCGCGGCCGAAGCTATTCGGTATTTCCGCCACTTCCGGTTTCTTTCCGAAGCCGAGTTCACTTTGACTCGCCATTGCTCACTTCTCTTCTTCTCCACCAATTCTGCTCGAATCAGCACCAATTGTGGAAAATTGTTGGAGAAATACAACGAGAAGCAGAATCAAGAATGCGAGAAGTAGAATCGAAGTCGAGTGCACTGAGGCGACTGTCAATGTCAATCCCGCATTGGGAACGCGAGGGAATTTGGAAAAGATTTTCAGGTTCTGGTCGGAAATTGGATTCCTCAAATGTGGGCTTTAATGGGCCTTGCGATATTAATTGGGCTCTACAAGCCCAACTATTTACACATAATTGAAATAATATTTCTCTTCCGCCGAATTTATTTTCATTTTTTTAAATTTATCCGTTAAACTTATGTTATTACTAATTTTAAAATATTTAACGAATAAATATTTAATTATTATATTTCATTCGACATTTATTTATAACAAATATCATTAATTTTATTATATTTTCCTTCTTCCTTTACTTTGGTTTCTAACTAAATTTTCGAAAATACCACTAATTAACTCTTTATTTTTATCACTTCAATAAAATATTTATTTTTTTAAAAGAGTTTTTATATCGGCCCAAAACATGCTAATTTTCACTGATGGAGGAAGTATAAAATATCAAAAATAGTTTTATTTATATATTTTAAATAAATCTTTTTAAGATTGTTCTTTTTGAGTTTATTTTCAATTTTTTACTCCTATGTCATAGAAACATAGACAAAAAAAATTATAATATAAAAAATATATACACCTGAAAAGTTTATAAACATACCCATTATATTAAAATAATAATAATAATAATAATAATTTATTCATATTTTTACTTATTTAAAAACAATACTTAGTGCTGACTTAGTTTCTACTAACTCCTCTGACTATTGGACGATTTCCACGCCGTTGACTTCATTTAAAATTATACTTTAAAAAATAAAATAAAATAAATTCACAAATGGCTCTATAAGAACACTAGTAGTACTTAAAAATCCAAACCATCGATAAACTTATCCTAAAACTATTCCTTCGTTGCATCAATCATGTCTATTGCCATCTCGAGCCGTCGTCCACGAGAGACTTTCGTTCTCGTCGCGACGCTCGTATTTAATTTTTTATTTCTATCTCTCTCATCCGATCCAGATCCTTTACAGGACTTCTGCATCGGAGATACGTCCGTGGCCTTCTCAGTGAATGGTTTCCCGTGCAAGGCGTCCTCGGACGTGACGGCCGACGACTTCTTCTACGACGGCCTCAGTCGGGAAATCAGCACGAATAATTCCTTCGGGAGCGGTGTAATTATGGGGAACGTGCTTGCTTTCCCAGGTCTCAACACGTTAGGCATATCGATGAACCGGGTAGAGATTGCGCCCGGCGGGATCAACCCGCCGCACCTCCACCCGCGCGCCACCGAGTCGGGGATTGTCGTGAACGGGACCGTCCTTGTCGGGTTGATCACGACGGGGAACGTGTTTTATTCGAAGAATTTGACGGCGGGGGAAATGTTCGTCGTCCCGAGGGGGCTCGTGCACTTTCAATTCAATATCGGGACGGAGAAAGCGCTGATTTTTACAGCGTTTAATAGCCACTTGCCGGGGAATGTCCTCGTCGCCGTGAACCTCTTCGGATCGAATCCGGCGGTGCCGGACGACGTCCTTTCGAAGGCCTTTCTGGTTGATCGGAGTGTGGTTGATGAAATTAAGTCTAAGTTTGGGGGGTGAATTGAAATTATAATAAGCTGTTAGGATTTGTTGTTTGTACGAATGTATTTTGATTTCTTGTGTTGTTTGCTGAAATACAACGATCAAGAATGTTACACGAACATGGTCAATAATGTCAATAACACTATTTTGTTTGGTTTTGATCGATTTAAATATATATATATATATATTAATTTATATAATATTTTAATACAAAATTTGGTAAGAAAATGATTAGAAATGAATTAATAATATTTTTGAATGAAAATCCCAAAGTTATTTTGGCATATAGATAAATTGTGCTTTAATTTTTACACAAAAAACTTTTCAAAAAAAATATAAAAACTGTATATTTGAGGAAATGTCAAACTATGGAAATTCACTTATTTTATTTCGGTGCAAAGAAAAAAAAAATGTAAGTGATTTACTCAATCTCAAATGAGTTTTTGACACAAAAATCAATCGGAGAGGTCGACGGTTACCAGAGATAATGGAGTTCCACCGGGGGATGGTCGGACTTTGAACTTCTTTATTGTATGGTCGTTGTTAGTACGAATTTCTAGCAACGTGAACCTGTTGAGGTATTTTTCTATGTTAACCATGATAAGCGTTAGGCTTGAATAAGTTGTGGTTGTCAGTGGAACTACTCTTAGATTGATATCCCCGGATATAGATTAGTTGATAATCGAATCGGATCAACAAACACCTTGTCTCATGTGTTGTTTTGTATTCTACTTTGTTATTTGTAGTTAAATAGTTGTTTTAACTGTGAAATATCCACACTTTCATAATTGGCCATTTGTTACTGTTCGAAGGAGATTAGTTTAATACATCACTTTCCAACAATATTAATTAAAATTTAAAATTCAAATAAAGACGTATGTTAGGTATTTTTATTTGTATTTTTATCTTTTTCTATTATAGCATTTTATAACTAGATATTTTAATATTAATGGTATTATATTTAAAATTTATTATTTATTAAAATATAAATTTAATATTCTACCCCACCTGGTAGAGTCAATGTATCTCACCGAGTCAACCACATTAAGATCTTGCCACATACACTATTTGTGACACATAGTCACTAATTTACATATACTTCATATTTTTAAATTATTTTAAAGATTATTTATTAAAAATTAAATTTCCTTTCACGGTCGAAGTTTGGTTTATTTCACTTCAAAATATATATGTTATTTTTCAATATACACTTATTTATTTATTTTTCTAATATATCAAATCAAAATACCATCTAAAAAAATTTGAACTTTAATATAATAATTTATAATGATTATTTTGTTAGAAAATATATAGAGAGAGAAATATGAAGACTGAATTGTAAAAAATAGAGTTTTAAATGTATATAAAAATATATTTATTTATTTATAAAAATGAAAATAGAAATAGAACATTTCATGTAAATCCCAATTTAAATTAATTTAAGAAAATAAGTATAACAAAAAAAAAATAAAAATTGAAAATATAGTTATAAGTTATCTCTGAACTACGAAACAACCAAATATAGAGTTGATTTAATACAATGTTCATACAAATGACGAAATACAACGTACACAAAAACATCACATCTTATCCAATCTTATCATAAGTTGGAGTAATTCGATAGACCAACTAAAAAATGGTACAATACCTAACTTGCACCATAAAATAACAACGTCGATGGACCTTTCTTGGTCGGGAGATTCAATATTATTACGGAAATGATACAATCAGGCTTCATATCCCAACAAATACCATGTCATCTAACGTTATTTTCTATAATCCATCGCAAAAGTAGATGCGCTTTCACGTCATTGTAGTTAATTTTGGTATCGACTATTCGGAAATTTGACATAAAATCTTACTTTTAATATTTGATCCATTTGTATTGTTAAAAAAATACATTTGCATTGTATTCATAAAAATAATAGAAATTTATAAATTTAATCTAAACTATAAACTAAATTACAAAAAGATCTTAACATGTGTAAATACCTAAGCTACAAAATTATATACATTCTTCATTTCATTCACCAACAAAAAAACAACCCGTTTAAATTTAATAAATACTTACTCAATTTTGTCTTTTAATAATAAAATATATAATTTTTAATCTTATTGCATAACTTAAAATAATCATACTTACGGCATTATTAGCCATTTTGCTTCGACACTACCCTCAAATAAATTCATGATTTTTATAAAAAATTATATATATATATATATATTCAACTATATTAAAATTGTGATCATTTTTTCTATTTTTTATATCTTCTTTCTTACCCAATTTATTTTTCAATTTTGTCTACATTTGATATCACAACAATATTGGGTGTGTTTGTTTGGGGGTTTGGATTTTGAGTTTGGATTTGAATAATAAAAATTTTGAATTTGAATAGTTGTATGATGTGATATAAATAGGTGTTGATGTGATATTTTGAATGTAAAATTGATTTTTAGTATAATATAAAAAATGAAAAATAGGTGTTTGATTTGATATTTTTGGGGAAAAAAATTGGATGAACAGTGTAAATCCAATCCAATCCCCCAAACAAACACACCCTAAGAAAATTTTTAGGCTACGTTTAGATAGAGATTTTTTGAATTTTTTGGAGTTTTGAAAGCTTGAAAAAAATAAAAAATTATTATTTAATTTGATATTTTGTGAAAAAAAAAATATATTTGATGTGATATTTTTTAAAAAATGAATAATGCTAAATGAATGAAAATTGATTGTCTCATTACTTTGCAATTGAAGATGGCACGTGAGTTACATGTGCATAATATTCAGAAGCCAGCAACATGGAAGGATGAAAACCAAATGACCATTTCCTCAGTAAAACACTCATGTCTCTTAAATCCACTTTTTCCGTCGTCGCGGTCGCCGCCAATCGAATATCTACAAACGGGACACGTGTTCTTGGCGTGGGGCGCCGACAACCACCTGTCGATGCATGCGGCGTGGAACTCGTGAAGACAGGGGAGTATCTTAGTGTTTGCCATCTCCCAGCCCCGACCGATCGTCGATAGGCACACCGCACACGTGCTTGACGACGGCGGAATTTTGGCGGCGGGCGGCGGCGGCGGCGCAATGGTGGTGAAGCATGGGAAGGTGGTGGTGAGAAAAGATGAGAAGATGGAGTTGATGATGGAAGACATTGGGAAAAAGTGTAATAATGAGAAAGATTAGGGGTTGTGGGAGAATTATTTAAGGTGGGATTTAGGAGGGTGTGATAAGTTGGTAAAGTTTCAGGCAATATGCGTGCTTTGCAAGTATGGCTAGTGGTAGTTGAGATGCCATTTTTATAGTATATATTTTTCATTTATATATATAAATTTATTAGATGTTGATTAGGATTAATCGGTATATAAAATGATGAAATATAAGTTGCCACCTTATAGTTTGAATTAATACAATATGGGGTACGAATCAGTCGTTGATTCGGCCAAAGTCACCCTAGTGCTAATTTGATTGGATCAGTATATATTATACAGATAATCGGTCAGCATATTTATAATATAATATATATTATACTGTGTGTAAATATATATTGGTTATGTGTATGACATATACTGATTTAATCAAATCAACGTCATGCTGACTTGACCGAATCAATACAGGATTCACAATTTACAATATGTGATGTTTAGATTCTTACTATGTTCTGACTGTTTTATTTATTATATGTATGCTGTGTTAATATACCTGGTGGGGACTATTGTTAGTTTGTGTGTTGTATTTGTATTATATTAATATATATATTTTATGTTGTTGGTTTATGCTTTATATCCTGTCGATTTATATTTCATGTACTGTGGGTAAACAACATGATAATTATTGTCATACATATATATATAATATTATCTTTGTTCGGCTTTAAGGATAATATTTAGTTTTTGTGTGTTGATCTTTAAATATCAATTATTATATGAAAACGTAGTATAAACCAATGGAACATAATAAAAATTATTCTATTAGTGTCTTATAATATTATTATAATAACATTTGTGCAAAAAATTATACAAATATAAAAAAAAAATTAATGTAAAGTACAATGACGCAAGAAATGAATGAAACCCTTAGGGTCGGACGGAGAAAGTATTTATTCATACGTTATACTTATATTTGTTTGGCGACTATGGAAAAAATAATATTTAAATAATAAAGTTAAAGTTATGAAGGATATTTAAAAAAAATCAATAATAAAGGTATTTAATTGATGATGTATATGTGATATAATGACAATGTAAAAATTATTTTAGTCCGTCCCATAACAAAGTATTCATTTTCTTTTTTAGTAACTGTATTATTTACTTAACATTATAAATACCCTTACAATTTACAATATATTACACAAATGTCATTACATTTATATCACACATACTAATAAGGGTATTTTAGTCATTTCTATTTTATTCCCACTTCATCCCAATATAATACTAATATTTCTAAAACTACGTATAAAAAACAAATAGATATCTAGTTATGAGATTGAAGGAATATTATGTATTTGAAACATGGATTCAAAATAAGTATATAGATTGTTATATATATAGTATAAATAGAAATATGATGGACAAAATTAAATAAAAAAATAAGTTAGAAATATGATGGACAAAATTAAATAAAAAATAAGTAGTATAAATTTAGTAGTAAGTAAGTATTATTAGTTAATATGAATGACACTTAGGATTTGGAGTGCTCAACACAAATTTGGTGTTACCAACAAATAATGAGGGTGCCTTAAGAACCAACTTTTATATATATATATATATATATATATTTGTATATAACTATGCGTGTGTGTCGGGCAATATACTTTGTATTTTTTAGTCACACTTTAATTTTTTTGAAGTCTTTAATTTATATATTTCTAAAAGGAAGAATGATTGCGAAAGTTTCTGAAAGTGACACAGGTTGTGTTTTGGTTCTCGTTTTAACAGTGGTTCATACTTTTTTTTATTTTTTTTATTTTTTTATTTTTATGATATAGGAATCCGCAGCCGCTGTCCGAAAATGCGCACCGGCTAAACCAGCCGAACCTAATACCCTTCAAACCAAGGCGATTCATACTCATTTTGATTCAATTAAATTGATCATTTACCAAAAGATTATATAAATAAAATTGCCATTATACCCTTCTTTCTTTTTTTTTTTTTTTCTCGTCCAAATTTATACTTATTTTTTTTATTGTCATCTAAAAATTTTTTTTTTTTTCTCTTTAGTAAAAAATATTAATTTTTTTGCTACTCTCTTCGTCCCACCTAGTATGTTCATATTGCTGTTTTTTTCTGTCTCACATGTCATTTTCATTTTTTTAAAAATGATTACATCCTTAATTTTATTTTTTTTAATTTTAATTAAACTAATTAGTTACCTTAATCTTAATTTATAATTATTTATATTATAAAATAATTATTTTCATTAATGCATTTTTAATTATCTGTTAATTATATTTATCTTAAATTTTCATATTTACAGTGACGTGGACATCCAATGTGGGCGGAGGGAGTATTAAATATCATTCTTTATTTTTCTTAAAAATTCGTCATATAATTTCAGATAATAGAGGAATAATTATTGGATTAACTACTAAAGACAATCTCACGGCTAAAAAATCAAATCAGCACTTTATGTAAAAAAAAAAAATAATAAATTAAATTAAATTTGATGTTTATTTATTTATATCATACTCCCTCCGTCGCATGTAATATGGGTGTATTACTATAGACTAAGAAGTTAGATAAAGTATAATTAGTAAATAATTAAAAAGTGTATTGATAAAAAAATTATTATTTAGTAAAAATAATTATAGATTAAGATAAGTAAATAGTTTAATTAAAATTAAGAAAATTATAAAATTTAAAATTTAAAATGCGATTAAAGTACATAATTATATTTCCAAAAATAGAAAGGATAAATTATGTGGACTGACAAAAATAAAAAATAGGGACAAATTATGTGGGACGGACGAGTATAAAACTTTCTAATAAACAATGGAATGGGCATCCATAAACTACTAATGGACCAAATTGAGTGTACATATTATATTTGAATTTGAGTCGTGTTTGTTTGTTAAATATGAAACTTAAAATTTGTATTTTCTGTTTGATGAGGTTCATTAAGAGATTTTTAATTTTTATTTTATTTAAATTTAAATAAATTAATAATACAATTATTATTATTATTTTATTAATAAAATTGTATAAAAAATTAGAATTAAAAACATTATAAAAAATAGCATTTGTTTGATTTTGATTTGTATTAAAAATTTTATTTTAGTTTAGATTAAATATATTTTGATTTGATATTTCATCAAAAAATAATAATAATAATAATGTATTTTTATTTAAAAATTATGTGAGATAAAAAAAAAATAAGTATATATATTAAATATGTATTAATTTTTTTAATAAATACTATTGAACAATCACACAGACAACTCAAATTTATAATTTTCTTTGTAGTTTCTTATTATATTTTTTTGCCTTCTAATGCTATTTCCAGCCATTGTTTTGATCATCTAATCAATCTTCACACAAGGCAAAATGCAAAACCATACAATTTCTTGAGTTCAACTGAAATCGTCCAATTCGCAGGCCGTCCGAAAAAATTAATTTTGATTCCAATATAATTAATTTTGATGTAAGTACAAAAGAACTTATGAATTTTGGTTCCAATATAAATACTGATTGCATTCAAAGTGTGTAATTGAATAGAAATAAACACGGCCGTGTGTAATTAAACACAACCGTGTACTCTGATTTAAAGTTGCTGAATGCGATACACGGACGTGTTTGTTGTACACAATCATGTTTCGTCCAAGTCAGACGTCATGTCATCTCCGTTAAGTCACGATCAGCATTTCCCATTGAATTTGTAACGATGAAACTAAAATTGATTGAAACGATTTATATTGAAATCAAAATTGATAAATATTTTTATAGTGAGACATTACGTTTGATTATATTGGAACCAAAATTAATTTTTCTCCTGACTTTATTAACAAGCTCAATAAACCCATCATAACCCAAACTCGAGCCTGACTCGATTACACAAATAATAATTCCGGAGCTTAAACTCAACTCATTTATCTCTATAAACAAATCAAACCTAAGTATTAACAAATTAAGTCGAATTTGACTCACAACTACCGACCTATTGTGAAACCACACTACAACTACTACCTATAAGTACAATCCAAGAACACTTCTTACCAAATGTGAATATATGATGATCAAATAAAGCAAGAAAATCCTCAGGTTTCAAATCAGTAGTAACCATTCTCAATTTAAGATCCATCCATATTTCATTTCATCTTCTTTCTTTTTTTTTTTTTTTTTTTTATTTTTACTTGATAAAATGGAATGTAAAATCAGGCTAAAAATCTACATAAGGATGCTCCCAGCAGGAAAACCTTTTAAGAATCTGCATAAGAGATGTAACCAAGATTCATTCATTCATTCATTTTATACCCAAGAACAAGAAAGAAGAAGAAGAAGAAAAACCTCTCTCTCTCTCTCTCTCTCTCTCTACAAATAATCCTCGCTAAATATTGTCGCCGTCTCTGTCGCGATCCTCGCCTTCTGCAGGATTCGGAGTGTCATCGAATCCAGAACTCGGCGCAAGTTCGTTCAAATCAAGATATCGCCTTTTTCCAACACCCTCGACTTCTTCTTCTTCTTCCTCGTCGTCGTCTTCCTCTTCTTGTTGCCTGTGATTTGTTCCGTCCAGGTCCGGCTGGTTGGTTTCCATTTCATGATCCATTTGAGAGTTCTGCTGTTCCATAGGTGCGTCGAGGTCGAGATCAGGAATGGGATCGTCGCGCATCTCCTGCTCGTTGTTTCTCTCATTGTCGTCGCTGTCGTCGTCGTCGTCATCCGAATCCTGAAAACCTCTCGAGAAATCTGCTCGATCGCCGCTTCCCTCGGAGTGCTCGGACAACACCGCTGCCTCTGACTTTGCACGTTTCTTCGACTCGTTATCTGATTCGCTCATCTCATAATTCCTGTAATTGATTCGGTTCCGGGTTGTTCTTTTGCTGCGCCTGAGACCCGATTGAAGCTCGCCGACCGACCTCAGTTTCGTTTCCCGTCTGGTGCGGCCGCGCACAGTTCTCGATGATCTCTGCGGCCTGTTGCTACCGTCGCTCGTACTTACGACCTCGTCGTCTTCTTCTTCCTCTTCATCCTCCTCATCCTCTTCGGGATTTTCTTCATCCCAGTTATACTCTTCGTCGCCTTCCGAGCTACTCGACATCTTCTTTCTTCGTTTCCGACTCTCTATGTATTCATCGTGATAAACTACTTCACCAACGATATCTTCATCACTGTCGAAATCCATTTCGTTTTCCGAAGGAGCTTCAACAAACTCTTTCTCGGAATACCTCTGAGGCTTCTTCCTTCGGCGATTGCTACAAGCCACAATTCGATTGAGGAAACTTCATAAATCTGTCGATAACGATAAACGCATCGTGCAAATAGTACATTGCTGAACGAGAAAAAAGTGGAGTACCTTCGGTCCAATGTTTCTTGCTTATTGAGTTGATAATTTTGAGTGTAATCGGGAGAGTCGGAAGTCAAGTCGTTAGATGACGGCGGTTGAGAACACTGCGACGACGTGCCACCCCCCCATTTACCGTTTTCAGAAACCTCAAGTTTCATGTGAGGGTCTCTTCTGTCGAAGGGTTCCGGAGACGGCTGTTTCTTCCTGTACAACAATATAAACGAAAAAAGTGAACGAAATGCACGAGGAATAGAGCTTATGAAGATACATGAACAACGATTCTTACTTGGTGACTTTTAAAGCCTCATTGATCGATCGATCATAATCATCTGCACAAAAGACAAATACCATCAGCACGATTTCAATATTCCTGTTAAATATGTTGAAAATTATTCTTAGCCACGAAAGTAAGGCTCAACGGCTGCCGATAATTAGAACTGAAACTGTGATTAAAAATCCAATTGGTGGAGCAACTCCGGGAGACTTAGATGTTATATATATATATATACCGATAGATGACAATAAAAATGTGAAACACTAGATTACACCTACCGAAAGTATATGTGACGGGTTTTCGATCACGGAGAGACCGACCAGCGGTCAGGCCATCCATGCTTATCATGCTATCGAGCATAAGTGCTTGTCTGTGTTGCTTCTTTAGCAGTTTCTCCTTCCTCTGTGAAAAGAAATTCACATCAGTTACATGAAATAGAAAAAGGATAATACCAACGTAAATGACACGGAACTACACTGAAGTAGCTAGCTAATTTACGAACATAAAATGCAAAGTACTGAGGAGTAAATAAAATTTTAACGAAGGAAGAGCAGACCACCTTGTGCACTTTCTCGATTTCAGGAAGCATATCATTCTTCAGTTTTTTCCCAACAGAAACTTCGGTTCTATTTTTACTTGACAGGAGCTTTTCCTGTATGTGATGAGCAAAATAATTAAAAAATGCTAATAAAAATACAGGAAACAGTCCACGGAATAGTAAAAGAACATATGATACAAGCATCCCAATTAGAATCGACATAAAGCTACAGAAACAAGCAATACAAGGCCAGGTTGCACAAGCTGAGAAAATATGTTGCACTGGATACTCAAAGGCTACGTTTGATACAGAAAATATTCAAGTACAGCAACAAAATCACAGGGCGCTGACTACAAAATATATAAAATGCTACGGCGTCTTATATTTAATTCATTGATCAATAAATGGAGAATTTATAAGTGCACACTTAACATTTTGACTTCTCATATTATTTTGTAAAAGATAATCTTGGGATTGCATAAGATATGTGAAAACATGAAATTCTCCTATTGCCTTTGCAGAATCAAATATCAACGGTTACATCAGCTTCCATACACTAAAGAATGAAAGCAGATAGCAAATTTGTTGGCCTTATACGGGAAATATTAAGTAGCATGAAAAGCATTACATTGCTGAAGCCATAATTAAAAAAAAAAAAAAAAAGCACCCAAATCGCAGATACTCACAGAAACAGTTTGGAATTCATCTAAATTTGTAGCAACAGCTTCCCACTGATACGATGAATCGGGAATAGGAGGAATATTCCTCCCTTTTCCTTTTTTTGCCTCAACTTTTCTAATTTCACGGTACAATCGATGACCAATAATGGAATCATCTTCATACCTATACAGAAAATGAAAGGGAAAGTATAAAAACATATAACACATCTAATCAGAATTTACATAGGAGAGTTGAATCCAACACCACAAGACAGATGATAAGGCTAAACGAGACGAAGAAACAAAGGTAATTCCTATTACTGATGGGCGATAAAAAGGAATACGTTTTATAGATGCAATGAAATGTGGTTTATCATTTTAAACATATATATATTACCAATATGATACTCCGTGAGAGTCACCACCAAGGGGCTCTTTCCGAAATGTGGAAAGCAACACTCCATGTTTCATTGAGTGCTCCATATATTGACGAATATCATCTTGCTGCAGAAGCCAATTACAGATATTAACTTACGGGTGACTAAAATGTACCAAGGGTTTCATTACTGAGCTTCATCCTTTCACGAGCAATTTATCAATATCTAATAAACTAAGGCCTCCTACGTGCACTGTTGTTGAAATAAAGTAGTACTTGTCACACATATTTAAGAATCCATAACCTCGAAGGAACCGTCAAATTGGAAATCACAGTATGCACTACAGATACTAAGATAATCAATTGGAAATTTTGGAAGTGTTCCTTAAAAGAATGAAACGTTTGCAATTACTACTACCTCTATTTTATATCTCCAATGGCTATTTCTTGAACAGGAAAAATGAAGATCTTATAAATATTACTTATCGTACACTACACAAGAAATCAAATATTAAGTCTAATATGCATAAATACATAAGTACATAAAGTGATCGTAGCTCTAATAAACAAACTAAAAAGGGGGCAAACATTTATGCAATTGATCCTCTGAATCTAACAAGGACTATGAAGAAAATGATAACAATACCTCAACCCGAATATCACATATTGCCTTCAGAATCACCACCCTCATCCCAGGGTCAAGTGACTTGTACGTCTCAACTTCAGCACTACAAGAATATAAGTGGACATACAAAAATAAGTAGCATTATAAAAAATTCATTGAGTGCATCTTTCACACCCAAGTACATACATTGAAATTTATCAGAACAAAAAAAAAGCCGTGCTCACCCATGTGATGCAACTATTGGTAGATCTCCTTCTGCAACCTGCAATAAAGCATCAAACTGGGTAAATCCTACAGAACTTCTACAGAACTAAATCAATAATCTTTCGGGGATCAATGAATAAATTACCCAATGCCACCAATCTCTCAATTTTCTACATAAAACTGTAATCCAAGTATGATGTCCAAGTGCCATTCTTGTGACGGGAGGAATTGCCTAAAAATCACAAGGACATAAAAACACATGTACACTGTCAACATCGAAACTTCAGCAACATATTGGTTTATTTTGAAGTGTGAACGTACAATGAAGAGCCGATAAACACCATAATTAATTTGGACCTCAATAAATGAAGTGTCACACTCATAATATGGGTTTGTTCATCTAGAACTTTTTGCTAGCATGATTTCTGATAAATATTAATAAAAAATACATTATATACACACATCCACGTAGTATAAATAATATATATACTCCATTCTCTCACAAAAAAGTAAAAACTTCAACACAAAATATTATTTTTTCTTATATTATAACACTAAACAAACACACCCTATATACTTAATGGAACAAAGAAAAATGAACTGGAACAAAATATCTTGTGATGCAAGTTATGACGATGCATCATATATGTCTTTTGGCGCATATGACGTCTCTAAGATAGTAAGATGTACGCATTTCAAAATTCCATTTTCTAATGAAGACGGAAAAGGAACTAATTGGTCATGAATATGTCAGCAGGACAGTGGATAAAACATTGCTTCATTGCTATCACATCTATATCAGCACGTTCAAAAGTATGATGGAACAAACAATGACAGTGAGCATTGCTTGAGAGTATGACAACTTAAATAAGGTGGAAACAACAGAAGGGAACAACCAAAGAAAATGAGTTGACTCAAGCTCCCTAGGAATTATCACTTACAAACAAGAAAACAAAACTATAGATTCGGAAGACCTAATGTAATTCTAGAACGAGTCACTTTCTTTCAATATATATTTATATATACTTTAAAAAATGGATCAAAGATAACCAGAATAGTTACTATTGTTTAGAACATTCATGTCAATGTTCACCAACTCATGAGCAGAAATAAATATTTCATATCTAATCATCCAATGAAATGGTTCAATTCCAAGCACAGGCATAACAGGAACATCCATATCTGTAGGTTTTGCACAATTCATAAATGGGCAAGATCCGGATAAAATAAAAAAATTACCAAATTACTAAGCTTAATATGCATTAAATACGGTGAATGTAAATGGAAGGATTCCAGCTAAACATGCATTGACATGCTCCTAAAATCTTTTTAGCCAAATAAACAAGGATGTTATGCACTCAAGCATTTATGTAAGCCACCTGTAGCTATTTTCACATAAATTTATGTTGGTTTTCCACAAAGAAGGTTTTACAAGACATTTAAGAATATATTGATGTGATTAAACCCGCACAAGGTAATAAATCAACAGAAACTGATTGGATTCCCCCATAATACTATATAAAACTTGCACCGATAACATATTATTCCCCTCAGTGTCATGGATGGATTAAACTATTCTCAAGTATCAACTCACCACTTCTAAAATCTTAAACACCTAAATGAAGAGTGAAATCTCAAATTGAAGTCATATCATCTCATCCAAATCATGGAAAGGAGTTATTGAATGTGAGATCAGTCCCACAAATTACACAAATTTTCACACTTTCATGCTTAGCATGGCGCAATGTTCTGACCAGCTTGCTCAAAAAGTCTATGCAATCCAAATGTTATTTGACTTTACTCATTGGAATTCAAGCAAAGGGAATTAGTTAAAATCTTCTACAACCATTTAGCCAGAAGCGGATTAAGAAACAGGTGAGACCTTGCAGCAGTTGGCAGATAACAAACTGATTCAAGCAAAATGGAAACGAGGGAATATTAATTGGGGGGGGGGGGGGGGGGGGGGTGTGTCATTTTTGTTTTGGGTCTGGGGCGAACATGTTCAAGATATCAGAGAATTAAGGATCCCCACCAAAGAGTCTAATCCAATCCATAATGATGCGCCATAAAATACAACATTTTATTACTTGACCGACCATTAGGAGAAGCAAAGGCATCACGTATGCTAACCAATAAGATTATTGACAGAAGATCAAAGTAAAATAACATTATTAGAGAATACAATACACTTTAACTTTAAGAAAATAAATGGTTTCGATGCCTTGCAAACTAGTGTGCTAACCATAACAATTACAAACAACAACAACAGCATCACACAATTTGCTCAAAAAGAAGAAACAACTCACCTTCAACAATGGCATATGTATGTCGGCCAAAGTATTGTTGGGACTAATCAAAGCTGTCTCGAACTCCTCAGCCGAAAATTCCACTTTGATATTCAATGAAGGCCTAAACACCTAACCATCAACACAAGAAACAACACATTAGCATAAAATCAAAACCACACAAAAAGCACAAATCATATCCATAAACCCCATACATTCACAAAATTCATACATTCAAAAAGTTGAGAATCGAAGCCAATTGCCACATTGATCGAATCCTCCACCGCGGCAGCTGCGACTCCTCCGGCTCCCCGAGCAGCGGCGTCACCATTCTACCCGGCGCCAAAGATCCATCCTCTTCCTTCTCACCATTCTCCTCCTCCCCATCTTCATCCTCACCCTCCTCATCAGACTCCTCCCTCAACAACCTAGCAGTCAATCTCTCCTTCCGCCTACTCTTCTTCCTCTTCCTATCAGCCTCCACCGCAGCCTCCGCTTTCGCCGCCGCCTGCAACCTCTCCGCCGCCCGCTGCGTGCATGCTCTCGACAGCCTCTCTCTCCTAGACACTACACCATTATTTGCATCACCAGTACTGCTTTTTACATCGTTATTCTTACTCTCGTCGTTGTTTTCAGCGTGGGCCTTTTCCTCCCGGGGGCTTCCGCGGTGGATCGGCGAGGAGCGGTCGGACATAGCGAAGGAATCGGACGGGCGAGGGTCTAAGGACGAGTTACATGGAAGATCAAGGGCTTGCATTGAAGCAATCCCGAAACATGTGCCTCGAATCCCAAAAAGAAAAAAATAAAAGCTGGGGTTTCGCCAATGATTACTCCAGAAATAAGATTGAAGAACAGCCGACGCGACGCCTAAACCAATTTGAAAAATCAAAAGGTGTATGTATAATCAGACAATCGCAAAAATCACGAATGGGTTTTGCAATAAATTCCCCCAACTCCCAGGCAGGTTCTTTCTCGTCGATGGGGGGAATGGAAAGGAAAGGCGTGCGGTAAGAAATTGGGGGATTTGGGCGTTTTCCCACCAAAGAAAAGGGTATGAAAACGAAGATTAACAGGAGTAGGGTTAAAATTTTGGTCGGAAAAGGTTAAATCTTGGCCCTGGGGATTAAAATTGACGTTTTCTGGAATGGGGAGAGACGACTGGGTCGGTCTGGGTGGTGAAAGAAGGATGGAATTGGATTATTCGATTGTAAATTGAGGGTTTGTGATTGTGGAGGCATTCATTCATACACAGGAGACTAGGCCTACTGCTGCTGCTGCTGCTGCTGCTTCCATTGTTGGTTGGATTAAACTCTTGGAAGTGAGGAGTACGACGTCGTTTTAGGGTTTACTTTGGTTCCATAAATTTCAGTCAACATTGCGTCTGACAGTCCACATTTATACCTGTATCTGTATGCCTACACGGTTTGGGAATCTTGAGAAGGATTGTAATTTAATTATAAGATTACAGAATTTTAAAGATATTATGGGTGTTTCTTTTCTTAAGGGCTTAGCTATATAAATTTTTAAAATTTAAGACTTCGTCCGTCCAATTCTAAAGACTATAATTATATTATAGTAAATAAAAAAATAATAATATTTTATTAATTAATAAAAATATATAATATTTTTATTTTGATTTTAAGTATAAAGTAATTTGTATATGTAATAATATGTTGTATATAAGAGTTATATATATATAATAGATATTTTTGAATGAAATCGGAAAAAAAAATAAAATTATAAGTATACAGAAAATTGATACTTTTGAATGAATAAAGAGTAAAAATAGTATTTTAAATTAAAACGAAAAATTTATTATTTTTATTTAAATAATTTCTTTATAAAAATATATGAATAAAGTTTTGATATTAAGTATCTAAATCAAACATTTGTAAATCAAGAAATGAGACATTTTCAATCAAAGACTAAGTTTAATATGATATTGTCATTTTACCATTACAAGTAAAAAATATATATATATATATATTTATGAAAGTTAAAAGATATTTTAATATTTATATATAATTTATATAATTAAAATAAATAATTTTGAACAGACAAACAAAATAATAAAATAGATGCATTGACTATGACAAGAAAGTATAATATTTTTCATAACATATTGTATCAAATACTTAGGGTGTGTTTGTTTAGGGGATTGGATTAGACTATTCATCCATTTTTTTTTTCTAAAAAATCAAATTAAACAGTTATTTTTCATTTTTCATATTATACTAAAAATCAAATTTACATTTAAAACATCACATCAACACCTATTTATATCACATAATATAACTATTCAAATTCAAAATTTTTACTATTCAAATCTCAACTCAAAATCCAAACCCCCAAACAAAACACACTATTAGTGTGTTTTTTTGTAATATTTTGATTTCGATTTTACCATTTTAAACTAATCTTTTACAAAAAAAAAAAAAAAAAAAAATTAAATTAAATTAAATATTTATTTATTTATTATTATATTAAAATTTAATTTTATATTAAAAATATTACATTGATATATATTTATATCATTGAGCAACTATTTAAATTAAAAATTTTATTATATTTAAAATCAAACCTCAACCAAAACTCCAACAACAACCATACTTTATTAACAAACTCGTAACGTGTAATTTACTAAAATACCCTTAAGCAAAATCCGACACTTAAGCCCAATAGTGGGCTTTCTATTGGCCCAATTTTTTGGGCCTTCCTTCTACAAGTTCAACAAGAGCTTTTAGCTGTGTTTATTATTTATTTTGTAATTAGTTTTTTCTTTCACTATTTAATTAATATGTTTTTATAAAAATATATTAATTTTTTTTGTAAAATTTAATGGGTTGTTCACCCAACAAGTTATTTTTTATACAATTCTGTACAAATATTAATAAAAGAAATATAATATAAATATATTTGCGTAATATAAATAATACTACCTCCGTTTCAGACAAGGCACGAGTTTTTAGGTGGGTAATATTAAATAAGATAATTTAGAAATTAGGTGATGTGATGGAAAGAAAAATATATATTTTATTTTTTTATTTGAATGATGTGAGGGAATAAAATGTGGGGTAGATATTAAATATAATTAATTATTTTCTATTTTAGAAATATTGCAGGATATATTTGAGATATACCAAAAAAAAAATATTGCAGAGTGTTTGGGACGAAAGGAGTACCATATATTAATATATATTCAATCACAAAAATTAACAATTTCAAATAAAATATTATTCAACTCGCGTTCTATAATATTTTTTATTTTAATCTATCTTATATATTCTACAATATTTCTAAAATAAAAATAATTAACTACAATTTATCATATCATATTATTCAAATAATATATATATATATATATATACACATTGTTCCTATCATCATATAACTTAATTCTAAAATTATTTTACTTGATATTACTTAACTAAATTTTCCTTCCGATTTGTTAGTAATTTTATGTAAAATATAATGTATACTCATACATACGTGTGTTTGTTTGAGAGTTTGGATTTTAAGTTGGGATTTGAATAGTAAAAATTCTGAATTTGAATAATTGTATGATGTGATATAAATAGGTGTTGATGTGATATTTTGAATATCAAATTGATTTTTAGTATAATATAAAAAATGAAAAATAGGTGTTTGATTTGATATTTTTAGGGAAAAAAAAATGAGATGAATAGTAAAAATCTAATCCAATCCCCCAAACAAACACACCCATAATACTAAAATAAATACATCATCATCGTTGAGAGAGCATGGTAATTATTTCATAATAGTTGGTTGATACCTTTTTCATTTTAGACCGTGCTATATAAGAGTTGATATACTCCCTCCGTCCAATTGAAATGTTACAATTTTTTATTTTCGTCTATCTCAAACAAGGTTACCATTTCCTAATTTAGTAATTGTACTACCTACTTAACATAATAAATATTTTTTCAACTTACAATATATTACACAAATGTCGTTATTTTTATATTACACCGTACTAATAAGGTATATTTGTCTTTTTTACTACAATCCAATATAATACTAATATTCAAAAATCTATGTGCAAAAAACAAACGTCACCCTTCCAACTTGACGGAAGGAGTATTTTAGTTCTAGTCAATTTTAAATATACTTAGGTGTGTTTGTTTGGGAGTTTGGATTTTGAGTTGGAATTTGAATAGTAAAAATTTTGAATTTGAATAGTTGTATGATGTAATATAAATAAGTATTGAAGTGATGTTTTGAATGTAAAATATAATATAAAAAATAAAAAATAAGTGTTTGATTTGATGATTTTGGAGGGAAAAAATGGGGTGAATAGTGCAAATCTTCACAAATCCCTCGAACAAACACACCCTCAGTAAAATATAAGATTCATTCAAAATTTCTTATTTAATTTAAAACTCCATTTTTTCAAAAAATTAAATTAGTTTATTATAATCATAAATGAATAATTTTTTACTTATTTGTATTATATAAAATTTATTTTTTATAAAATAATATCCATAATATATATAGTATTTAAAATATTTTAATATATATTATATATATATTTTTATGGCGTGAGAATCCGCAACCACCACCCGAAAGTGCACAGTCACAAGTCGTTTTATACCACCAGACCACCCTTTACGAGACTTATTTTAAAGATATCAATAACATAATTTATAAAAATTAATAATTATTAAATTATACTTTACGTCTCATATAATTTTTCAATTCTTTTTATTTAGTCTGTCCTACCTAATTTGTCATTTCTTTTTTTTTTTTTTAAAAAATATAGTTATACACTTTAATTATATTTTAGAAATCATAATTTATAATTTGTTATGTTAATTAAATTTTTTAGTAATGTTAATTTTAATTTATAATTATTTTTATTATATCATAATTATTTTTATTAATATATTTTTTTTAATTATGTACTAATTATGTATAAACCTAATATTTCTTGTCAAGCTAAAGTAAGACAAATAAGTTGGAATGGAGGGAGTATTATCTAAAATATTAATCTTAAATTTTTTGTTATTTTATTTTTTGAAAAGTCATTTTATATTTAATAGAAATACTTGTATGTTGCGTGGTAAAGCAGTTTGCATATTAGAATACGACGTTAAATATTGCAAGTCAACTCAAAATCCTAATCGAAAAATTATAGTATATGTTCGTGGTACAAGTTTATTTGGTCAATTATTTCTTTTTTACCTGTAACTCTAAATTTAAAATCAAATCAAATATCTATTTATATTGAATTTAAATTTTTCTTATTTTTAAAATACACTCTTTGTGCTTAAGAGCTTTTACCTTAAGAGCTCAACAATGGCCGCCCGGCTATTCGACGCTGCTCGTCGCGGACAAGTTGATACTCTTATCGAACTGAGTAACCAAAACCGGACGATCCTTGCAGATTCCAAGATCATTTCTCCTTCGGAATCTCTTCTTCACATAGCCGTGAAATCGGGGCAGCTCGACTTTGTTCGAACGCTCATGAGCATCGATCCCGGGATGGCGCACGAGACAAACGACGACGGTTATAGAGCTCTCGATGTAGCTGCGATTCTCGGCGACGTGGAGATCGTTAACACGATGTTGAGTTTAAACCGAGACTTATGTCGACTCAAAGGTAGAGATAACCGGACAGCGCTTCATTATGCAGCTATGAAAGGTAGAGTCGATGTAATAACCGGATTGAGGAATGTGTCCGTCGATTCAATCGATGATGTCACTGTCTACGGGGAGACCGCGATTCATCTCGCTGTGAAGTACCACCAATTCGAAGTGTTTACTTCCTTGGTCGAATGGGCCATCGACGCCGTTGGCAAAGAATCGATCGTGAACGAAGGAGATGGAGATGGCGACACCGCGTTGCACCTTGCCGTCTTAACAAGACAATACGCGGTAGTTAGATGTATTACATCATCGTATAACAATAACATTATTTTAAACGATCTTTTGTTTTGACACCATATCGAACGATCGTTTGACCTAAAAACTTAGGTTAGCAATAAAATGCATTATTAATTACATATTACATAGTTTTCCAACACTTAATTTCTTACAGTTTATAGAGTTCCTCGTCCACGAGGATCGTGGAGGAATAACATCCGTGAATGCCACAAACTTAAATGGCTCGACACCGCTCGACTTTCTTGACATTCAAGATTCGTACGACGCTAAGATCAGCCGGAAGTTGGAATCTTCCGGCGCCATCAGAGCTTCAACTTCTGCTCCGGTGGCAATTGAAAGGCTGTCGAATTTCACGCCAGCCTCCGGACAGGGTCAAGATGCTCGGTCAAGACACGTAGAAGATTGGTTTGGCTACTTCAAATTCCAAAGGCAACGGGACAGCCCCGGCGACGTGCGAAACGCTCTACTAATCGTGGCTGCGCTCATCGCCACCGTTTGTTTTCAATCTGCAATCAATCCACCGGATGGGATTTTCGGAAATCAAAAGGTGAAAGACAACAATCAGGCGACTCCGGTCGGGCCACCAGGTCCGCCACCACCTCCTGGGTTTAGTGCAGGAACGGTCTCCGCCGTGTCATCTGTTTCTGCGATTCTCGGCTCTTATTTAACGGCTATTTTCTTCTTGTTCGCCAACACCTTAGGCCTCACTGCCTCGACGTGCATACTAATATATCTTACGATGGGATTTCCGTTCCAGCGCGAGCTCCACATCGCGCTGTATTCTATGACGTTCACATATGGTTTCGCTATTGGCCACTCGATCAAAGATGTCGATGCGAAGGAGAAAGTCAAGGCTTACGTTTTTCTAACGGTCGCCCTCGTTGCGCCGTGGGCACAACGATGGCTCCCGAGGCTTGGGAGAAGGGGTTGGAAGCTTTGGAGTGAACCTAATTTGCAGGGCCAGCCCTGAGCATGGCGCAATTTCTTTTTCCGCCTGAAGCCCTTGAAGCTCATGAATTTCGCCAATGGTAAAAACTAAAAAGATGTAACAAGATCATAGTTTGATGAATTTTATTTTGTTTTTCATATATATATATATTTTAATAACGTGAGAATTCAGAACAGGTGCACCCGGGATAAACTTGGAAACTAATTTGATATATATATATTGTTTGATGTTGAATAACCGTCTCACCTAAAAATTCGAACTATTAGAAAAAAGGTTTTTTATTCATTGATGTATGCTTTCCTTAGTTGTCAATTTTGTAAATAACATTTTAATATCTTTAATTTATTTATAAACAACTAATGTCAAACATTTACAAAATATTTAAATACAAATAATTAATTTAATCAGCTAGTTAAACAAGTTAATTAAATAAACCAACAACTAATTTAATCAACTAAAAACTATCAACTAAAACGCACTCTAAATTACCCATAAAAATAAACATTTTATCTCAAACTATTTTAACTAAAATTTAAATCCAAAATTCAATTTCAAATGAAAACAAAACAAAACTCAATTTTAAGGCATCAAAGATAGCAAAACATATTACAGAAAACAGCCAAAACTGATCAAAACAATAACAACAAAGCCATCAAGAAAACCAGCAAGAACAAACCTCTCAAAACGCCTGAATTTTTAGGAGGAGAGGAAGACGAAGACGAACCCGGGCCCCGAGCAACGCCAGAGGTCGAATCGTTCTCGGTCGTGCACATGTAGCCGCAGCGGCTGGCTCGAACAACCCTGTAGACGCCGCTGTTGGCCAGAAGGTATACGTCCCGGTTGTTGTCCTCGCCGAAGCTGAAAATGTAGCTCAAAGAAGGAAGTGGATTCCCCGGCACGGTGAAGCTGCAGCTCAACGGAGAGTCGCGTGCGCAAGTGAAGGGAACTTTGCTGCTGCTGAAGTTGCCGCTGTTGGCGGGGCGCTCCGTGCCGGTCCATATCGAACCTCCGTAGAGATCGGCGTATAAATACCTGAAAATCGAATGTGCGATTAAACAAATCGAGCAAACTAGAGTATCTATTGTTCGACCTCGATTAGAACATCCTATCAGTACAAGCTTGACTCGGTTCATTTAGAATTCTAGATGAAATAGTGACTTGAGCTCGACTTATTAGGCTCGAGCTCGAATTCAACTCGAATTTCATACATATTATATATATATTTAAATTAAATATATAATTGTATAAATATATTTTTCATCACAATTTATTATAATAAAATATTTAAATTTTACTAAACAATAGTCTCTGTCCTTTAATATTATATTGATATGTAGTCGAAATAAAATAGAAATGATTAAAATATCTTATTAATATTATGTGATATAAAAATAATGTTATTTGTATAATATATTTGTAACGTTAACTACAGTTATTAAAAAATGAAATAAAAAAATAAATAATTTGTTAAATGAGGGAGGAAGGGAGTATAAAATAATACAAATATACTATTATTAATAACGAGTTCAATCTAGCTCAGCCTATTTAAGTATATAGTAATTCTTGATTTCGAGTTCGGCTCGTTATTTCTATAAAGGTGTCAAGTTGAGTTGAAGTTGGCTCGCCAGCTACTCAGTTCGTTTAACAATTTTAGTTTTAGAACATCAACTACTAAAGAGAAGTGTCGAGATGAAATTTGCGCATATTACCTTCCGTGCATACAAGGATCGGTCATGGATCGATAAAAATATCCCCCGGTGATCGATGCCGAGCCTTCGTTCACATTCACTTCAGAGTGATTGTATCCAACAGCCGGGAAGATTAGCCTTGCTGCGTCTAGTGAAGCATTTCCTCCCGAAGGCTTGTAGACGTAAGGACCCTCGTAAGCTCGCCAACCGTAGTTCCCACCGCGAGTGATCAAGTCGACCTCTTCATATCGATCCTACAGAAAAAACGCAGCTCGTTCTTATATATCACTTGAAAGCTATCGAAGAACAGCCAAGATAGATTACCTGTCCAACGTCGGCGCAAATGAAATACGATGGCCTCGCTGAATCGAAGCTGCAGCGCCACGGATTTCGTAGCCCCAAAGCCCATATTTCCTTCTGCATTTCCTCGTCGTCGATGTACGGGTTGTTTTTAGGGATCGAATAGTTCCCCCATAGCTCGGATTGATCGACTTCTTTTGCACCTGAAAAAAGGAAGGTCGAACTCCTTTCATCGACTGTAAAGTTTTCGATCAACAAGAAACCTGATCGCTTACTCGGGAAGCTGTCGACATCGAATCTCAAGATCTTTCCGAGCAAAGATTTCTTGTTTTGTGCAAAGTTAAACGGATCTCCGGTGCCTCCTCCGTCTCCCATCATCAGATACAAATAGCCGTCTTCGGGGCCGAAAAGAATCTGTCCCCCGTGGTGTCCTGTAAACGGAAGCCCCATCGTAAAGATCCGTCTCACTTCCTCAGGTTTAGCGTTCATCGCCTGGTAAAAACAAGAACAAACTTTCCTTCATGATCGACAAAAAAAAAAAAAGCTTAAGAGGCGTAATTAGCGTCGATATACCGAAGAAAGCTGAGGCGCGCTTCCATTGACAGAGAACTCGGCGATGACACTGTGAAATCGACAAGGCTGTTCAGTGCTGTTAGTGCTAAGTTTCGAAGGATCGCAGTCGACATCTGAGTTGCACGCGCACCTGCCTCCACACCCCGGCGTCTTCTCCTTGTCGCAGTTGAATGAAACGAAGAACCTTCCGTTTTCAGCGAAGTTCGGATGGAATGCAACTCCTAACATCCCGAATTCGACGTCGTAGTGAACCTCATCCGTTAGGTCTAAAAAAGGATCGGCTTCGTCAAGAAACAACGTTCCTCCCGATCCTTCTTCAGGGATCGTCGCCAGCCATATCTTTCCTTGCTGGTTCGAGAAAAAAGCTCGGTTGGAGCCATCGGGGTGTGCAACCATGTTAAGGTACGATCCGTTTGCAATTTTCTCGAGGCAAAGACCACTCGGAGCAGCAGCCGGAGTCGCAGTGCTATTCAGGGCGACAGGTTCGCCGGAAAAACACGTCAGCCCATCATCAGAAGCTCCACCGTAAACATTACAGAAATCGGCTTGCGACCTCCAAATATCGGTCAATTTGATTGAACTAGAGTTTTCGGATGCTCTAAAAGGCGAATCGAATACAGATGCATTTCGACAAGTAGTCCAAACCGTGGAGCAGAAGTCGCGCGCGGCTTGATTAGACTGCGTCGAATTCTTCGAGATCGTTGAGTTGCATAGGACAGGAACTTCGCGAGGAGCTGATGAATCGACGCGGAAGAGCTGAGCCGAGAACTGGTCACACCTCTGCAAAACGAACAAGAAATGAAAAACATTACATCAACCGATCAATCTATTTACAATGCAGACAAGAAGATCGTCCTTACGGCGCAGAGGATGGACTTAAGAAGCGAAGCGCAGGCAGAGTCAGAGATGTTCATGGAATCGAACTGCTTCTTCAGCTGCAGATCATCAGCATCATCACAGCACGTGGCACCGGTCGAGGAACAAAACTGCAGAGTATGATTTGCAGCAAATGGTGCACCTGCCAAGCGAAATTCGAACACGAAAACATCGTTAAAAAACTCGGGTAAAGTAAACTTTCTTCAATGACTTTCAAAAACTAACATCACAGAGGACTTTCGTCGAACAGTTCATAGGCAATAGAAACTCACTCGAGTCAGTACAGAGAGGCAGTGAAGAATGAGGATCAAAATACATCACCAAAATCAACAAAATTGCAGCAATTTGAATACAGCCTTCCATGATTCCAGAATCTGATGAAATTATGCAAAAAACACACTTTTCAAATCAATGGAATACTTCCAAAATGATCACTACAAATTGGTCTCCTCCTGAAGAAGACATTGAAGAGAACGGGGAATCACAATGGCTGCGGGATTTGTTTGAAAGTTGTGTCGTTTCTTCTTCACCATTTGACATTTTTGTTGGATTGTCAATCAAATTGGGATATCACCAATCCAATCTGCAGCAAAAATGGTTGACTTTGAATGCTGGCATATAATGGAGTAAAATAATCACAAGTTGCTGGTTGGTTGACAATTTTGTGATTTGTTTTTGGAAAATCACAGGCTGGAAGAATGTATCCTTGGTTGGTTGAATCATGTAGTTTTGTTGTTGAATTAAGATTCTTGAAGGTATCTGCCATGGAAGTTTATCCAATTGGTAGAATTAAGCTGTATGTGAAAGTGAGGACTTCAGACCTCTTTTAAAGTATTACAGTGAACTGTGACATTATTTGAGTGATTTGTTTTTTAAGGCATTGTATATGCATACTGAAAAATATAAATATTTTTTTATTAAAAATTATGTAAATATTAAAATAATAAATCGAATGTATTCCTAATTATATTAACCCAATTATTAGGATTTGGTGCGTCACGCATGATGTCTATAGCAGCAATCCTAAGGTGCCTCAATCATAATTCATTTGAATTTTGTCATATACTCCTTCCGTCCCGAAAAATACAGTCTTCTTGTATTGAACACGGAGTTCGTAAAAATCAATGGCAATTGTGTAATAATAATGAAAAAATAAGATAATTTTATGATAATACAATTATTTATGAAAATAAAACTATTGTTTTGAGATCAACAAAAATAGTAAAAAAAAAGAAGTATTATAAATATGTATCTTAAATAATGCTATGTGACAAAATTAGAAACAAAAAATAATCAAATTATATAATTTGAATTGACTTAGAAGCTTGTGTTTCAAATATTTTGTTGCATGTTGAATTATATATATAAACTAGATAAAAATATTAGTACGAAGTCCAATATTGATAGAACTGTTTTTGCTCTCTCATATATTATTCATCGTGCATTAATTAATTAAAAAATTTCAATGCAATGGCATTTACGAGAATAAAAAAATAAAATATAAAAAGTAAAAAAAAAAAAAGAAAAACTTATAGCATATCTTTTTCTTTCCCTCGAAAATATTACATTAAATATATTTATTGTTTTTTCCTATTTTCAAAATTCGAAACTTCAATATAAACACAGTCCAAACGATAGAATCACACCAAAATACACCCCAAATTCTAATCATTTTTTTTTTCTGATGAAATATTCCAACACGATCAGAAGTAGAATGACAAGCAAATTCACCACAGTTCCTACATAAAATGTTCCATTCGATAGCTAGCCGGTTAACTCACGAGGTTTTGTAAAACCCGATCAGCGACTCTAGACACAAGCTCAATAATCTGGCAGCCTCTGCGGTCGCTTAGCCAACTCCGCCTACATAGACATGGAAATATTTAGAACACAAACCGGGAAGGACTGTTCATTCGAGCACAACACAGTTTCTAAGCATAGAAGAGGATAATAGGGCCTTCTGATAACAGAAGCTGGAAAAATCGATAAGCATTATTTGATTATTAGACACTAATCAATAGGTTTATGTGGGGTAAACTATACTCCCTCCGTTCACTTAGAAAATAAACATTTACTTTTTGCACGAAGTTTATTAAAATATTATATTTTAATGAAGTTGGTGATAGTTTGGAATTCCTACTGGGACTGAAATGATATCATTGTAGCATAAACTCAATTGGCTGTGCCGAAATAGAACAAAGTTTTAACATTTCTTATTTTGTCGAGTGGTTTGCATTGCTTGCCAAGATATACACTAAACATGCTTACCACAAATTCATTTTTCAGATGATCAAGTTCTTTATCCAGATCATTGATGGCCTGATTATATGCTTGCATAGGTGACGATTGGCTGGTCGTGTGGATCTGTAAATTTGACCATCACAAACATTATCAAATAGAAAACCAAACTGATCCATCCCATAACAACAACACTGTCAAAAAAGAAAGAAATTAAGCACCTAATTTTCATTTAATATATTACACAAAAGAATCAAATTTTCATTCAAAAGATCACAGCAAATACTATTTCAATTCAAAACTTTATTATTCTCAAACCTCAAACCCACATAGAACCTTAAAGAAACACATTAGGAGTTTGGAAGAAGATAAACAAATGAGTAATTAGTATAAAAATAATTAACTAGAGTATTAAACAAGGTTCACTTCACCCCGGTTTTAACGCCTTTGCAAAATCATTATAACAAACTAAACACCACCAAGGCCAATAGCATTAGAGAAACTACTCATCTTTTCAAACCATAAAATGAAAGGAAGAAAAGATACCTATCTATTAAGATACAAATTAATGTGTTAATACCAAATTAACATTCTATGTATCAGTCAACTGCCGCTTCCGGGAAGTTATATCATGAGACAAAGCTGCAAAAGTAATGTCTTACAACATTATCCACTGCCGATGCAAGAAAACCACAATCTAACCCTTCATACAAAAATTTGATACTAGATCTGTCCAATATTATAGTTTTTCTCAATCTTGGGCAGATTCTTAGACAATATTTAACACTACTAGTTTCCAAAGACCACATTGAGATCCATTTCTATGCAACCTAATTTGATATTTCACATTTGCCTTAAAATGTTTACAAGGCTCAATTTTTATACAAACTAAGATATGTTTTAAATCTCAAATGGTGTAAAAAATTATAAAGAGACCGTTGTGATTATCATAACAGAATTTGGGGATAACTTCATCGAAAACAGAATACATTCAAGGAAGACTGGGAAAACAAAAACGCAAATTACAAACCCTTATAAGTATTTTGTACTGGAGAGGATGAGGCAGCTTGTAGCCAGCGAACATAACGTTCTCATCCCTGTGCAATTGCCTGCGTCACAAGAATTAAATAAAATTAGGGTTTTCAGAAAACGACAACCCTAAACACCATTAAACAGAGCAGTAGCATACATGCGGAGAATGTTGCCGATGGTGTGATCCTCACGCTCAATAGTGAACGACGCAGCATTTATAATCTTCGTGTCCCGCTCGTAAGACACCCTGTTCAGTCAATTAAATTCACCGCCAACGCAAATGAAAAGATCAGAAACCAGTACCAAAACAAACAAAAAAAAAAAACACAAGAAAAAACATAATATGGGGACGAGATAGGAAGGAACTGCACTTGGAGACACCCTCAGGAACGACGAAGCGTTCGTAACGATCGGGGGCGTTCATCTTGTTCTTCTCTCCAGCTCGGTCCTTCCTTCGCTACTGAAGAATAGTGGACAGGGCAGAGTTAAACGCCGCCGTACGCTTTGTTAATGGGCCGTCGTGTTGTTGGGCTAAGGTCCGATTAAATCAAATTGATTTCCACTGGAATATCACAGGCTTGCTGATTATGAAGTATGGTAATTTTTTACTCCATCCCTTCGAACAATAAATATACAATAAATATACATTTATTTTATGCAGAGTTTAAAAAATAATAGTATTTTAATTATAATTGGTAGATAAAAGTATTATAATGATATTTTTACCTTACTTTTTGGTATAAAAGTAAGATGTGATGTAAAATAAGGGTATTTGTGAAAAAAAATAGGGTATTTAAGGAAATAGTTATTTTGTAATTTAACATCCCAAAATAAAAATATATATGCTTTGTAACTAGACAGATGGAGTATTATATAATTATATTTAATTTAAATTTTCTCATTATTTATTACATCATTTTTTATAATTTATTTTTATTTATTTTAAAATTTAATTATTTATTAAATATATTATTTTTATATTGTAACACTCTAATTAATTATTTAGATTTATATATATATGATTTTTACATAATAAATAAATAATAAATATATCTAAATATTATTAAATAAAATTTATTTATTTTAAATAAAATTCAAAATATGAAAAATAAAAAATAGAACATACAAATATTAAAAATGAATATATATAAATTAGTGGTTCAAATCATGACCGACGATTTTTAAATCGGCTGTTTAAAAACCGCTAATCAAAATTGTCAAATAATAATCAAAATTGTCGCTCGGAAAGGTTCGATTTTAGTTTGATATTTTGACAAACCGTAATCAACGATTTGTAATTGTAATCGGCGATTTTAACTGTTTGAGCAAATCTAAATTCAAGTCGTAACCGACTATTTTTAAACAATAAATTAGACACCGTAATCTGACGATTTATAAACCATAAGATTCCGTTTCGATATGATATTTTGACAAATCGTAACTAACTATTTAAAAAGAAAAAAAAAATCCCAATCTAAAATGTCAAAGAATTGAAGATTTTTAGACTACACTTTCATTTCTTAGGGTGTGTTTGTTTGGGTGATTGAATTGGATTTACACTTTTCATCCAATTTTCTTTCTAAAAAATATCAAATCAAACATCTATTTTTTATTTTTTATATTATACTAAAAATCAATTTTACATTCAAAACATCACGTCAACACCTATTTATATCACATCATACAACTATTCAAATTCAAAATTTTTACTATTCAAATCTCAACTCAAAATCCAAACCCCCAAACAAACACACCCGACTAATATTTATTATTTATATGATATTATATATGATTTCTAGTTTTTTTTCTTTTCAATTTTTTTTTATTTATATATAATATAAATTATATTATCATATACTCCTATTGGAGACTTTCTTACAATTTATATTTATATCTATTTATCATGTGTTTATTTGTGGGTTTAAGTTTTGACTTTGTGTTTCGAATATTACTATAAATTTTAATAAATGTTTGATACGATATAAAGATATATTATTGTGATATTTTTTACATATAAAATTAATTTTTAATTCCTCATTCGTCTTTTAATAATTTATTTATTTATTTATTTTGGTCGTCTTATAATAAAATATAAGGTTTTTTTTAATAATGGTATTATCTACCTAACATTATAAATACTCTTAGTCTTTTTATCTTTATTTTTACTATATTTTAATATAATATTAATATTTCTAAAATCTCGTACAAAAATAAACGGATAGATACATATGAGACGAAGGGAGTATAATATATTAAAATTAATAAATTGATTTGATATTTTTAACAAAAAAATATAAAATAACTATATATATATATTTTCTTTTTGCTTTTTTAAAATGCAACATTATGATTTTCTATAAAATAATTAAAATATCATATTAAAGATAAATTCAAACGCTAATTAATCATTTACCACTTGAATGGAGTATATTTTGCATACTAGAATTTTTTGGAGGACAATGTTAATTATTGCGTAGTTGTAGGGTCAAATTTGTATTATGAAAAATTAAATAAGGAAACAAACATCTCACTGTTAATTAGCATATAGCTACGGGGTCAATTTTTTATTATGAAAGTTAAATAAGGAAATGGATAACCGCTCCAGCCTGGCATCTCAAATGTATAAATAGGGATGGAGTCGAGAGAAAAGATTACATTCGTACATCGTCAAGGATTTTCTGCGCGGAGGAAAATTTCTCTCTCGAGTGTCTGTTCGTGACGAGCTTGATTCAGTGTTCTCGTTTCGATCCCTATTCTTCTCTCTGCCGCCGATAATCTCATCAGGTTCGCTATCTTTCGATTCTCATCTATTGATTGTTAAGAGTTTAGGTTTTGGACGCGATTGCACGGTTCGTCATCATCGATGGGTTATCCACAGTGGAGGGCGATTGGATCTGATTTATCAATGAGGATTTTGAGATTTAGATCTTATTTAGGATTCTGTTTATTTGGAGTAATCAAGGGTTATATAGAATCAAGAATGATTACCTTGGACTTCAGGATACATGTACGTGGATGTGAATGTTCCATTTCGCTTTGAAATTGAGGGATGGAATGTGGACTCAGAGAGAAGGAATGGATATTCATCTGACTTGCACAGTGCAGATTTCCTTCGGTTTTTATTTGATGGGAATAGAACAACCTGGCTTGGCTTATCTTGCGTCATGTTGGCTCAGATTCTGATTGTCCCTTATGGTATTTTCTTTTAGCTTTCGGCAATGGAAGTCAAGGCAGCAAGGAGAGTCCCAGTCTTTGATCGAGTAGGAAGTCAACCTGCGAGAAACGAAGTCTGCACCTTCTGGCTTGCGGGAAAATGCAATAGAAACCCATGTAGGTTTATGCACAGAGAGTCGCCACCTCCTCAAAGTGGGAAAATGTCCCATTCACCTCCAAGGAGTGATTTCCATCGAAATCGCTCCAGAAATTTGACTTGGAAGAAACCCAATAATTCTATCCCCAAAACTGGGAATGCGGAGAGTAGCAAGAACATTCCACAGAAAGTATCCACGATTAACAGAACCATCAAACACAATCAAGAAATAATGGATGTTACAAATGAGAAGGATGAAAGCACACATGCCCTACCAAATGATTTGGAAACTGACGATAGTATTGTTCAAGAAACTCTCCCAAGTATTGTTCAAGAAACTCTCCCAAAGCAATGCAAGAACTGGCTCAGTGGCAACTGTAGCCTTGGGGAGAAGTGCGCGGATAAACACTGTTGGTTCTATGGTTCTGGATTTACAATGTTGGGAAAGCTAGAGGGACACGGCAAGGTATTGCATACATGAGTATCTTTTTTCAACTTTCTATTTTACATAAGAATTGATATATTTTTCTCTGTTGTATGGATTATTATTCACATTTGTTTCCTGCAATCATGAGCAGGCTGTTTCTGGAATTTGCCTCCCATCTGGACACACTAAGCTTTATTCGGGTGGTGAGGATGGCTGTGTCCGAGCCTGGGACTGCTACAGCGGTCAGGTTGGAACTTTTACTTTTTTTTTTTTTTTTTTTCTTCTATCTTTTGGAAGCACTCATTTTGTTAGAAGGTGAATTAGTAGTTACATGGTTATTATTGCCGCATGCAGTGCTCTGGTTTGGAAAACTTGAACAGTGGTGTACGTTGTATGGTCACCGAAGGTCAATGGCTTTTTGTTGGATTGCATGATGCTGTTAAGGTTCGATTTTCGTTTTGTTTTACATGGTTATTATTGCTTCTTGCAAACATGGTTTCCTTACGTGTATCTTTTTTCTTTTGTGTCCTTGACGGTAATATAGGCTTGGAACTTTGAAAGTCAATCTGGATTTACTCTTAATACCGGAGGGGCTGTAATTTGTAGCATGGCTGCCGATGACAATGTCTTGTTTGCTGGAACAGAGGTAACTACTTCAAGTGTTAATTGATTTATGTCGTCCATTATATATATATGTTATGCTTCTCGGGATATTCTTGATTTATGTTTGGTGAATTAATCTCATTTTCCTTATGAACTTTTACATGGCTGCAGCATGGTTCCATATTGGTATGGAGATGGCAATCCGAAAGCTCCAATGCTCCTGAACCAGTTGCATTGTTGAAGGAACACACGGGTGCTGTGTGTTCACTTGTCGTAGGATCTAAGCGACTTTATTCCGGTTCTAAGGACTCTACTATCAAGGTAAATCTATATACACATAGTTACCTAAAAACAACGATATCTTCTTGTTCATTCTACAGAGGCCTTTGCTGGTTTTCTTTCTTTTCTTTCAATATATTTAACTCGTTGACAATGTGCAATTCGCAGCAATGGGATGTGCATACTTTGCAGTGCTTGCAAACGTTGCACGGGCATACAAGTGATGTGACGGCTGTTCTTTGCTGGGATTACTTTTTGCTATCCGCTTCCCTCGACAAAACAATAAAGGTTTAGCTCTATCTCCATCCTTTGCATTTCTTATTTTCATCTTTTGTCATTAAGGTCTCTACTTTGATGCTTTCCATCTTCTAATCAGCTGGTTTCGTGTTCTTTCTTACGCCAGGTTTGGGCTACCTCGGAAAATGAAACCATAGAAATGATCTATGAGATGAAAAACGATAATGTAAGTAGTCATTTAGTCATCGATTCATTTGTTAATATAATTTTGTCGTTGAATTTTCTCATGTATTCATATTATTTTCCAGGGAGTGATTGCCCTCGCCGGCATACATGCCTCAGAAGCTAAGCCAATTCTACTATGTTCTTACACCGACAACACTGCTCGACTTTTTGAACTGCCAACGTTAGTATCACCATCATCATCGTCGTATTTTATTTATTCGTTCGAACAGTTATAATTATATTTTGCGAATTCTCTCAGATTCTCCGAACGAGGTAGAATATTTTCAAGGCATCGCATTGAAGTGATTCGAAACGACGGCGACGTCGAGGGACTCTTTTTCACCGGCGATGCAGCCGGAGAACTCGTTGTTTGGAAGATGCTTTGATCCGTACATTCTTTCTCATGTAAATTCTCAACATTCTATAGAAGAAATTGAGAGAAATTTTTCCCATATCATCAGCTATTTAAGAATGAATGGAATATTTGTGTTTAGATAATATATTAATTATTTTGGAACTTTTGAGAAATTCAAAAATTATAATTAAAAATAAAATTTTATACTGTCTCTATCCCATTCCCTCTTTCTCATACGAAAGTATTCGTGTATTTGTAATATTAGTAGACAGTATTTGAAAAAATGGATAGTTTGATAGACTGAATGGATATTTTGTATAGAAAATGTATATATATATATGTGTATTTTTATTAGTTTTTTTATGCAATGTTCTGAATGAAAATTAATATATAATTTGATATTTTAAAAATACTAATAAATAGTGTATCAAAATTAAAATGAAAATATATGTAATTAAAGCTCATGAAAGAAATACAGAACCCTAGTCTACGATAAATCTTTCAAATAATTAATTAATCGAATGAGAATAAAGAATTTATACAATGTGTATAAATGATCTTTGACAATTTATTTTGCACATTAAATATGAAGATTAGATCAAAAAAATCATATAATGTTCATTTAATATTTGAATTTGAATTTTGTGTTTTAAAAAAATAATAATAAATTTTTTAACTGAAATAGGAATAATATTTACTCCATCCGTCCTAGATATTTTGGGCTTATTACTAGATAATTAGTAGGTATTAAAAGTATAACTAGTAGATAATTAAAAATATTTAATTAAGATTATAAAATTTAAAATTTATAATGCGGTTTAAGTGCGTAATTATATGGAAAGGAACGAAAATAAAAAATATGGATAAATTATGTGGAACGGAGAGATTAATATAATGCATTAAATAAAATTTTAGTTTTTTTTAATATATTAAATGAAACACACATATATATATATATTTGATTTTATAATTTTAAACATATTATTATTGTTATTATTGCATGATCCTTTTTTTAGTGTGTTAGATTGAATCAAATCAGCACTAGTTAGGTGACCCGATCATCACTATCTCATATAAAAGTTATATGTTGTGAAGTTTTATACAGGGGTGTGCAAAATTACCAATTTTCGATTTATCGACCAAATTCAAATTAAATTCGAAAATTCGAATTTGGTAATTTGGTAATTCGGATGATATTTGGATATGCCGAATTCAATATTTTTAAAATTAATTCGAATTTGGTTTTATCATTTTTGAATTCGGATTTACCGATTTCGATTTTAAACAATTATTTTATTCAATATAATATATACACACATTTTGTTTTGCAAAAATAAAATTACTTTATATAACACCAATTCATCAAACATAAAAAAATTAAATTATAAATTTATATTATTTTATTTTATTTATATTTGTATAAAATTTTAAATAAATAAACAAATTTGAATCATCACAACTCAAGTTTATTATGTTTATATTGAATTCGATCAATTCGGTAAATATTAAATTCAAATTAATTTCGAATTGAGAAATTAAAATTGAAAATTATGAAATTGAAATTGAATTTTATCGAAATTTTTTTTTTAAAAAAAAAATCCGAAGTTTTCGATGCACACCCCTAGTTTTATATGTGTATTCCACTGTATAAATATATTTATTGTGCTCGACGATACTAATAGGACCCTAATCATTATGGCAAGGAAAAGTTTGATTCAGAGGGAGAAGAAGAGGCAAAAGTTGGAACAGAAATATCATTTGATTCGTCGATCCTCTTGAATCAATAATATATTGTGTTATGTATAATTATATCATATTCTATTAAGAATATGCAGATTGCCTTTAATGTGTTCGATTAGGTCAAATAATACTGTGTTGATTCGATCTCATATAGCATTCAAACCGAAACGGTTTCTCTTAATATAATTTTGCATATGTGAGCGAATTGAAGAGTTTTTCAATCAACTATCGAAAGAGAATTTTTTTGGCAACGTCAACTGTTGTGGTGCAAACCCAAATCCCACATCGGAAGTTGTGAAGAAAATTTCACACCTTATAAGTTCCGAATGAACTCCACCAGTATGAGGCATTTTGAAGGATATCCAAAAATAAATCCGTGCGAGCTCGGCCCAAAGCGGACAATATCATACTTAGTGTTGAGTTGACTCAGTCCCAACATCAACCAAAATAGTTTTATTGAATGAGATTTTTTAGTGGTGTACTATTATATAGTGCTAAAAACTTCAAAAGTATATATGTAAATAAAGCCATAATTCGTTTTGAATTAGATAGTATTTTGAATAAAAATCTAGACTTATGTAGGGATTTATTCTTTTATAATTTTAAATTAAAATTAAAATTATTTATCTTATATAATTTTCAACAAAAACAAACTATTTAATCTCATAAAACATAATATTAAAATACTATTAAAAAAAAATTCAAATAAATACTTATTTCAAATCAATTTTAAACTCCAACGAAACAAAATATAAACTAAGGTTAACATATATATTTTAAATTAAAAATAAAAAATAAAACCTACTACTATCGAATGTAAGCTTGGCTCATTTCATCTTGTAAAAATTCGCAAAATAAGAGCAATGACCTTCAAAATAAAAAGCCTCTCAAATACTATGGAGATTTATTTATTTATTTATTTATTTATTCAATAGGCTTAAAAAAAAATAAAAAATCATAAAATGACTTTTCTTTTCGTACCAAATAAAATAAAATAAAAAAATACAACCCCGACGCTTTAGATCATATGCTATATATTGTTTGTTTAGTGTGACTTGCCTACTAACAAGTATTAGGTTTGGCCGGAGGTTTATCCAGTGCGCACTTTCGAATAGCGGCCGCAGATTTTCACCTCATAAAAAAAACAAAAAAAGAACACATGAAGCACTTTGACCTGTACAATGAATCGTACAGTTGTTATCCGAAAATGTACATTGAGGGTGTGTTCGTTTGTAGGTTTTTAACAAAATCTTACTATTCATCCAAAATTTTTCCCCCAAAAACATCAAATCAAACACTCATTTTTCATTTTTTATATTATAATAAAAATCAATTTTACATTCAAAACATCACATCATCACCTATTTATATCACATCATATAACTATTCAAATTCAAAATTTTTACTATTCAAATCTCAATTTAAAATCCAAACCCCCAAACAAACACACCCTGAATAAACTTTCGACCGAACATCGGAGATTTTAACATATGACCTTACAATTACAAGTTTACCTGTACTACCAAATCATCCCTTAGGGACAACTTTTTATTTGTTTATTATTATATATGTTCGTTACATCCAAACCTTTCTCGTTATCATCTTTTCCTCTTTTTCTCTCTATAATCTTCTCTCGTGCTCTCTCTCTCTCTCTCTCTCTCTTTTTTTTTCTTTCTTCCTCTCACATTCAATCTCTTTCTTCATTTCAGCCTCTCTTTCCCTCTCTCGCCAATTTATCCCTCACATTTTTTATAATGCGAAAACTTGTGCTCGTTATTTGAAAATATGGATGAGGTAAACCTTCGATCAAACATAATAGCCTGCAAATTAGGTTCAATAAGACAAATCACACTAAGTGAACTATGTGTAACAAGCAAAACATTGAGGCGTCGATGTCAGAACTCACGACTTCACGGTTAGTGAGTGACGGATCTACATTGGGGATCTATAAATCGAAGAACGAGTGAAGCCGGTCAGTTCTTCCTAAATTTTTCTAAGTATAATTTTTTCTAATTTTTTATTTAGTAATCAAATTTGCCCCCTCTGAGATTAATATTCTACATAAACCTCTGTATTATTATTATTTTAATTTATAATAATATATAATATTTTTATTTATAAATTTATTATATAAAAAATAAAATATTTTATCTTAAATACTATTTCCGTTCATTTTTTTTCTTCTACACATCCACATTATAGTGTTCAAAAAATCGACGAAAAAATTCTTATATTATTTTTTGTACATACAGAAACAACCGAATATCTGTTTCAAATAAAAAAAAATGTTCGAAATAGGTTGAAACTAAAAATAAACAGTAAAAAAATAAAACAAATAAACATAACAATTTTACCCTCCGGAGCCGCAAAGCTGGCTCCGTCACTACTCACGATCACAAATCCATCCCTACGCTACCAGACCATTCATTTACGGGACTACAATGGCACAGGCTCTTATAGAGATGACCTGAGGTTAAAAGGCATTGACACACCAGCTTTTGGATGAATTTGGAGGTATTTTCAGACATAATAAACCATTGTAAAAATGCTGTAATTGAGTGTAAATTAGGGGTCCATTTCAACAGCTATTATGTTAAGAGTCCCGTAAAGAATAACCTGGTGATATAGGGGTTGGACTTGTGACCGTGAGGTCATGGGTTCAAACCCCCGACGTCTCAGATCATCTGTCATACATGGTTTGCCTAGTGTGACTTTCCCGTCAGCCTTGATTTGTAAGATATTAACTTCGACCGAAAATTTACCCAGTACACACTTTCAGATAGCGGCTGCAATTCCCGCATCATCCATAAGAAAAAATGTTAGGTAAGAGAGTACGAATGGTACTTCAAATTCAAAGGAGACAAATGTCATGTGCCCCTATTTATTTTGTTTGTTTGGACTCATTTATTATTCTTATTTTCTAAATATATACCCTATGTATATATTAGTTCTGTAAAGTTCGCTTGCAAGTTTATCGGAATCGCAGCCGAAAAGTAACAGCGTCGTAAAATAAAATAAAATTTATATAATCTTTTGTTATTAGTTAGTAATAAATAAACAAAAAAATTACTTTGAGGAAATTGTAATACTCCCTCCGTCTCACATACCATGTTCACATTGCCGTTTCTATCCGTCCCATATACCATGTTATTTTCATTTTTTGAAAATTGATTACACACTTTAATCTCATTTAAAACTTTTTAATTTTATTTTTTTAAAATTTTAATTAAACTAATTAATTATCTTAATTTATAATTACTTATATTATAAGATAATTATTTTCACTAATATATTTTTAATTATCTACTAATTACACCTCTTCTAAAATACTATGTCTATCAGACACGGTACGAGATGAAATATTATTTAAGTGAAGAAGTTTTTATTACTTGTTTAATATTTTATATAAAAAAATTTATTTTCAATTTAAAAGTATAAACAATTTTTTAGTGGAAATATTATAAAAATAAAAGAACAAACCCCATTATGTCTTCTCCCCCACATATCACATGCCTTTGTATATTTGTTTTCTCTTTGTATTTTTATGGAAAAAAATTAATTTTGGTCTCAATATAAATAATTTCAATCAATTTTGGTTTCATTATAAACAATTCATCAATTTTGGTCCCAATATAAAAAACTCATCAATTTTGGTCCCAATATAAACAATTTCAATCAATTTTGGTCTCATTATAAACAATATAACCAATTTTGGTCCCAATATATATCAATTTTGGTAATAATATAACAAACTTATCAATTTTGGTCCCAGTATAAACAATTTTTAAAAATTGTTTATAATGGGACCAAATTTGATTGAAATTATTTATATTGGGACCAAAATTGATGAATTTTTTTATATTGAGACCAAAATTGATAAATTTTGGTTATATTGAGACAAAAATTAATTAATTTTGATTATATTGGGACCAAAATTAATTTTTTCCATATTTTTATTTATCTTCCAATCATTATTTAGCTTGTATTAATTTAGATAAATTATTATTAAGGCTATATGCAATAATACAAATTAACAAGTTGGGTGTTTTCTACCCTCTTTTTTTTTTTTTTTTTTTTTTTTTTTTAATTTAGAATTTGAATTTTGGCTTAATTAATAGTATATTAATATGATATTTTGCGTGGAAATATAATGAATTTTCATTGAGAATTTTGAAAATTGAATAAAAAAATACTTCATCTGTCTCATGTAATATGAGTGCATTACTGTAGACATGGGAATTTAGGTAAAGTATAATTAGTAAGTAATTAAGAAATATATTAGTAAAAATAATTATTAGTTAGTAAAAATAATTATAGATTAAGATTAAGATAACTAAATAGTTTAATTAAGATTGAAAAAAATTTAAATTTTAAATTTTAAAATATGATTAAAGTGTATAATTAATTTTCCATAAAAGAAAATGACAAATTATGTGGGACGGACGAAAATAGAAAATAGAGACAAATTATGTGGGACGGAGGGGAGGGAGCATGTATCATGTTGATTTAATATGAGGTAAATAAGTTATAATGTCTACTTGTATTGCTTACGCCACGGTGCCAGTGTCTTAGATGTCAACACCGTACTAATTAAACACTAATGATTATATTTAGGGTGTCTGGGAAATTGAATTTTAAATATACTATTCATCTAATTTTTTTTCTCTTAAAAATATTAAATATTTTTTATTTTTTATATTATATTAAAAATCAATTTTACATTTAAAATATCACATCAACATCTATTTATATCACATCATACAATAATTTAAATTCAAAATTTTTACTATTCAAATCCCAACTCAAAATTCAAACCATATTATTTTGATACTGTATGATCAATAATAAATAAGATTTATTTTGTAATTTCATTGTACACATTTTAGTTGAAGTAATTAATTCTATGGTGAGAACATAAATTATACTCACTCTTTCCGCGAAAGACGAGTGATTTTGTTAGAGATACAATATTTTAGATATAGTGGGTTATTAAGTTATTTATAATAAATTATGATAATATTTTATTATTTTTTATATGTGTAGTACTGTTGGTATTTTAAATATTTTATAATTATATTTTAATAAAATATATGCAATATGGATACCATTTTGTTGACCATAAAATTTTATATAGTACAAATGAATAAAAAAAATATTTATTTATTTATTATTACCACAAATTAGTTTTATAAAAAGTGAGGAGTTTCAAAGATAGATAAAAATATTTGTTAATCGAAGAGATCGTGTCTGAGATGTTAGAAGTTTAATTAAATTGATTTATATTTGTTAAATATATTTAAGATTTATAAACTTACCAAAAATAGAAATGTGTCGTCTTTTGTGAGACATACCGAAAATGAAATGAGATCATCTGTGACGGGACGGAGGCAATATTTCTAAAAAGCATGAGATCAATAAATAGACGCAACAATGATATATTTTTTATTACTGTGTTCGATACTTTCATTAGTTACTCCAGATGCTTTTCAAGTATAAAATTACGCAATGTATAAATTCAATTATAAAATAATTTACTCCATCTATGAAAATATACTTATATCAGTTGCACAGATATTTTAATGAATATAATATTATATTGATTATAATGATATAAAATAAGCATATTTTTAAAATTATATAAGTGAGTTAACGAAGTAAGTGAAAATTTTAGATTGACAGAGTATGAATAAATTATCTGCTATAAATAAATATTATATATATATATTTTTTTTATGGAGAAGTAAAAAATTAAATAAAACAAGATAGGAAATAACACAACAATATATATGACTTAGAGCACCATGATTAATAATAAAAAGCATAAAATTATGATTTTCAAATGTACATATATTAATTAATCTTTGAAACTCTTGAATTAACACAAATTCTTCTCATAAATTTCAAATCAACTTTCATATCAATTTTTTTTTTCTTTGATTTACAATAATATATATATATATATAATATGAAACTAAGAAAGTATATAGAACTCTATTCTCCAAAATAAATTTTTTATTTTTATCAGTTCTATATAAGAATGTCTTTTTTTTTTTAAAAAAATATAATTATACATTTTAAATTATAAATTTATAAATTTTTAATTTTAATTAAAATATTAAATTATTTAAATATTAATTTATAATTATTTTTTATAATTTTTTAATATTTTTTAATTTTTTTAATAATTATACTTTAAATAAATTCCCTTCTCCTTAATATGCACAATTTATCCGTGGAGAAAGTATATAATGGATGTGTTTGTTTCGAGGATTCTCCCTCAACTTCACTGTTTATCTAGTTTTTTTTTTTAAACATCAAATTAAATAATTATTTTTTATTTTTTATATTATACTAAAAATCAATTTTACATTTAAAATTTTACGTCTAACGTTTATTTATATCATATCATACAACTATTTAAATTAAAAAATTTTACTCTCTCTGTCCCACATACTATGTCAACACTGCCGTTTTGTTCGTCCCACATCCCATGTCAACACTGCCGTTTTGTTCGTCTCACATCCCATGTCACTTTTATTTTTTTGAAAAATAATTACACACTTTAGTCTTATTTTAAATTTTTTAATTTTAATTAAATTAATTAGTTATATTAATTTTATAAAATAATTATTTTCACTGATAAATTTTTGAATTATATATATATATCTTAAATTATTGTGTCTACGGTGTGTGTGACCAGACATCCAAAGTCGGACCGTGAGTACTACTTAAACCCAATATAGGTGTGTGGTGGCATAAATGCACAGAAATAATTCATTCACACAAAAAAATTTGAATGTCTGAAAAGAATCAAGGTTGGTTCCATTCCAGTAAAGCAGATTTAATTAATGCCATGTGCCCTTTCTTCTTGCTTCTTCTTCTTCATCTTCATCTTCATCTATTTTGGCCCATCTCCATCATCTCTGTTAATTCCTCCATCTACTTGCTTGCTTGCTTGCTTACTGTTAACAATGGAACAAACAAATCTACTCAAATCCAAAACTACCTTTTCATTATCTCCAAATAAATATGCTCTTTAATTAATGTCTTCTTTTTCCCCTCAACCCCATCTGGATATTGAAATGAAATTTACCTCTCAATAAATACTTAAATTCATTCATTCAGTGTAAGTTCCGTTATGACATATACATGCATATATATATATATAGAGAGAGAGAGAGAGAGAGAAAGAGAGAGAGGGGGGCTGAGGTTCACCCCTTTCTGTAACTTCCTTGTCGCATCAGTTTCTTCCACATATAATGCATTTTATTGCTCACATTTTTTGTATATAACCAACAACTTGTACTCAGAAATGCACCACTTTCATTGAATCTTTCTCTCACTCTTGCAGATTTTTGGTATTATCAATATTATTATTATTATTATTATTGATTGGTGTGTAGCCGTCGTTTCTTGTCGCCAATTGAAAACCCCCAATTTTGGTAACTTGGGGCTTGCTTTCCAATCTCTTTCAATTTCGAGTTCTTGAGTGGGTTTGTGTCTGAAACCTTGCAAAAAAGGTTTGCAGATTTTGAAGATGGGGGACAAGAATGAAGTTCTTGATGCTGTCCTCAAGGAAACTGTCGATTTGGTAATGGATCTGCTGCTGCTGATGATTATGAGTATGGTTATGATTTTTCATTATTCGATTCGATTTGATTTTTTTGATTTGATTTCAGGAAAATATCCCAATTGAGGAAGTGTTCGAGAATCTGAGATGCACCAGAGAAGGCCTCACAAGTGTTGCTGCTGAGGAGAGATTAGCCATTTTTGGACACAACAAGCTCGAGGAGAAGAAGGTCTTGTTCTGATCTTATTTTGCTTGTTTTTGCCTGTTACTTTTTAATGTTCTTCAATTTTCTTGCCTCATCTGTGCTGTGAATTGTATTAATTAAGTTCCCTTTTTGAGAATTTGTATTTGTTTTTGCACGAATTCGATCGGTTTGAGCTCAGGAGAGTAAGTTCTTGAAGTTCTTGGGGTTTATGTGGAACCCTCTTTCGTGGGTTATGGAAGCTGCAGCTATAATGGCCATTGCCCTTGCCAATGGAGGGGTGAGAACAATATTTTGATTCGATTCGATATTCAATTCGTTATTTGATTCGATTCTGTCGTTGGATTCTTTGTTTGGAGAATGTCTGTATTGATTCGATGTCGAATTCGGCAGGGAAAGCCTCCGGATTGGCAGGACTTTGTCGGGATTATAACGCTGCTCTTGATCAACTCTACGATCAGTTTCATCGAGGAGAACAATGCCGGCAATGCTGCTGCTGCCCTCATGGCGCGGCTTGCTCCAAAAGCGAAGGTTCCGCGTGTCGATTTTTTATATTTGCGGCGTTTGTTTGTGATATTGTTGATGGATTTTGTGTTTATTGTTTGTTCGTCGAAAGGTTTTGAGAGACGGGAGGTGGAATGAGGAAGAGGCGTCGATTTTAGTCCCCGGCGACATTATTAGTATTAAGCTCGGCGACATAATTCCTGCCGACTCTCGTTTGCTCGAGGGCGATCCGCTGAAAATCGATCAGGTTGGGATTTGGAGGAAGTTCGATTTTAGTTTAGTTTAGTTTCGACGAGTTTTGTTGGATAATGTTGCGTTCGTCATGTCATCGTACAGTCAGCGTTAACGGGCGAGTCTCTTCCGGTGACAAAGGGGCCGGGAGACGGCGTCTACTCGGGTTCGACGTGTAAACAGGGCGAGATCGAGGCTATCGTCATCGCCACCGGCGTCCACACCTTCTTCGGAAAAGCGGCGCACCTCGTCGACAGCACGAATCAAGTCGGGCACTTTCAGAAGGCGAGTTTTTACAAACCCGTCGAACATTTTGTCGAAGCATCAAAAATTTGATTCGTAATTTTGTCGTATGGCCAGGTTTTGACGTCAATCGGGAACTTCTGCATCTGTTCGATCGCCGTCGGGATGGTCATCGAGATAGTAGTGATGTACCCGATTCAGCACCGCGAGTATCGCCCGGGGATCGACAATCTCCTCGTCCTTCTCATCGGCGGGATCCCGATCGCGATGCCAACCGTCCTGTCCGTGACGATGGCAATCGGGTCTCATCGTTTGGCCCAACAGGTTGTCGTCGTCGTCGACGCGGTTTAATTCGTTTTGTCATGGTTTCGATGACTAATGTAACGCTATTCACTCGCAGGGCGCGATTACGAAGAGAATGACGGCTATAGAAGAAATGGCGGGCATGGATGTGCTCTGCAGCGACAAAACCGGGACGTTGACGCTGAACAAGCTCACCGTGGATAAGAATCTCATCGAGGTTTTTGCCAAAGGGGTCGACGCGGATACCGTCGTTCTGATGGCAGCTCGAGCCTCCCGTACTGAAAACCAGGACGCGATCGACACTGCTATAGTCGGAATGCTGGCTGATCCGAAAGAGGTATCGAATCTTATTTTCGTTAAAACTTTCCGAACTTTTGCGAAATTGACGCGTAGATTTAACTTCGATAAGGCTCGAGCTGGCGTGCACGAGGTGCATTTTCTTCCGTTTAACCCTACGGACAAGCGAACTGCTTTGACGTACATAGACAGTGAAGGGAAGTGGCATAGGGTCAGCAAAGGCGCTCCCGAGCAGGTGCGTACGGCGGCTTATTCTTGTCGATACGGATATGTTTTATTCCTCGAGTCGTAATTCTATAACGTGTATGTTCAGATTCTAAACCTCGCGCACAATAAGGCGGACATCGAGCGCCGAGTTCATGCTGTGATCGATAAATTTGCAGAACGAGGGCTAAGATCGCTCGCCGTTGCATACCAGGTCTTAGTTTTTCGATGGTTTACATTAACCTCGAGTACGCGCAGCTACATTGTTTGTTCGGATTTATCGAATTTTCATTTCAGGAAGTTCCGGAGAGGTCGAAAGAGAGTCCCGGCGGGCCGTGGCAGTTCATTGGCCTCTTGCCACTCTTTGATCCGCCGAGACATGACAGCGCCGAAACTATAAGACGAGCGTTGAATCTCGGGGTTAATGTTAAAATGATTACCGGTACGGTGAATACACTACGAAGCTAAATATATGTTTTGTCGATCCCTAATTGCTCGAAAATCTTTGATTTGACAGGCGATCAGCTTGCGATAGGGAAAGAAACTGGACGAAGGTTAGGAATGGGAACTAACATGTATCCTTCGTCCGCGTTGTTGGGGCAGAATAAGGATGAATCGATTGCTGCTCTACCGATCGACGAACTCATTGAGAACGCCGATGGTTTTGCCGGTGTCTTTCCCGGTACGGTACTTAATTGGAACTTAAAAAAAGCTTTTTGATCGAAGAATGTGTTTTTGTCGATTTTTTGTTTGTTTATATGTTCGTCTCGAGCATTCCTCAGAGCACAAATATGAAATCGTGAAGCGCCTACAAGCGCGAAAACACATTTGTGGAATGACCGGCGACGGGGTGAATGATGCGCCAGCTTTGAAGAAAGCAGATATCGGCATTGCAGTCGCGGATGCAACTGATGCAGCTCGGAGCGCCTCCGATATTGTCCTAACTGAACCCGGCCTCAGCGTGATCATAAGCGCCGTCTTAACCAGTCGAGCAATCTTCCAAAGGATGAAAAATTACACGGTAAATCTTTGTTTTTTTGTGTAAATTTTTTGTTAGTTCTGATATTTTTTGTATGCTGATCAACTTGCGTACGAAGATCATGAGTTCATGACTTTTTTCTACCTGTTTTCGCAGATTTACGCTGTTTCTATTACAATCCGTATCGTGGTAAGTTGTTTTTCTCCCAAAAATTTATCGTAAATTCGAATTCGCCTCTTGAACAATAGCTCGACGTAATTCCCTTTCTTCTTCTAGGTTGGTTTTATGCTTTTGGCGTTGATCTGGAAATTTGATTTCCCGCCTTTTATGGTGCTTATTATTGCCATACTAAACGACGGTTAGTTGTTTCTGAGGATGCTTCAGCTGCAATACGGCTTTATATATCCGTCGCTTATCTTACTGTTCTTTTGATTAGGTACAATCATGACCATATCGAAAGATAGAGTGAAACCTTCGCCACTTCCGGATAGCTGGAAGCTCGCTGAGATTTTTGCCACCGGAATCATTCTTGGCGGCTACTTGGCAATGATGACGGTCATATTCTTTTGGGCAGCATACAAAACTGATTTCTTCCCGGTATGCTTTTTTTGTTTTCGTATTCGAAAGATTGCTTACGGTATGCATAGTTCTTGATGGCTTATTCGAGTTTAGTTCATATTATTTGGCTGGAATTGAAATGTTTGTACGTTTGTTATGATTTTTGGGCAACTTGGGATCAATAGCGCGTATTTGGTGTATCGACTCTTGAGAAAACTGCTCACGACGACTTTAGAAAGCTCGCTTCGGCAATATATCTACAAGTGAGCACTATCAGTCAGGCTTTGATATTCGTTACAAGATCACGAAGCTGGTCGTACGTCGAGCGCCCTGGTTTGTTGCTCGTAGCAGCGTTTGTGATCGCTCAACTGGTGAGAAATAACGCGTTGCATCTTTAATCAGCATGGCATCTTATTCCTTACAAATCGTTCGACTGTGATAGGTCGCTACTCTGATCGCGGTGTATGCAAGTTGGAGCTTCGCTGCCATCGAAGGAATTGGATGGGGTTGGGCCGGGGTGATTTGGCTTTACAACATCATATTCTACATCCCGCTCGACATCATCAAATTCCTCACACGCTATGCTCTCAGCGGGAGAGCTTGGGATCTTGTTCTCGAGCAACGGGTAGAAAATTTACGCAATGAGATGCAACCTATGTGTTCTAGATGTTTCGATTTTCAGCGTCGTGTTTTTTTTCTGTTGTAGATTGCTTTCACGAGGCAAAAGGATTTCGGAAAAGAGCAGCGCGAGCTAGCGTGGGCACACGCGCAGAGGACCCTTCATGGCCTGCAAGTGCCCGACACCAAATTGTTCAACGAAACCACCAATTTCTCGGAGCTCAACCAGCTGGCGGAGGAAGCGAAAAGAAGAGCGGAGATAGCAAGGTACACACAATGTCGATGTCTGGTACCATGTTCCATGTCTGAATCTCATTTTCAAAAACTACTAATGTATCGTACGCAGGTTGCGAGAGCTGCACACTCTGAAGGGGCATGTCGAGTCCGTGGTGAGGCTGAAGGGTCTCGACATAGAGACGATCCAGCAATCGTACACTGTGTAAGAACACTACAACCGCGTAGAAACCGTCAGCCTCGGTTACATTTCAAACCAACGACCGATGGATTTATGCACGAGTGTATTACTAGAACCGTGCTGACTTCGCAACTTTGATTCTTGCATCGAAGACTTCGATAGGTTCACTATTTCAGATACGTTTCAAACTCTGCATCTCTTCATATATTATCGTTCTCCGTCATGCTTATACTTGTTTGTCGCCTTCGAAAACAATACAATACCTCAAACCGTCGTATGTTTATGTCTTGTAAGTTTCATCGGGAGGAATTCTAATCACGCAATCCTGTAAGGCGGTTCATTTTCCCGCCAAACTGAAATAGAACATGAAACCGTAAGATAGAAACAATAACTTCAAGATTGTACCAAGTAAACAAAAACCTTAATCAGGCAACAATGGAGGTTCTGTTAGGATCTGCACCATTTCTTTCGACATTCTCATCTTCCCCAGAGGGCAAATACTTTCTTGCAAAGAAGATGAAGTAGACGAAGTTAATCAATCCAAGTCCTCCCAGAATGTAATAATAATTATCGAGTCGATTCATGTTAAGATCTGGCCCTCCAAGCCATGGCGTTCTGTTCTTCCCTCCTGTTGCAGAGTGTACAACATTCACGATCAAAGAGCTTAGGTAGCTTCCGATCGACAGGCTGACGAAGAAGATCGCGCCGGCGACGCTTCTCAAGCTCTGTGGAAGCTTCAAAGTATAAAATTCTAACAATGCGACTGCGGCGAAGGCTTCGGTTAGGCCGGATAGGGCGAACTGAGGAAAGAGGAACGTTACGTGCAGAGGCGAGGAGAATGTACCGTTCTTTACCGCAGAGGCTCGGCGATGTTTCTCAACTGTCCCGGCGACAAACATACAGAGGATCGACATAATTATCCCGACGCTGATCCTCTGCTGCATTGTGAGCCTCGAGTCCCTTTTCACGACTTTCTTGACGATACGGATGTAGAGCTGCTCGTAGATGAGAATCCATATCGTGAGGGTGACCATCGATGTGATCCCAATCCAGCCCGGCGGGATTGTGAAATGTCGCCCGATCGATCTGTCCGTTTGGATCGCCTGCAGAATGCCGTAAGTGCTCTGCTGATCCATCACGACGAAGCAGAAGATGCCGGAGAGCCAGACAGGCGCGACGCCTAAGACGCACTTCAGGTTCTCGACCTGCTGGACGCTACAGAGCTTCCAGTTGTCAACGGCTAAGCCTTGCGCATCGATTTCACTTGGATCGGTTACCACAGCTGCCCGGTCGAAGAACCCGAACTTATCGGTTCTGACGAGTTTCCGCGCCTCCCATGCGATGTCGCCTGAAGGGTTATATAAAGTCGGCTCGTGGACTAACTTCAAGTCTGCCTTTCGCCTCCTGAATGCAGCCACGACGACTTTCGCCATATCTACGAACACGCTGCCTTCAGGGCTCTTGTAGAGATAAGTGTGACGGCCGAACCAGAAGACTGCGGTGGATAAGGCGAAGCAAGCTGTGGGAATGGCGAAGCCGATGCTCCAGCTGATGTTGGTCTGAACATAGACAACTCCAGTCAGGGCTATGATGAGGGCAATGGTGAAGGAGAAGTACCACCAGTTGAAAAAGCTCTGGAGTTGGATTCGACCCTTGTTGGTGCTGGTGTCGAACTGATCGGCGCCAAAGGCAATGTTGCACGGCCGGATGCCACCGGCGCCCAATGCGACGAGTATAAGGCTGATGAAGAGCAATGCTAGCTGCCCTTTATGGGGCTGGATGCAGAGTCTCTCTGTTGGGCATGGAGGAGGCCTTAGTTGAGGTACAGCAGCAGTTATGGTTAAAGCTCCTATGCCCTGTTCACAAGAAGGAATGATCCATTCAATAGGTAAAGAAACTATGGGTGAATTATTCCAAAATTTCACATACGACACCTATTTTCGGTTTAAAACTTATTTTTCATTCAAAGGTTTTGAATCTAAGACTCATCGAACCTCTTCAAAACAGAGACCAAAAACCCCTAAAGAAACTATGGGTGAATTAGTTCAAATTTTTACATTGTATACAGAACTTATTTTTCATTCAAAGGTTTCGAATCCAAAACTCATCGAAGCTCTCCAAAACAGGGACAAAAACCCTTAAAGAAACTATGGGTGAATTAGTTCAAATTTTTCACATTGTATGCAACACCTTTGAACTTATTCTTCAGTTAAAGGTTTTGAATCCAAAACTCATTGAAACTCTCCAAAACAGGGACAAAAAATCCCTAAAGAAACTATGGGTGAATTAGTTCAATATGGATACAACACCAATTTTCGACTTAAAAACTTATTTTTCATTCGAAGGTTTCAATCTCAAAACTCATCGAAGCTCTCCAATACAGAGACAAAAACTCTAAAGAAACTATGGGTGAATGAATTAGTTCAAAATTTCACATTATATACAACACCTATTTTGGTTTAAAATTTATTTTTCATTCGAACATTTTGAATCCATAACTCATCGGAGCTTCCAAAACAGGGACAAAAAACCTTAAAGAAATTATAGGTGAATTAGTTCAAATTTTCACATTGTATACAACACCTATTTTCGGTTTATAACTTATATTTCAATCAAATGTTTCAAATCCAAACTCATCAAAGCTCTCGAAAGCAAAGACAAAAAAGCCCTAAAGATTTCATCAATTCACTATATTGGCAAAACAATAAAATTGCTTGCAAGTTCTTTTGAAAAGTTGAATTCAATATCTGAAACAGCAGTACTATCGAATGGTACAAATCGAAGTGTATGAAATTGAATTGTTCTTAATTTGAACTAACTGGATCTGCGCGGGAATGAAAACTCAACAACACAAAATTCAAAAAAACCACAAGGAAAGAGGTGAAGTTTACCAGCAGAGAGAGAATGGTACCGCAGAGGAGAGTGAGAAACCGCCCTAAATAGGCATCGGAAACAATAGCCCCAACTGTCGACAACAAATTGCAGGAACCGTTCCATATATTCACCACATTCACCAAAAATATGCCGCTCAAATTGTACTTGTTGCGAAGATAAACAGTTATGTTGGCCGTAAGACTCATCGACGCCAGTTTCTCGAACGATTCGTTCCCTTTCAGATTCACAAAAATAAAACCATGCAGCACGCATACATTGAATTTAGTTGTTGTACGAAGAAATTACAAAACTGCTATCTCAAAACACTGAAAATCAGAGTGATCGCGATTACCGAGAATGTACTTGATCGCCCTCCATCCGCCGCGCTTTCTGGATTTTGATCGAGAGATTGGGGGAGATGAAGCAGCTTCCATTTCCATCTCCATCTCCATCGCCATCTCCACTCGGATCGATCAAATTCGAATACTTAGGGCAAAATTTTTGAAAGAGCTGCAGTTGTTGAACGAGGGGATTATTTGAAGAGTAGAGAAAGTTCAAAAAGCCCTTAGAAATTCATGCAAGGGTTTACGTTATATATATATATATATATCCTAAATTGCAGGATATGAAATTCCGCCGGAGTCTACTTAATATATCTCCGTCATAAAAATAAATAAATAAATAATAATAAAATAAAAAATTTGAATATGTATATATTCTTTTTTATCTTAAATATGTATAAATTAATTGAGAATATATGAGTATATCTGGATATATAAATAAAGATATGATGAGAATGGTAAGGTCCATATTTCTAGTTTGGGTAGTTTGGATCGAGTATTTGAAATTTCGATAGTATAAAATACCATCGGATTCAGACTTGAATTTTTTGGGTACCTAAAATATCCATTACCTTAATTTTATTATTTTTGTATTTTGAAAAAAAAATATATATATATATATTTACTATATTTTTTCGGAGCAGATGAACCATTTGGTTGATGATATGTATTTTAAATAAATTAGTAAAATATATATTAATTTATTTATAATTAATTTAAAATTAATTTTATATTCTTTCGGTCTCATTTACTTATGTTTCGATTTCTTGTCACTGTTTTTTAAAGGAATTATAAACTTTAATTTTATTTTAAGTTTTTTAATTTATAATTTTTTAAAATTATAATTAAACTGATTAATTATCTTAATCTTAATTATAATTATTTTCACTTATATATTTTTAATTATTTACTAATTATATATCCTTCTAAATTCTAGTATCTACAGTAAAACACACATGATAGCCGGACGGAGAGAATAAAAAATAAAAAAAAAATTTAAATATAAATAAAATATTTATTTATTAAAAAGTATATATATATATAAATAAAATGATAATATTCCTTCCGTCCCGATGCAAGGTTGACGTTTACTTTCACATAAATTTTTATTAGTATTATAACAGGTTGTAGTGAAAATGATGAAAATACTTCTGTTAGTACTGTATAATATAAAAGTAATGACATTTATGTAATATAACGTAAGTTAGAAGAGTATTTATTACGTTAGGTAGACAGTACAATAACTAAATTAGAAAATTGTAACTTTATTTTGAAACAAACAAAAATAAAAAATGGCAAGACGAAGTGAGTGTTTTTTTTAAAAACGAATTAATATTCAAAACGGTCAACTAAATACTCCACATCCCAAGTGGTTCTATTTACCCAACACACTTCCACTCATTTGTAGCTATTCATTTTTTAAAAAACATCACATCAAATATATTTTTTCTTAAACAAAACATCAAATCAAATACTAAGAGTTTGTTTACTTGTAAGATCTTATGTCTGTTTTACTATTACAATTTTATTCTCTATAAAAAAAAATCAAATCAAACATCTAATTTTTATTTATTTTATTATACTAAAATTTAATTTTATATTCAAAATATTACATCAAAACAACTATTTCATTTCAAAATTTTACTATTCAAAATTAAAATTAAAACCTCACAAGTAAACACAGCCACCCAGACATCCAAATTTCCAAAAACATCCCAAAACTCTTATCTAAACAATCCCACTTGTCAACTTGCTCATAAAAATTTCCAATTTCACAAATCAATCAAAGAAGCTCAATATAAACATCAGAAACAATCGTACATTCAATCATAAAATATTTCTGCCCAAAACCGCGCAACCTTAAAACCGCGGACGCCGGCGGCGGCGCCCCGCGCCCTTATTGCCCCTTCGCCGCCTCCAGAAGGCCACTTTCAACGCCTCCCAAATCCCATTTAATATTTATATTATTACAGCTGCTTGTCGTTTTCTCCATCCACCACAGAATCCTTCGATAATTTATTCATCCCAAAAACCTAATTCCCGATCCCAATTAACATCAATCATCTGCAACTATACTATACTCTATGGCTTTCCATCACATTCGTGTTCAGGTTCCCCTCCAAATATCACTTTCTCCCATTTATCATCCAATCCCAATTCCATTTCCAATTAGTCGAAACAAATGTTGGGAAAAAGGGTTTTTTGCAACAGTAAATGGGTCGACGAGGAAGAAGGGCTTTTGTGTAAATTCATCGAGCAGCTTGTCGGATTGGGTGCCTGAAAAGACCTCCAAAGCTCCTTCTCTAAGCGACGTCGTTTGGCCGTCCGCCGGTCAGTTTCCAACATACACCTTTTTTGTGAATGAATGAAGAGTTGTTAAGTCCTGTTTGGACTGACATTTAGGATGTATTTTATTTTTAATTTTGGTTTGTCAATTTAAGTTTTTTTTACTATGATATAAATAAATATTAATATAATATTTTTAATATAAAATTAATATGTCGTGAAAAAATATATATTTGATTTAATATATTTTTTTTGCAAAAATATTTGGTGAATATATATATTTAAAAAGTAATTAGAATTTTAGTGTAGCATTATCATTATATATATATTATTTAAAATTATTAAAAAAAAATAGTATTAGGTGTTTATTTATATTATTTAAAGATTATTGCAATTCAATTTTTATTTCTCTCAAATTTTAAATCTAAATTAAAAAATCGTGCTCTATTTTAAAGTTTTGGTTTTAGCTTTCAAACTTTTACTCAAATAAAGAAACAAAGTCAAATTTAAAAAAGAATATCTAATAGATTTGTTTATTTGTATTTTTTAATGGATATATTTTTTTTTATATATTACTTACAAGCAACTCTGTTTACAATATAAAAAATAATATTCATAATTAATTTTTTATATATTGATGTTACGTTAAAGGTGACGGCTACAGTGCTGAATATAAAATGTTATAAGATAGCATAAGTTGTTATCATAAATAACACACAGTATACTTTAATATAATACAAATACAACACATTAAAAAAAATAGTACAACATATGATATAGTCTCACATATTCTAACACATGGCATATTCTCATTAAATATATGTTATAATTATGAACTAACAACACATATTTTTATTACAAATAATATATTCTGCATATTATAAAGAACGTATGTTATTTCTATATTTTAAATTGATTTGGAGAATCAGCATTGTACTGATTTTCCAAATTCAGTGCTCTAACTTTTTCGTATATTAATATATGCATAATTTCATAGGAAATGGTATAAAAAACCATACTAAGTCAACAAAATTAAATTATTGTATTTGATGTCTTAATTTGTTGTAGGGGCTTTTGCTGCCATGGCTTTACTAGGAAAGATCGATCAAATCTTGGCACCAAAAGGGATTTCGATGACCATTGCCCCATTGGGAGCTGTTTGTGCTGTCCTATTTGCGACACCTTCGTCTCCCGGCGCACGGGTCGGATAGAGAAATAATAATCATAATTTTACTTTCAGCATCTTACAATGATTGGATATGTTATAACACCCGATCAATGTAAATAATTCTTGCAGAAGTACAACATGTTTATGGCGCAGATCGGCTGCGCTGCAATCGGCGTGCTGGCTTTCACGATTCTCGGCCCCGGCTGGGTCGCGAGGAGCGCAGCGCTGGCGGCCGCCGTTGCCTTCATGATCGCGACCCGCTCGGTGCATCCTCCAGGCAATAATTTATAATTCCTTGACGGATATAATAATTCATTGATCGATATATCAATTTTGTATCGAGCAATTTTTTATTTTTTTTATATATTGTTGTCGAGGCGCAGCTGCGAGCTTACCTTTGCTTTTCATCGATGGCGCGAAGCTGCACGGGCTCAACTTTTGGTATGCTCTGTTTCCCGGCGCTGCCGGATGTGTCGTCCTCTGTTTGATTGTGAGATTTTTTTTTTCTTATATATACATTTGTATTTTCGATAAATTTCGATGTCTCTTTTTATTTATTTATTTATTTATTTTTGATTAATTTTCTGGTTGATTTGATGCAGCAAGAGATGGTGTGTTACTTGAAGGAGAATTTGAAATTTTGAAAGGCACTGATTTTTAGTTTTAATAAAATGTTGCATCATTTGTATAGTTGTAATAGTTGTTAATAAAATGTTGCATAATTTTAGAGGCCGTCCAGTTCCTTAGGTATGTTCTTCCTTGACGTGCATGCTTCTTCACTCGAGCAATGCTCATGCGCTTGGTTCGCCACCACCATCAAAATTCGCTCTGATACCATATGTAATGTGTCCGGAAGCTGACACGTTCGGCGCCTAGGCCACGTTCACGCTGAGGCTCAAACTAGCCGTCTCTTGTACGCAACACGTCCGGGATATAATTTCATATTTTTGAAAAAAAAAATGTCTATATATAAATAGTAAATTTTTAAAAAAATACCCCAACCAAACACATCCATAATATAGATATAATATATAACTAATAACACCCACAATACGTTGTAATAATAACCATTTTAATTTATTAAGTCACTTAAACTATTTGAAGTCAAATCTATTTAACAAAACAGACAACAGACATATCGACTTATCATATCAGTAACCGACACGCCCTGCGTCTAGACCCTACCCGCTCTGAGGGTTAGACCAACTGCTTCATGTGCACAACAAGTACGAGGACACCATGTCATATGGAAGATGTATACGGAAAACGTACTTGCAGTGACACATAGGCCATTAATACACCATACAGGATCAAGGGTATTGCACATATAAAACGGACTATGGCCAGGAACTTAGGCGAAACTGTCAACCCGTGACAGTATTTCCTCATCTCAAATCGCAAACGTCCTACACCGACTTCGCTTTCTTGCACCCCTTGCATGCCTTTAAGCGTCATTCCATCAACATTTCCAGCATATCCTTCGTGTTTGCCCAATATAAGTGAGGTCCCCACAACCGACCCACATATAGCTCATTCCGCCACTCATCTCTGTACGCCCTTCAAAACACCACCTATTGCGGCTTGCGCTTTTAGCCCAAAAATTGCCCTTAACGCGATTCCCCTCAACGCAAAAAAAATCGTTTGTTTTGATCATCATCGCCCTCAAGATCGTTATGATATCACATGTAACGTATCCAGCAACTAACACGTCCGGCGCCTAGACTCTGCCCCTTTAGAGGGCCCTGAGCGCAATAAATCTGAGTATACCATTTAATATGAGAAAGTCAAAAGACTCGCACACATAAGACGAACTATAATAAAAAACTTAGAACAAATCTGTCAACACGACATTGCTGACAAAATTCAGTAAAGATTTAAGAGAAATACACATATACATTAATACATCCATCAATGCCTCAAAATGGAACCATTACAGGACAAACACACAAACATAGGACTTTCCAAAAGTGATGGCAGATCATTATTATTGCTACAAACACTAACAGCAACCTTAAGACAACTTCCAAATTTAAGTAATAAACACGTAAAATTTAAAGGACAGCTTATTAATTAATAGGACCAGAAATTAAAGGAATGATCATCCGCTGGGAATCCATAGTAGAAAGAACTTGCAGGGGTATGGCAATGAGCGTCTTCCATGATCCTCGGCGCTGGCGCCGGAAGATCGTATACGTCGATCTGCCGTAATTCAGCGTTCAGTTCTTCTTCCCCGTTCTGCGATAAATCCGATTCCTCAAACTCCACGGTGATCGTGCTGTGAAGGAACTCTGCTTTAGACACGCCGCTTCTTCCCGAGCTTTGTTCTTCGTTCTTGAAAGCCATTGCCGAGGCCGCCCTCGACTCCCCCTCTTCGGAAATTGCGTCGTTCGGGAAGTACTCCAGCATTGCCCGGGACGGGTCTTTGCCGCAAATCTTTTCGACCTCTACATCTCGTGGAAGCCCGTCACGCTTGAGACGAAGAACCTGTATCAAAAATTGCGAGCTACCAAATGAGACGGCGACCATATATTGAATAGATTTTAAGCAATTTTTCTTATAACCCACTTGTGGTTTGTATCATATTCATTCATAATTTATAAATTGCGAGACTCTCTCATGATTTCGAAAATATTGTCTATAATCTTTTAAATAAAAATGTGCAATATTTTCGAAAATACGAGTCAGGTTCATGCAGTTTTCAAACCACATGTTAGTTATAAATAATTATTTGGAACGGATCGATCACCTCTGCTTTTAGTTTCTCGTTTTCGGCAAGAAGGTTGTCGTAGTCGGCTTTCATGTTTTTGTAGCTTGCGTGCAACGCTTCGTAGTCTGTTTCGAGCTGCCTCGACTTCCAGCGTGCCCGGCGATTTTGGAACCACACGGCGATCTGCCGAGGCTGCAATCCGAGCTCCTTTGCAATCTGGATCTTCCTCTCCGGTTCGAGTTTGTTCTCGGCTGCGAAATTCCTCTCGAGAAACTGGATTTGATCGACCGAAAGAAGCCTCTTTTTCTCAGGTTGATTGAAATACTCATCCAAGTAGTCATCCACAGTGTCGTCTTGATCGAATGGCCGGAATAATGAAGCTTTTCCGGGGCTGTTCACTCCGCCGGCGCCGCCGAAACTGAGCATAGCCCTCGAGCCTGAGATCGAAAATTTTTGACACGATCAACAAACTTACAGGTGAATTAGCAGTGAATTACAAAACTATGGCATCGTTTCATCTCAAGATTTGATGAAAAATCAATCCATGGCAGATTTAAAGCATAAATAAAATGAAGAAAAAAGAATCAAATCATCAATTTTGGCCCAAAAACTCTAAACAGATCATTGAATTTGCAGTGAATTATAAAATTATAGCATCGTCTCACCTCAAATCGGATGAAAAATCAATCCATGGAAGATCTAAAGCATAAATTCAATCGAAGCAAAAAGTCAACGCCCAATTTCGGGATTAGGGTTAGGGTTAGGGTTAGGGATCGCGTACCGAGAAGAGGAATTGAGGAAGCAGATGCGAGCACGGAATCAAGAGGCTGATCGTGAGAAGAGTTTTTAAATTTCCAAGATGGATCCAGAGCATCGCCGCCGCCGCCGCCGCCGCCGTAGACCGACCTCCGATTCGCCATATCTGAACAGTTCAGTTCAACTCAGAGCAGTAAACTAATTAACGAGAATAATCCGCCATATTCATGGCTGCTTGTTCATCTTGAGACGCTCTTCCTCTTTCGCTGGCCTCAAAATTTCCCAAAATCAAAATTAAATTCCCCAAATCTCCTCCTCTACAGAGCCTACCCGAAGGAAGGAACACAAAAAAACAAGGAACGCGCTCAGATTTTGTGGCGGAAGAAGCTGGTGATGATGATCCTTGTGATGTGTGAAGTGTGGGAACACCTGCTGCTCATCACACCCATCCCCTCGCTCGATTCCACCCAACTTTTTCCAAAATCAAATCCAAAAGGAACTCCTCAATTGGGCAACTGGTGTGCGTGCGTATGGGCGTCTCCGAAAAGGAACTCCTCAATTGGCAGATTTAGAAGAAGAAACCGCAAATTCAATAGTGGTTTGTAGAGAGAGAAAAAACCTGAGAAAGATTCTGCGTATGATGGAAGGAAACACTCGGACGTCTGGGCAGGACCGTGTCCATTTCTTCTGAAGCTCAATATTTTAAAGCAACAAGGTCGCCAATGGCGGAAGGTGATTTTTGAAGAACTGCGATTTGGTCCCTAAACTTTTTATTATATGACTTTTGTCCCCTGTACTTTAGAGGGTTAACATCTAACCCCACCAGACTGAATTTATTTATTTAAAGATAGATTTTTTTTTTAATAATTTAATTTATTTATTTATTTATGTCAATGAAATTATTTATTTGTCAATGGCACCACGTTGGTTTCCCACCAAACAAAGGTTTGGTTAAATAGATAAGAAAAAATAATAAAAATAAAAATAAATAAATCATAGAAAAGAGGTGTTAGACTACTCAATACTGATTTTATTTAATACTATCGTCACAAAAATTTATTAAAAAAAATATATTCGTTGGTCAAGTTTTTTGTTCAACAAAATTGTTATTGTGTGAGGAATTTCAGTCATAATTGTATTTAAACAAATAGTTGAAGAGAAAATTTCAAAAAGAACTTAGCTGAAAATATCCTTTAAAAAAATTATCAATATGACAACAATAAAAAAAAAAAAAAAAAAGTAAATAATGATTTTGTTGATTCATTTTGTTTTTATGACACAATTTTTTAAATATTAAAAAAACTACAATATATATACATAAAATATATATAATATATATTGTATTCTTTCGTAAAAATCGATACTTTAATATAAAATATTACTGTTTCCGTCTCAAACAATGAGCAATATTTGAGAAATTAAGTAATGTGGTGAAGAGAAAAGTGTACTTATATATATATATATTTTATTTGGGTGATGTGATGGGAAAAAATGTGGGCCAAAGATTAAACGAGTTAAATCACTCAATTCTAACGCGATCCATTTATTATTGCGAACGAATTCGTATTAACTCGTTTATTATCGTGTCGAATTCATGTTGACTCATATAAATAAGTGAGTCAAAATATCTTATCCAAATTCAATTATTTCTTGTCGGATTGACGTGTTATGTTAATTTATGTCAATCTACTATAATGTGTATAGTAAATTATATTGAATTATTTTTAAGATTGAACTTAGTCTAAATTAAAGTGGGTTAATTACCAAATTAGAATGATTTTTATATGTATAATAAATATATTAATTAATATTATTATATTATAATCAAGTTGTCGTATCCAGTTTGAGTTGAGGCCTTAACCTTAATTTGATTTGTTTATTATTATGTCAGGTTCGTATCAATTTATATACATAATCAAGTCGAAATTCTTGATCCAAAGTCAATTATTTCTTGTTGGGTTGTAGTGTCATGTAAATTTTTGGCAGCTCTAATTATAATAGACTGATATAATACTACCTCCGTCCAATTTGAAAATATATATTTACTTTTAGTATGAAATTTAAGAAATAAAAGTATTTTAATTGTAGTGAGTAGTTAAAATTAGTATAGAGATAATTTTATTTCCTTTTTTTGTGTAAAGGTAATAGTGCGATAGTAAAATAGAAATATTTGTATATATATAAAAAAAAGTGAAATATTTTTGAATACTCTCTCCATCCACTAAAAATAGTCCATTTGAGTCCGACACGGAGTTTAAGAAAAATAAATATTTTATTAAAAAAGTGATAGGTAGTTCGGGGTATTTTGAAAATTTAGTTAGAAATAAAAGTAAATAAAAAGAGATAATGTAATAAAGTTAATGGTATTTGTTGTAAATAAGTGTTGATTGAAATGTAATAATTTAATATTGGTTTGTTGACTTTGCCAAAATTAGTAATGTGATAAATTTAGTTGACGGACTGAAAAAAAAATAATAATAAATTCGAGGGACAAATAGAGTAAGTTTTATAATTGAACAACCCAAAATAGAAATATATATTTTGTGAGTTGACGGATAAAGTATTATATTTATTAAAATCCGTATACAATCTAAATAAGCCTATGATGGATTCCAAAAGTATTATTTATTTTATTATACTATTCAAATAAAAAACATAAAAACATAGTACTTTCTCCGTCCAACAAAAAAATATATATTTACTCTTCACACCGAGTATAAAAAATAATAATATTTTAATTATAGTAGATAGTTAAAAGTAATATATAGAAAATTTTGTCATTAATTTTCAGTATGAAAATGATAATGTAATGGTAAAGTATAAATATTTGTGAAAAAAAAATGAAAGTACTTTTAAAATGATTACTTTGTATTTGGATAATTCAAAATAACTATAGACTCTCTCCATCTAAACTCAAAGTACCATTTTTACCATTTTCATCCATATCACTCTAAAATATCTATTTTCTATCTCAGTAAAAGTAATCATACATCAATACTAAAATACCTTTAACTTTTACCTAAATTACAAACATATCATTACACATACAATTAATTTATATATAAAGTCAAATGGCAAAAATGTCAAAATTTCTTACTCACTTTCACTAATTAATAAAATACTATTATTTTTTAATCTATTACAAAATTTCAAATGATCCATTTGGACCGAAACGGAGGAAATATATACTTTATAAATGGACGAAAGTAATATAAAAAAAAATTCAAAATAAAATACCTTTTAGAGTTATTATTATTATAAAATAAAAAAAGATTAATTTACGTAAGCACTTTTCCCCCAAACTCTTAGAATTATATATTTAGCCCTCACACTTTGTTAAATTTCAATTTCAATCCCTTTAGTTTTATCCTTTTTTTCATTTATGTGTTCTACTATGTTTAGATCAACAATTTTAGTCCATGATTCATCTACTTCTGTCCAATTATTATTATTATTACTAGAAGATTAATATGATGCATAGAGTACATTAAGCCATTTTTTATTTTTTCAAATATATTTCACCAACTTCAACCTCTATATCCACTAAGTTAATTAATTTTACTATATTTGAAAAAAAAAATTAAAAAAAAAAAAAGAGAGAGAAAGAGAAAACAATAATAATGAATTTAAGATCAAAACTGTCCATTTAAAAATAAAAGAATGAGATTTGAAGAAAAAAAAAAAAAAAAAAGAACTATAAATAAACTTCACATATAAAAACTACAAATATAATGGAATATTAACTATTTAAGTTTGGATTAAATTGTAATTATAATTTTAAAAAATAATTAAAACAGGTAATCAATATATTTACTAGCACACCACATAATAAAACAAAATTAAAGAAACATATAAAAATAGATAAAGAAATAATAATGGAATCACACTTCCACTTTGAATGTATAACATACAAAGAGAAGTGATGGTGGGGGTGATGATAAAGTTTGACAATGAAAGAGGGAATTATTTTAAAACTAAATAAATATGAAATCAAAATAAAATATAAAAAAGGTTGCAATCAATCCCTATCTTAGTGGGGAATTGGCATTTGCAAGTAAGTATAAAAATGGACACATGGGGTGGTGGGGGTGGGGGTGGGGTGGGGTGGAGTGACTCACCACTCCTCAATATTCTTTATTATTATATCCACATTTTCAAATCCAATCAAAACTCTACTTGTAAACAATTTTTATTTATTTATTTATTTATTTTATTTAGGGTGTGTCTTTGATGAATTTGAAAAATTTTGGGGTGAATTTGATATTAAAATAATACTCTCCCCGCCACACAAATTAGTGTCCTATTTTCTTATTTGGAACATTCGAAAATGATTGTTCTTTTTTTATTTTATGCATAAAATTTACCTTTTTACTCTTATTTTATTTATCTTTTTTATATCTATACACAAAATAAGCTATTTTGTCAATTTACAACCAAAAAACTAATTAGCAGTATTTGATAAGATGTTTTGTGATAGAAAAAATATATTTTCTTTCGAAAAATACAGAATTAAAATAGTAGAAACAGGGGTTTTGTGACTAAAGAAACACACCCTTTAGTGATGTAAAAAAATGATCGGATTGTGTGAAGTAAACTCTTGATCGTATGATCGTTGTTCAAAATTTTCCACATTTTTCTATCTTATACATTCTCTTGTAAATAATTATTACTATTTTTATTATACAATCTATATTTGCATGCCACTTCTACATTATGTCACTTTGTAATTATCGATCGGTTACTAATAATTTTATATATATATATATATAAATATTTATATCATAAATATAACAAAGCACCAAAATCATCATCAATGAATCTACAATAATTAATTTTTTTAGTCACCCATATTATATATGTGTATATATATATTTTTTTATTTACTTCATGAAAGATCCTTTCTATGTCTCAATACTTGTCTATGTCTCGCTACTTATACTATAATTGCTCCATAAAACTGAAATTCAAATATGACTATTCTCGTAGTGTGATTTTTCTGTCGGGCTTGGTTTACAGGTTATCAAGTTTGGTCGGAGATTTACCCAGTGCGCACTTTCGGGTAACAGCTGCGGATTCCAATGTCATAAAAAAAAAAAAGACTATTCTCACCAAAAATATAATGATTTGGTTATTTCTACAACCAATCATCGGTATTATTCATATAATAATTGAATTTCAATGTTCGATTATATATGACTATTCACAACAAAATTATGATGATTCCTTTGATCGTGTGGTCAATAATTACTATAATTTCACCTATATTATTCGCAACTAAATTATTATGATTCGACTGCTCCTTAAATCAACGTCATTTCTATGGCTTGTTACATAAGCCAAAAAAATCGCAATCCGATCATTAAGGTTAATTGTTAATATAGCCGCCGTTATACCTCTGGTGTTGACAAATGACTATCACAGTCGGAGATGCATTAGATATCTATAGTTGATAGTCCTGCCGCAATCATAACCAGTGACGGATCTACATTGGGGCTTGGGAGGCAACTGACCCTCCAAATCTTTCCTAATTTTTTTTTTAAGTATAATTTTTTATTTAGTAATTAAATTTGCCCCCAATTTGAGATTAATACTCTACATAAACTTTCATATTATTATTATTTTAATTTATAATAATATATAATATTTTTAGGGAGACTTGGACTAAAGTCCCTGTCAGTAAAATTCACTTG